GTCTGTCCTTGAGTACCTACCCCTTGTTTGCCCATGTTGGGGATTGGTTGCGTGGTGGTGGTATCGTTAGCATGTCGCAAGTATTAGCTGAGGTTCGAGCTTTGGGTGCTCTGGATGTGGCATGTTCGTTTGGTAGTGACCCATCCCAATAAATTTCCAATACCTCCTAATAGATTCAAGTGCAACCTTATGGAACTGCCAGTACACTGAAATCTCCAGAATTCCCTCAATATAATGGTATGCAACCCTAGTACTACCTAGTGCAATGCGTCCGAATGTACAGGTGCACTGCTGGTGATTACATAATCTGAATTGAGCAGAGTCCCGAGCACTCCGACACTGGCATTTTGGAATACATGACGAGCAGGATACCTTTTATATTATTCTCTGTAGCTATGCTATGCATGCATCTTAATGTAATGATAAACAACACTTCTGCCTTGAGCTACATGTCTGCGACAAGAATGTATCAAGTTGGATGTGGCTACCACTGCGTACATAAGTATCCATACATAAACTGGTCGAGCAGTTTGGAATACATGACCACTGGAATATCCTCATCTTAATCAAACATAAAATGCCTCTGAATGTAATGATAAACAATGCTTCCACATCGAGCTACATGTCTGCGACAAGGATGTATCAAGTTGGATGTGGCTATCAGTACTTACATAAGAATATGACACGCGGTTGGTTTTGTCGATCAGTAGTGGTGCTCAAAATAAACTGAGTTGGAGTGATTTTGGCACTAAACCCTAGCTGAGTTGGCTGAGTTCAGCACTAAACCCTAGCAGAAACTTCAGCCACGACTTTGACAAATTTCAAGTTCTGATTTTTTAAACCTCCACTCACTTTGCATTTTTGGAGTGCTGTGCTACACAGCATGACATCATGTCTTTTTATATTCAACATCTAAGTTCGAACATTCACTCGCGAGTGATATTTGTGGGGGGCAGCTCGGATATGGTATTAGATATGAGTAGATAACACTGTCCTCCTTCTGCCACAATGGTCCATAAGTCTGCTTGTCAAGAGACCCTAGAGATCCTGGGCGATGCAGCAGTCAGAGTCGCCAAAATGCAGTTGCAGCAGCTAGGGACTTACATGGAGGCCAACAACAATGACTCCAATTCTAGCATGTCAGATGGCGACTGGACAGATGTCTTGTCCAAACCCTTGTCCCCGATGATCTTATCTCCAATTTCATCCATGTCCACCTCGTCGTCCTCATCCCTCAGCTCACTCCATTCTGTGAAGAGGATAACTGCTCCATATACAGTGGCGCTGCAGACCATTCAGGCACTCTATGATGAGGTCCACATGGCACAAGTCTTTGAGCGACCAGGCGTACCAATGATGTGTGCATCTCAACTGCCACTCCTTGATCATTTTGCTATCCACTGACCACTCTTGTTCTGGAAAAAATTGTGTGTCGATCCTGTGATATTCAATGACATTTTAGACCAAATTAGTGACCACTACATATTTTTGAACAAGTCAAACAACAAACAATTACCTGTGGCCGTTCAACTCACAATTTTCCTTTTCCACATGGGGCACTACGGTAATGCATCTTCACCTGAGGATGCTGCCCAGTGGGCAGGTGTTAGTGTTGGAACAGTCATCAATTGTACTCACTGGGTAATGGCAGCACTGCTGGACAAGCACGACAACTTCATTTATGTGCCAGATGTGCAATCCCCAGAACTGAGGCATGCATGAGAATTTGTGGAGTCATGAACTTGCTGGTCTTGGAGAAATGGAGTTTTTGCTGCGGATGGAACGACTGTTAACCTTTATGCATGACCGAAGTCATTCGCTGACAGCTACTATGACCGCAAATCAAATTTCTCACTAAACTGTCAGGTAGGTGAGTATGATGTCATGCAGAAACAGACAACTTATGGGCATGCAGGTTGTAATAATGCTGCACAACTTGGCCATTGTTGATTATGCGCTGGGGAATCCAGGGAGTGTCCATGATGCGTATGCATTTCAGGGAATGCGGATCTTCAAGGATCCAATCAGTGTTATGCCACACAGACACTGGACTTGGGCTGATACAGCATATCCCTCGGAGAAGTGGTGTGTTGTGCCATTTAAAAAGCCACAAGGGGGGAACTTGACAAAGCGTCAGAACACATATAATCATTATGTTTCAAAGGTATGTACTTACCAAGTGTTCCATGGCACATCCTTGACAATTCAGAAGATTCGAGTCAGGGTAGAGCATGCATTTGTGGCCTTGAAAGGCCGGTTTCAGTCACTGAGAGAACTCCATATCAAAATTGGTAACAAACCAGGGAATATGGATCTGGCTGTGTACTGGATAACATGTTGCTTTATCCTGCACAATATGGTTGTGCAATTTGAAGAAAGGTGCTGTGAAGAGTTGGGGTGAGGGACAATGGATTGGGCAATGAGGGAAGGGGAGCCTGACGAAGGGAATGACAACGATATGCTGCTGGCCCTAGAACCAGGATCAGTAGGACAACAATTCTGCGCACACTTAATGGAGAGGTTGATCATGGAGAGAGGGATATGAATCTGAATACATTTTGCATTTTGTAAAAAAAACAAAGGGCGACGGTGACAACTTGGACAAATGGATAAAACATACTCGTTTGTCCTACAAGCGACATCAGGTAAGGGACGGAGGAAGATCTGCAGGAGTAATTATCGATGACATAGGAGTAGCAGAGGACAATGCTTGGCCACCAGCAGCGAGGGCCTTCTGAGCCTCGATCTCCACAAGCTTGAGCTTGAGCTTGAGGACCTCGGATTCCCTAGAAAATGCCTCTGCATCCAGCTTGTGGAGCTGGATGTCATGGTTCCACATCTCCAGTATGCAATGGTGGATCTTGTCAGCTTCACTATGTTCGCACTGACACTCACGCTCATTGTGCTCAATCTCCTTCATATGCATGTGCATGTTATATTTTGCAATGTGACGTTCATTCTTGAGAAGAGTGATCTGGTATTCTCAGTCAGAAGTATCTCCTGAAAGTCCTTGCAACTTCTCTGCTAGCGTGACCTTGAGCTTGGAGACAGATCTTGCATTTCCTGAGCTTCCCCCTGATGCCACAGAACCAGGACCATGGCCATGACTCTTAGTGACGATAGACAGTGGCAATGACATTGATGTGACCGTTGAAGTCGATGACGGGACGCGCTTGGGGTATGGGGAAGAGCGGAACGTACTGCGATTTTCCCAGGATGGTGTCTTGTGCTTCATAGCAGGAGGATTAGGTTGCCAATTATGAAAGTCACTTGGGCCACTGAAAGACTAGATTGTTCATGTTAGTTTTTGTACAGTGCGACCACTTAGGAGATATCAGTAACTTGCCTTAGCAAAAGATGGGACCGCCAGCGAAAAAGTATTTGATTGGCTTGGGCCTGCTGTTGGGAGGGAAGAATCATGCATCCAGTCATCGTCACATTCTTCTTCATCGATATCATGCCCTCTTGTTTTATCGCCACCGGCCTCCTCTTCCTCCTCTTCCATACACATGTGGTCATCATCAGTGACAACACCAGGAAAACCTGGATGTTCCATCTGCTGGACCATGGTCTCATCGTCATCACACTCTCCAAACAAATCTGGCACAGACTGGGAAGTACTGGAGGGAGGGGGGGGGGGTACAGAGGGGGAATCGGGTTGAATAATCGCAAGAAAATTGCCAGCACGATCGAGGCCAGGAGTAGAGTTTTGCAGTTGGGTGTCGATTGATGGAATTCCCCTCCACATTTGATCACATTCCTCGAACCAAGGGAAATGCGCAATGGCATCAACTGAAACCAGATCATCAGTGGGACCAAATGGGAACACGATCTAACAGACTCACCCAGCAGGTTTGGATACCTTGCATCACCAGGAATGATCCTGCCACCAGTGGACTTGAAACAATCAAGTTGCTCTCAATATCTCTTCTTTAACCTGCATTGACCATTGAGTTATGCCATCTCCCATCATTAGATAAAGACATACATTGCAAGGCATGCATAGACACTTGTATTGAACTTCTCCAGCTGCATCTCATACCCACTGCAATATTCTGGATCATTCACAAAAAGCACCTTTGCAACGACAGCATGAATTTCTTTCTTCATTCGCCCATGGGGCTTTCTGAGGGAAGCAGAGCCTTCTTGCACACTTTGCTGCTTAGTGCTGCTGAATAGGATGGCACGATCGGCAGGATGTTGCAAGAGCCAGCTCAGGAGTGTGCTAGTGAGGTGGGAATATCATTCCCAGAAAATGGTTTCCCTCGATTCCTGCGGAGGACCTCCCAGGGTAGTCATCATTTGCTTGTGAGAGCCAGTAGCCTGGGACTTGGATCCCCTGGTCTTTGGCTTCCCTCTCTGGGATGTAGAGATCGTATTTTGGGGCGGGGATATAACTTGAGAAGGGAAAGGAGGATTAGAACCTGTGTTTCTGGCTGGAATCTGAGGGGGAGTCAATGCCATCATAGTCGTCCATCTCACTTGCAGGCATGCAGAGCATCTTGTGCATGGACAATGGGGAGGCATTTTCAAGTGGAGCTTGAATTAAACCACATGCACTGGACCCACTTGCCATGCTCACACTGATTCCTGGGCCAAATTTGTTTGACTCAGATTTATTTTGAACGCCACTAGTGCCATCTGCAAAAGCTAAGCGTCAAGTTGGCTGGCCAACTTGACGCTTAGCGTTTACCCGGTGAAGTAACAGTGCGTGCCGAGCTCTCAAACAATTCAAAAAGCTGTCCAAAGTGTATGCTATAATTCGACCGTTTTACAGATGCTGGTCTCGTGGCACTAACGTCACTGCTTATTCGGAACGAGAATGAACCACTCACTAGGACGTACTTTGGGGGTTTCCGCTTGTCAAGTACCCGGGTTCCTACTCAATGGGAGCCGATGATGGGTCCAGGGACTTTGCGGAGACGAAATTTGCTTGTTAACAGCAGCAACCCCGAACAACTGTTCGACACCAGTCCTTGCCCTCGGCGTGATTGTGAACGATGGAATCCCAGGAAACAGATGATGAAAAGGCTCCCTTCATTTTAACACCAGATGACGTTCAAGATGAAAGCCCGAAAGCAACAAGAACTCCTCTGCCATGGCGGCAATTCTCCATCCTTTTATTACTGCAATTGTCAGAGCCTCTGACATCACAGGTGATTGCACCATTCTTACCCCAGGTGAGTGAACTACCGTTAGCGCAGCATCAACCGCTCAGGATCTACCTTAAGCTTATCAGAGAGGTCGGTATCACACATGAGGATGATTCCAGCATAGGACACTATGTTGGCTTGGTGGTCAGTCTTATGTTTTAGAAGTGGCAAACCATGACTCCGAGCGTTTGTTCTTAAAGCATTCTCTATTCTTTATGACCGAAGCATGCACGGTATTCCATTGGAGTCGTGCGTCAGACCAGATCGGACGCAAACCAGTCCTTATGACTGGACTTCTCGGACTCTCGATGTCGATGTATTGCTTCGGACTATCTAAAACATTTTGGGCCCTCGTTCTCAGGTGTGCTGTACGACTATGCTCACTCCAGGAACAAGGACACTGATTAAACTACTCTTGGTGAAGTCGTTGTCCTGAATGGCGCCCTGAATGGGAACATAGGGATCATGAAGAGTATGATAGCAGAAATTACCGATCCAACGAATATGGCTTTGGCGTATAGTATCATGCCTCTTGCGTGGTTTTTCGGAACCACAATCGGGTTCGTCCCATTGCAGTTCACCCACAGTTATCCAGTCCGTTCTGATTTCATCAAGGCCACTTATCGGTGGATTACTAGAACATCCGGCGGAGAAATACCCCACGGTTTTTGGAGGCTCCACATTCTTCAAGGCATACCCATATTTCCTTCCATGCTCAGTTTCCGCAACTTTTGCTGTGATATGCTGGTTTATCACTTATTTCTTGCTGGAGGAGGTTAGTTCCGCCATCGTTTTCTCGTTGGGGTTGGGCTAATCATCACACGCATAGACCACCACACCGCAAATGTCTGCAAAAGATTACATCCTTGGTCGCAAGTCCAAGCCTCAGGGACCGAACGGAAGATCACCAGCAGCAACGGAGAACGGCGTTCATTGTGATAATAACGAGGGTCAACTACCTCTTCGGAAACTCTTGGTTCCCAACGTGTTGGTTGCTGCGGGCTGTTATGCCTTCATCGCGCTCACCGACATTGCGGTCCGCACGGTGTTACCCGTTTACTTTGCGGTTCCTGTGGAAATGGGTGGACTGGGACTCGGCCCTTCGGCCATCGGTACCACCCTTTCACTATTGGGAGTTGCCAGTGGTGTCTGCCAAACGCTCTTCTTTGCATGCTTACATGATCGATTGGGTCCAAAGTACCTGTACCTCATGGGATCATTCTTATATATCCCTGCAATCGTCCTCTTCCCTGTGATGACTTGGGTAGCGCAAAAGAGAGGACTGGACGGTCTTGTCTGGACCCTTGTTGGATCCCAGATAATGTTATTCATGTTTTCTGGTTTATCGTTCAGTGAGTATTGACTTTTTTTCGCACCGTTTCTAGTGACTCACGGGTTGCGATCAGGCGTCACATTCATATACATTAATGCGGCTGCCCCAAACCGCGCTTCTATTGGTGCAACTAACGGCCTTGCACAGATGATGGTGTCCGTGACGCGTGCGTTAGGCCCTGCAAGCGCTAACTCGGCATTTTCGTTGAGTATCCAAAGGCATGTAATGGGAGGTTACCTCGTGTATTGGATGATGATAGTGATGGCGAGTATTACGCTGGGAATTGGGTTCTTCTTACCGAAGAAACCGTGGAAGGTTTGAGGGCTGTCTGCGTGGGCCTTCGCCCGCAAAACATAGAAAAACGTGCCTCCAACCGCCGTTGATAGTGCATGTCTACAGCAGGAAAGTCTGCAGCAAGACGTATCATTGCAAGTCTGGGTTGAGTGAAGCGGATCGCAGGAGGTATATTATCCTATTGGGCTATCTTGCTTCCTACTTTTGTCAAGTCACCGAAGTAAAAGTACTCCATCTACTCCAGCAACTTGGTACGAGTCCATGTTGAGGCTACAGCAACACAGTATACGCGGAGCAAGCCACCAATATAGAAATAACAGAACGCCCAATACATCATATCCCCTGAGGGGAGAAGATGGAAATCGGGAACGAGGGCGGACGCGCCCCAACGGGCAGACATATCAAATACACGATTCAAATTTAAGGTAGGGGCTGCCTCGTCGTCCCGCAGAGCCATCCTATCCTCGACACCTATCTGTTTGTCAGCATAGTCGCGCCAGCTCCGCTTCTGATAATCCGACTGTAGGATGCTGATACAGGACTCGATGAGCGACACCGCAGACAATGTCGAGGAAGTTCTGAGTCTTCCTGCGACCGAGGGACCAACCCAGGAGTTGAAGAGGTCTTTCCCAAACTCTTAGAACCTAGCCAGAATATCAGGTTTCTTCGAGAGTACACGGTAACTCTTGGCGATACCTCCTTTGCAGGCCCGGGCTTTGATGATTTCGGGAGAAGGCATGCGTGTCCACGGGACTGGTGTCAGCCTTCGTGTCGCGACTCCAACTTTCTGCTGCACAACTTCAATGTGCAGCAAAATGCACTGGCATCTTTGTGTCCTATTCGTGTGGGTGCTGACTTGACATAACGGATTGATATAGCAGACCAGATTTTGACTGGTCGTGTAACAACCTGCGTGATACCTGTAAGTCCTTACATATTTCTTCCTTGAAATTATGAAGTAAAGGTTGTAGATGCTTGATCTCGTGATTCCGGCGTCCTTGTGTATGTCCATCACTATGTGCGATGCCGGGGCGCTCTTCGTGCATGGCCGGGTGGGACTTCGAGCCTCACCTTCCGGTGGACTGTTGGATGACTGTGACTTCAGTGTCTGATGTTTTTCTCATCTCCTGGTTGTGGTACCTGTCCCGCTGTTAACCCTCGTGGGGTCGAAGTGCAGTTCCCTCGCCCTTCTGCTTTCCGTGCGATGCCCGTCCGTTGTGTCCGGCGCGACGTACATGTGTGGGTCTCTGTCGGATTCCTTCCCCTATGTGGTTTTCGGTCCTCAAATTGGACAGCCTCGGCTTGTACGCCTTCATAGATCATTCCATCATGACCTCTCTTTTGGTGTACGTACTTCTTCGGTATTGCGCAAGGTCGTCGGGCATCTATCAAACCAAACTCCACCTCCAAGACTCTCCACTGCGTGTACACAACTGCTGTTCACTGTTCCGGCAGCACCTCCTTTGCCTGCTAAGCACAGAACTTATAGTCTGTTCAATGATAATTCCTGCTTGACAATACCGAAGGCTTCATTGTTGCAAAGGTGGATCTGCCGTCTGCCGTATGTCAGAAGACCTTCCAGGAGAATTCCCCCTACTTTGTCTTTCCCAGCGATTCCTCTTCTGATTTGTACGAGAAATCTCTTCCCGGCTGCCCTGCTCGAGTCCTTTTGTGGCTAGTCTAGGACTCGTTCCGTCTCACCACGAGATGCATTCGGACAGATTCTTCAAGGCTTTTGGCGTGGTCTGCTCGGATTATGTTGGAGACACCCGCAAGACTTCTGCCGTTCAGTAAGTGTGGTCGTCTCTGGTTGTGTGGATGCTTGCGTCTTGATACCCGCCTCTCGGATGTAGGTATGTATGTAGTCGATGACAATGGGGCGCGAACACTATCTCCGGTTGTTAATACTGCCATTTAGTTCGTTGGCGTCTTCCGTGGGACTGCTGACATGGGGGGCTTTCCGCGTCCCATGAGAGTATCATCCTTAATGTTGGGTTTCAGGAGTCACCTGTGGGTGCCCGCTTGTTATTGTGTGATGGTTTTATGTAGAGCATTCCCTATGCAGACTGGGCTGCCCAGCTCCCAAAATGTTGGATAGTTACTGTACGTGAGGCCCTTTCCGGTCAGGCTGCTCTTCAACATCCTCGCGAGGTATGCAACTGCTTCACTCATTCTTCGTAATGCGGATGCTGCCGAGGTGGCCTCAGGGCATTTGGAGACAGCTGCATATCTCTCGTGGTCTTGAACCAGAAAATTCCTGTCAGCCAACTTTGGGAGTGGATCAAGCATTTCGGCCCGGAAGCCGGTGGCCACTTCTGCGCTACTACTTAGTGGGTTAGTACTGGTAGCAATGGGAAGGGTTGCTGGCACTTGGCATAGACCGTTTTGCATGGTAAATATGTGCTATGCGTACAGTGCGAGTTCGGGACGCGAATGGACAACCCACTAGGGCAGGGCGGGTTTTCGTTTATCAAGCCGGGGCCCGCACTTTGGGAGCCGATGGGGGCCCAGGGAACTTTGCGGAGACGGAATTTGCTCGTTATCAACAGCAGCCCCGAACAACTGCCCGACAGCACAGTCCCTGCCCACGGTGCGACTGCGAATAATGTATCCTCAAGAAGTAGACGAAGAGACTCCCCTGATACCAACACCAAATGACGCTCGGGACGGGAGCCCGAAAGTGACAAGAACTCCTTTGCCATGGAAGCAATTTTTCATCGTTTTATTATTGCAACTGTCAGAGCCTCTGACATCGCAGGTGATTGCACCATTCTTGCCCCAGGTGAGTAAGCTACCATCAATGCAACGTGAATGCGACATCTCAGGTTCCACCTTAAGCTCATCAGAGACGTCGGTATCACACATGGTGATGATTCCAGCTTAGGATATTATGTTGGCTTGGTGGTAAGTCCTTCGTTTTAGAAGTGGAACTATGACTTCAAGTGCCTGTTCTTCCCTAAGCATTCTGTGTTCTTCATGACCGAGGCCTGTACGATATTCCACTGGAGTCGTGCGTCGGACATGATCGGGCGCAAACCAGTGCTCATGACCGGGCTTCTCGGTCTCTCGATGTCGATGTATTGCTTCGGACTATCTAAAACATTTTTGGGCCTCCTTTTCAGGTGCGTTGTGTGATTATGTTTGCTCCGGAGACCATGCAGCTGATTGAACTTCTCTTGATGAAGTCGTTGTTTGAATGGTGCCCTGAATGGGAACATTGGAGTCATGAAGAGTATGATAGCAGAACTCACCGATCCAACGAATATGGCCCTGGCATGTAGTTTCCTTCCTCTCACGTGGTTTTTTGGAACCACAATTGGGTTCGTTCCATACCAGTTCACCCGCGGCTATCCAGTCCGTTCTGATTTCATCAAGGCCACTTATCGGTGGATTATTAGAACATCCGGCAGAGAAGTATCCCAGGGTTTTTGGAGGCTCCACATTCTTCGAGACATACCCATATTTCCTTCCGTGTTCAGTTTCCGCAACGTTTGCTGTGATATGTTGGTTTGTCGCTTATTTCTTCCTGAAGGAGGTTAGTTCCGCCACCGTTTTCTTGTTAGACCTAGGCTGATCATCACACGTGCAGACCACCACACCGCAAATGTCTGCGAAAGACTACTTCTTGAGGCGCAAATTCAAGCCCAAGGGACCGAACGGAGGATTACCAGCAACAACGGAGAACGGCGTTCATTGCGATAATAACGAGGGACAATTGCCTCTTCGGAAACTCTTGGTTCCAAACGTGTTGATTGCTGCGGGCTGTTATGCCTGCTTCGCATTCTCCGACATTGCTGCCCGAACTGTGTTACCCGTGTACTTTACAATTCCTATAGAAATGGGTGGACTGGGACTTCGCCCTTCGGCCATCGGTACCATCCTTTCACTACAGGGATTTGCCAGTGGTTTCTGCCAAACGCTTCTCTTTGCGCGCTTACATGATCGATTGGGCCCCAAAAACCTATACCTCGTGGGATCATCTTTATACCTCCCCGCGATCGTTTTGTTCCCTGTGACGGCTTGGGTGGCACGAGAGAGGGGACTGGATTATGTTGTCTGGACCCTTGTTGGAACCCAGATAATGTTATTCGTGTTTGCAGGTTTCTCGTTCAGTGAGCATCAATTTCTTTGCACCATTCCTAGTGACTCATGAATTGTGGTTAGCCGTCACCTTCATATACGTTAATGCGGCAGCCCCGAACCGCGCCTCTAGTTGGTGCAACTAACGGCCTTGCACAGATGATGGTGTCCGTGACGCGTGCGCTCGGCCCCATAGGCGCTAACTCGGCGTTTTCGTTGAGTATCCAAAAGCATGTGATGGGTGGTTACTTCGTGTACTGGTTGATGCTAGTGATGGCAAGCGTTACGTTCGGAATGGGGTTCCTCTTACCGAAAAAACCATGGACGGTTTGAGGGCCGTCTTGCACGGCCGTTTGCGCGCAAACCGTAAAAGACGCACTTAACTCTCAAATGTAGACCAATACATGCATTGGTAGCCTGTACTATGTACATACTGCGGAGTACTTCCGAGTGTGTGTACCTACAGCAGGTAGGTTTACCGGATACTGGTCACCGGTTCATAAGACAGTAATGTGGATAGCACTGTAAGTCTGGATGGTCGAGTTCATGATCGCTGAAGCAGCAGGTGTATGTATCATCCTAGACTACCGGCTCAACTGACCTTAGCACTCTCGACTATGCTTGCTTCCCATTTTCGTCAAGCCGTACCGTCCAAGTCAAACTTTATTATCTGCTTCGCCAGCCGCACGATGTCAATAAATGGCATATTATATTTCCATCGACATAATTGAATACTATAGGAGATGGACAGGCCGTGTGATGCCTGCTGTTCCTTCTTCATTTCTCCCTTGAAATTATGAAGCAATAGTTACAGGTACCCGACCTTACAACCCTAGCAGCTGCCTTATGTATGAGCACCACCATGCGCAGGACTTCACGGTTCAAGCTTTACCTTTGGGTGAAGCAGTTGGATGGCTGTGAATTCAGTATCCGATGTTTATCTCGCTGTTGCGTGGTCACGGTGCGTGTCCTCTGCTGTTGACTCTGGCAGGGTCGTAGCGCGGCTGCCTTGCTCCACCTTCACTTTCCACACGATGCCCGTGTATGTATTGGGCCTCTGTCAGTTACCCCCCCCTGCGTGGTTTCCAGTCCTTAAATTGAATAACCTTGGCTCGCACGCCTCCAAGGATCGTGTCATCGTATCCTCTCTTTTGGTGTATGGTTGCTTCGGTGTTGCACAATCTCGTCGGGTGTCTTCCATCAAGCCGTCATTTCCAAGACTTTTCACTGCATGTACAAAACTGCTGTTCACTGTTCTGGCTGCACCTCCCTGCCTGGTGAATTCAGAATCTATACTCCGTTCAATGATAGTATCCTGCCTGACGATACTGTAGGTTTCGTCGTCGCAAAGGCGCATCTGGCGTCTGCCGTGTCTCAGGAGATGATCTTGCTGGAGGTCTCACAGTTTCTTGTCTTTCCCGGAGAGCCCTCTTCTGATCTCTACGAGCATTCTCTTCCCGACTACCCTGTTTCATTTGTGGTTGGTCTAGGGCTCAAAGTTTCGCCTTGCTATCGGGCGATGTTTCCAAGGATTATGTTAGAGACAGCCGCAAGACCTCTGTCGTTCAGTAAGTGCGGTCGTCTTTACTCGCGTGGGTGCTGTGTTCCTGCTTCTCGGGCGTAGGTGCATATTCGGTGGCAACGAGGCGCGTTGGAAGCGAACACCCTCTCCAGCCGCCGATACTACCGTTCAGTACGTTGGCATCTTCTCTGGGATCACTGGTGTGGGGCGCTTCCCGTGCCTTTTGAGAGTATTGTTCTTATTATTGGAGTTCAGGAGTGACTTATGGATGCAGTGCCGTAGCCTGCAGTGGGGGAACGAACTTTCAGTTCATTTACTGTGGAGTGCGGCGGGTCTAGTGGAAGCATGTCTGCTCTGATTGAATGCACCGTAGGAATTCATCTTCTGAATCAGCTGCTTCCTCTGTCGCCGTCCCATGGGCACCATTTTTCTCCTCTGGATCTTCTACTGGTGAGAGTAGTGGGCGGGGTTTCCCCCCTTCATCTGTCACATGCAACAGTGGTAGTGTTGAATGTGCAGACGTCAGGGAGTCTTCGTGATCATGGAGTTGCTCCGTCCATGGTCACGTCTTCCGCCGCCGCCGCCGAGGACTCAACGATACGTCCCGCCCTGCGAACACGATCCCTTCCGTCGACGAGGTTGGTGACGCTGTGGGAGGGAAGGCGAAGGGCAAGGGAAACACCAACTGCGTTTAGATAAGTTGCATCTCATCTGCTGTATTCTGTGGACTTCACCCTTTTTACCGAAGATATAGGTAATGAGGAAATTGGCGTGTTCTTACATCGCGTGCCCAGTACTGTACGGTACCTTCTGACCCGCTCCAATATCGTGTAGTTTTTTCTGTTGCACACATTGAACAGAAAGTGTATTGTCTCCGCACTGTATGCTTTTCTGATTGCACCCGTCGTCGCTCCGCTTATGCTCTCCCGGGTTCCGCAGGTGTATCTGGTGTCCATTATGGGCTTCTTCCTATCATGATTCATGAGTGTCACTCTGGATAGGTATGTCTGACAACAGATGATTGATTAACAGGGCTCATTTCCACACCCCGGTTGATGTGGGGGGGAACAAAGAGCTGGCCGAGATGGGATTCTCCTGCTCACTAAGGAAGTACCGGGTTTGTGCTGTGGTTCGTACGGCCGCCGCATCTGCATGATGTCCCCCCCCTCCTTTGCCGTCCCAGGTTGAGGCTCCCACCCACCATCCGGAGATCTCTGGCCATTCAGGGACAAATGTATAAATACTCTCATAAAAATTCTACCGCCCGCTGGCTGTTGCACCATAGCTATATGCAAAACATTCCTAACACAGATTGGGCTGTCCAGCTCCCAGAAGGTTGGATAGCTGATGTAAGCAGGGCCTTTTCTGTGGTCGATCTCTTTGCGGTTGGCCGTCAACATTTTCGCGAGGTATTTGCTAATGTGCCAACTGATTCATTCGTTCTTCGGGATGCGGCAGCTGCCAAGGTGGTGACAATTACTATGTCTTTCGGCAACGCGTTGTCCGTTCAGGTTGGTGGGAGACAATTACAGCATATCTCTCGTCGTGCTGGGATGAACCAGACGTGTCAGCCAAATTTGGGAGTGTCAAACATTCCGGCCCAGAAGCCGGTGGCAACTACTCCCAGTCTCCCACCCACCCTTGCTCCTTCCACCGCTTCTGCGTTGCTATGACGTAGTGGGTTACGGCTTACAAAGTACAGCATCGGCGGGGGTTGCTGGCACTTGGCGTAGACCGTTCTGCATGGCAAGTGTGTGCTGTGTGTCTGCGCGTTCGGAACGCGAATAGACAACTCACCAGAGCGGTGCAGGTTTTCATTTAGTATTGGCAGCCGATGAAGGTCCGGGGAACTTTGCGGAGGCGAATTTGCTTGTTATCAACAGCAATCGCGAACTCCCTCCCCACGATACGACTGTGAACAATGCATCCGCAAGAAGTGGATGAGGAGACTCCCCTGATACCAACACCTAATGGTGTTCAGGATGGGAGCCCGAAAGCGGCAAGAACTCCTCTACCGTGGAGGCAATTTTCCATCCTTTTATTACTGCAATTGTCAGAGCCTCTGACATCGCAAGTGATTGCACCATTCTTGCCCCAGGTGAGTGAGCTACGCGCAACACCATTTCGCACCAATTCGACATCTCAGGTTCCACCTTAAGCTCATCAGGGACATCGGTATCACACATGGCGATGATTCTAGCTTAGGATACTACGTTGGCTTGGTGGTCAGTCTTATGTTTTAGAAGCGACAAACAATGACTCCGAGCGTCTGATCTTCTTACAGCATTCTCTATTCTTTATGACCGAGGCGTGCACGATATTCCATTGGAGTCGTGCGTCGGACATGATCGGGCGCAAACCAGTGCTCATGACCGGGCTTCTTGGTCTTGCGGTGTCGATGTATTGCTTCGGACTATCTAAAACGTTTTTGGGCCTCCTTTTTAGGTACGTTGTGCGATTATGTTCTCTCCAGAGACCAGGATGCTGATTAAACTACTCTTGATGAAGCCGTTGTCTGAGTGGTGCCCTGAACGGGAACATTGGGGTCATGAAGAGCATGATAGTAGAAATCACCGATTCAACGAATTTAGCTCTGGCATGCGGTTTCACGCCTCTTGCGTGGTTTGTTGGAACCACAATTGGGTTCGTTCCATAGCAGTATACTGTGCACAGTTATCCAGTTCGTTCTGATCCTATCCAGGCCACTTATCGGTGGATTACTAGAACATCCAGCGGAGAAATACCCCACAGTTTTTGGAGGCGCCACATTCTTCAAGACATACCCATATTTCCTTCCGTGCTTAATGTCCGCAGCTTTTGCTGTGCTATGCTGGTTTATCGCTTATTTCTTGCTGGAGGAGGTTAGTTCGCCTATCGTTTTTCTCATTGGAGTTGGGCCGATTATCACACCTATAGACTACCACACCGCAAATGTCTGCAAAAGATTACATCCTTGGTCGCAAGCCCAAGCCTCAGGGACCGAACGGGGAATTACCAACAGCAACGGCGAACGGCGTTCATTGCGATAAAAACGAAGGTCAACTGCCTCTTCGGAAACTCTTGGTTCCCAACGTGTTGGTTGCCGCAGGCTGTTATGCCTGCCTTGCCTTCTCTGACATCGCTTCCCGAACTGTGTTACCCGTGTACTTCACAGTTCCTATAGAAATGGGTGGACTGGGACTTGGCCCTTCGGCCATCGGTACCATTCTTTCACTACAAGGACTTACCAGTGGCGTCTGCCAAACGCTCTTCTTTGCGTGCTTACATGATCGATTGGGCCCTAAAAACTTATACTTCTTGGGATCATCCTTGTATTTCCCTGCGATCATTCTCTTCCCTTTGACGGCTTGGGCAGCGCGCATGAGAGGACTAGACTACATTGTCTGGGCCCTTGTTGGGTCTCAGATGATATTATTCGTGATTGCAGGTTTCGCGTTCAGTGAGGGTCGATTCTTTTGTACCGTTTCTAGTGACTCACGAATGGCGATTAGGTGTCACTTTCGTATATATCAGCGCGGCAGCCCCGAACCGCGCTTCTATTGGTGCAACTAATGGTCTCGCACAGATGATGGCGTCTGTGATGCGTGCGTTAGGCCCTGCAAGCGCCAACTCGGCGTTTTCGTTGAGTATCCAAAGACATGTGATGGGTGGTTACTTCGTGTACTGGATGATGATGGTGATGGCGAGCGTTTCGGTCGGAATGGGGTTCCTCTTACCGAAAAAACCGTGGAGGGTTTGAGGGCCGTTTGCACGGTCGCTAACTCTCACTTGTACTAATATAAATGTTCGTAGGTAGCGTATGCATACCGTAGAATTCTTTCAAACATATTCAGAGCAGACAAGTTTGCCGCAGAAGTACCTGTCGCCGATTCATGAGACCGTAACGTGTACAGCATTGCTGCAACTTTAGGTTGGGTACTGAGTTCACTACTGTCCCTACCAGCTTTCGATCATGCTTGCCACTTCCCATTTATGTCAAGTCACAGTCAAGTGTAGCTGCTAGTAATAAGTTCAAGAACTCAGCGTCTACCCGCACGATGCCAATACAAGGCTCGATCAGTGTCACTGCAGACAATGTCGAGGAAGTTCTGAATCTTCCTGCACCCGAGCGGTTAACCCAGGGGTTGAAAAAGGTCTTTTCCAAACTCTTAGAACCCAACCAGAGTATCAGGTTCCTGCGAGAGTACACGGTAACCCTTCTCCGCTGTTTGATAGTTTGCATATTTTTAACGGCTGTTAGACTGCGATCGAGCGCAGATTAAAGCGCGATCCCTCCTTCGCGGGCACGGGTTTGGATGCTTTCGGGAAGGCATGTGTTTCTGCAGGACTGGTCATGACGGTGTCGGCCTTCGTGTCGCGACCGCCGCCTTCGGCTGCGCAGTTTAGGGAATTCCAGCTCGCGCAGCAAAATGCCCTGGCATCTTTGTATCATATTTGTGTAGGTGTTGATTCGGCAGAACGAATTGATGTAGAAGACCAGATTTTGACTCTCGGTGTGACAGCCCGCCTGATGCCTGTGAGTACTTCCATATTTTTCCCCTTGAAATTATGAAGCAATGGTTATAGATACTTGACCACGACAATTGGGACTTGCGGTCCCTGTCAGCCTGTATTCTCATCACACTCGCCGCTGATACTGCGTACGTGGGGTGCTTAACTACTTCTACACGAGGGGAGATCGCGGTCTGCTTGTGTTTGGTAGTTTTGCGAGACTTGGAGAGAATAGCTGACCGCATTGAGAACCATCCCACTAAAGTACGTTCTGTTTTCTCAAGTGCCTTGGCTTGGTAGTGAAGCATAAAGTAGATGCTCGGTGCCGTGGATATCAACGAATTCCATTCCCCGCTTGCACACCAGCAACACGTTTTGCGTGGTATTGGTGACTTTTTGAAGCCACATCCACCTCACACTTCCAAGCTCCGCCTCGACTTATTGAAAGAAAGGCCCGAGATACTCGATTACTTGTTCGATTGTGCTACCATGCCAGGTCTGCCCGGCTACCCCCTGAGCGCTGCTAATGCTACCGCTTGCGAAGTACTGGCGAGGCTAATTGAATGGCCTCCGCATCTTGTTCCGGGTGTATCGACACAGGTGGACTCCGCCATCAAGGCACGAGAGTGGAAAATCCTGTCACAGTGTCTCACTATCGTCACTTCACGGGAAGATTGGATGGAGAAGATAGTCGAAGTCTGGATGAATGTGGTGGAAACTACCCACCAAGATATTAAAGCGTATGGTTCTCGTATATGCGTTTTTTCCTGCTCCTCTGAGACTTTCCCTTCAGGATGTTTGAAGAACACTTGGAGGGGCCGCCGTTGGATGAAGCCGTCGAATCCGTTTGTCAACATCGAGGTGAGTTTGGAGGGAGTTGTTAAGGTGGGATGATGAGCTTACGCTCCGTAGGGACGGTACGCGTGAACTTACTACGAATCATTATCAATTTAACCCATGCGGCCGAATCCTGCGGTATCTCCAATGCTGACATAGAGTCTTTTCTGCACATTGCATACACAGCGTCTAGTAAGGTCCTTCCGCGAGAGGAGTCTTACCGTCGACACGATTACCTGATGTATATGGAGCGCGGCGCGGTGAGTTTCAAGCTCTCGATTCACTCCAGTATCTTCACGAGAACATTTATTCACTATTAAAGGATCACGGCGAGTGCATATTGGGACCAACAGCCCTTGCACGACTGCTCGTCCTGCTTGCTCAGCGCAAAACCCTTAACAGTATCCAGGGATTGAAGAAACCACCCAATGGGCTATCTTCGTCCACATGTCTCAATCACGTACAACACATCACAAATCCTGATGTCATACGGCGGTTCCTGACTATTGCATTGGAACGCGTGAAGGCCAATACTTCTGTGGGACGCGAACGCGCGAGCAAGACACAATACGAATTGGCGCGGCACGCATTCGCAACCTCGGCAGAGCTAGCCGCGGCTTTGGTAGCATTGGACATTCACACTCAGGGTCAGTACAGTAAAGAAGTCGTCGGCGCTCGAAGGGAATTGGTTATCGCTTTGGGGAATGCGTCTGAGATGGCGTTGAGACAGAACGTGTATTTGATGGGGCTGAGCTTTGCATTTGGTGCCCTTAGCGCTGCTGAAAACATTCCTGATAGCGAAGGCTTGGACCCGGCGATAGTAGAGAAGAATAGGCGACGTGTTATCTTAGCTGAGGAAGGGAGGCATAGTTTCTTTGCCAGCCTATCAGCGCCTACTTAGGACATTTAGGGGTTATAGATTACTAAGATTTGTTTGTATGTGTTTGGTGTATTGTTATTCAGACTCAGCTGCTGCTGGGCTCGGCATTGAGTCGAGTCGGTGACTGTCCTTTGAAGCATAGCTGCCATGTCGCCAACGAACTCACCGAGGCTAGTGGACTCTTTCACAGCACCAAAAGAGGTCTTGCAAGAGTTTGCAGAACTTGCAGAGGAGGACAATGTTGACCCATTTGCTGAAACAGCCTCCAAACGTCAAATTGCAGCTAGGCAGTCTGACTACCACAACCGTCGTTTCAACCGGGTCGCACAAGACGGTGTCGACGTCTTCAAGCAGGTGGATGAGGGTGCAGAGGTAGAGGGCGGCTACAAGGATGCGATGAGGTTGGCTAGACTGGAGCAAGAGGAGGCCCGGGTGCGGAGGGCAATCGAAGAAAAAGAGAGGAAGGAGAGAGAAGAGGGGAAGACGAAAATGGATTTGGACAAGACTCCTCCCGCTGCAGAGCTTCAGGACGTCGCAATGGAACTCGCTGCTGCTAAGGAGTTGGCTGAGGCCCGGGAGCGGGAGGCAGCGTCGGGTGTAAAGCGAAAACGCAGGTGGGATGTCACTGAGCCTACCGACGAAAACGTAGACCCAAATAAGCCTGACCAGGGCGAGTGGTCGAAGGACGCACTTGAGGCTTCTGCACCGAAAAAGAGGCGCTCTCGTTGGGACGCGACGCCGGCGGAAAATATAGCTGCTGTGGGCGAAACCCCCAAGCGTTCTCGCTGGGACCAAGTTGCCCCCGTACATGAAGCCCCTATGACCCAAATTATCATGAATGCCCCCGGCATTATGCACGACGACAAGCACAACCGCTACCTTACGGACGAAGAACTGGACGCCATTCTTCCGTCTTCAGGGTACGTCATTGTCACTCCTCCGCCAGGCTATGCGCCGATGGTTGCACCTCGGAAGTTGATGCCCCCATCTGTAACCGAAGTTGGGGGCTTCCATATCCAAGAATCTTCTGACGCTGCAGCAATAGCTGCGGCAGCAGGTCTGGCGCCAGAACTTCCCACCGAGATACCTGGCGTGGGTAATCTTGCATTTTTCAAGCCCGAGGATGCAGCAGTACTTTGCCAAGATCCTCAAAGAGGAGGATGAGACACAGCTTTCGGTCGACGAAATGAAGGAACGCAAAATCATGCGACTGCTGTTGAAAATTAAGAACGGCACCCCTCCCGTCCGTAAGACAGCACTTCGCCAGATTACGGACAAAGCTCGCGAGTTCGGTGCCGGTCCACTTTTCGACAAGATCCTTCCACTTCTGATGGAGCGTACGTTGGAGGATCAGGAACGGCATCTCCTCGTCAAAGTCATCGACCGCGTCCTGTACAAACTTGACGACCTTGTACGGCCCTACGTTCATAAAATTCTAGTCGTTATCGAGCCGCTCCTTATAGACGAAGGACTACTATGCTCGCGTTGAAGGCCGCGAGATCATTTCCAACCTCGCGAAAGCGGCTGGCCTTGCACACATGATTTCCACCATGCGCCCAGACATTGACCATGCCGATGAATATGTGCGCAATACCACCGCCCGTGCCTTTTCCGTTGTCGCGTCTGCACTAGGTATCCCGGCGTTGCTTCCCTTCCTCAAGGCCGTTTGTCGTAGTAAGAAGTCGTGGCAGGCTCGTCACACAGGTGTCCGTATCGTTCAGCAGATTGCCATCATGATGGGCTGCGCCGTCCTTCCTCACTTGCGCAGCCTCGTCGGCTGTATCGCTCACGGACTCACGGACGAACAGCAAAAAGTAAGGACAATGACTGCCCTTGCTATCGCTGCCCTAGCCGAAGCGGCTGCACCCTATGGAATCGAGTCTTTCGATGAAGTTCTACGGCCGCTGTGGCTTGGTATTCGCCAGCATCGCGGAAAGGGTCTTGCCGCCTTCTTGAAGGCGATTGGTTTCATCATTCCTCTCATGGACCCAGAATATGCTTCGTATTACACGAAGGAGGTCACGGTCATCCTGATCCGTGAATTCCAGACGTCGGATGAAGAGATGAAGAAGATCGTCTTGAAGGTCGTTAAGCAATGCGCCGCCACGGAAGGTGTAACTGCCCAATACATTAAGCAAGACATTCTTCCGGACTTCTTCAAGTCGTTCTGGGTTCGTCGCATGGCGCTGGACAGGCGAAACTATCGTCAAGTGGTTGAAACGACTGTTGAACTCGCGCAAAAAGCCGGAGTTGCTGAGATTGTAGGGAAGATTGTGAACGAGTTGAAAGACGAAGCAGAACCCTACCGTAAAATGGTCATGGAAACTATCACGAAAGTCGTCGCCACTCTCGGTGCCTCCGATATCGACGAACGTTTGGAAGTCCGTCTAGTCGATGGTATCATATACTCTTTCCAGGAGCAGACTACGGAAGATCAAGTCATGCTGGACGGGTTCGGTACTGTCGTCAACGCTCTAGGTATCCGTGTCAAGCCGTACCTTACGCAGATCGTCTCTACTATCCTCTGGCGGTTGAACAACAAAAGCGCCAAAGTTCGTCAACAGGCCGCTGATCTCACCACGCGACTCGCTATCGTCATCAAGCAATGTGGCGAGGATCAGCTTTTGAGCAAGCTTGGACTTGTATTGTTTGAACAACTTGGAGAGGAGTATCCTGACACGCTCGGTAGTATCATTGCAGCCGAGGGCGCTATCGCTAATGTGGTCGGTATGACACAAATGAACCCCCCGGTAAAAGATCTTCGTGAGTATTCATTACCTTTTGATTACTCAATGTCTGACCCATATATAGTTCCTCGAATGACCCCCATTCTTCGTAACCGTCACGAGAAGGTTCAAGAGGCGTCTATTAACTTGATCGGTCGTATCGCGGATCGTGGGGCCGAGTTTGTTCCAGCCCGAGAATGGATGCGTATCTGCTTCGAGTTGTTGGATCTCTTGAAAGCCCACAAGAAAGCCATCCGTCGCGCTGCTGTCAACTCGTTCGGATACATCGCAAAGAGTTTGGGTCCTCAAGACGTGCTTTCAGTTCTCCTTACCAATTTACGTGTGCAAGAGCGTCAGAGCCGTGTGTGCAGTACGGTTGCAATCGCTATCGTAGCTGAAACTTGCGGACGTGAGTTTTCTTTCTTGTCATCACACTCCAACTTGCTTACGTTCTCTTCCAGCATTCACGTGTATACCTGCCATTCTGAATGAATACAGGACGGCCGAGTTGAATGTCCGTACTGGATGTCTCAAGGCACTTACCTTCGTGTTCGAATACGTCGGCCCCCAATCTGCCTACTACGTAGATTCCGTTGTCACCATGTTGGAGGATGCATTAACAGATAGGGACCTCGTTCATCGTCAAACAGCGAGCGTTATCGTGAAGCACTTGGCGCTTGGCTGCGCTGGTCTCGGCTGCGAGGACACGATGCTTCACTTGATGAACCTTGTGTGGCCGAACTGTTTTGAGACGTCACCTCACGTTATTGGCGCGGTTATGGACGCTGTTGAAGCGATGCGACTAGCATTGGGTCCCGGTGTACTCCTTAGTTACACGCTGCAAGGTTTATTCCACCCGGCTCGTAAAGTCCGAGAGGTACGTGTCCCTAAATGTTCCTGCTGCCTTACCAAGAGTACTCATCCATTCATTAGGTGTATTGGCGAATCTACAATTCCCTGTATCTCGGCGCGGCGGACTCTTTGGTGCCATTCTACCCTGACTTGAGTGAACTGAGTGAGGGTCAAAATGTATATGATCGGCACCCACTGCAGATGTTCGTATGATTGTATTGTAGAACCAAGGCTATGGCCCATGTAATTCTGCTGCTTTCCTATTATCGCGACACCTTACAGATTCCTCGGTTTGAATAAATTAGTTGACAGGTTTCGTGGTTATGTAACAGTTCGAAGCCCCTTCAGAATACTCTGGCAATTTCCACATCCAATCAAAATTCTGTAGTATGGTTTAAGACATTTGACTCTTGTTAGCAAAAGGCAGGGGACAGCGTAATAGTACATTGAAGTATGAATCCAATTTCTTTTTTCTCAGAGATATCGCTCAAGGTTTGATCTCTGAAGTTGGTACTAAATTCTCAAGAATTCCAGTTGTGAAGTCGTACAGCAGTCCGTGCACCAAGACGGGCTGGTTCCCGGACAATTTTAGGATGGTCTGCCTCAGGCTGAGCAGATTCTCCACCTGAAGTTGCACATTCTCCATCGTAGCCCATTCGACTGATCCGGGCGATCCGGGCCAGAGCTGTTTGAGACGTTGTATTAGAGGCTCAAGCCACGAGTAGATGGGGTTGTCGGAAGAGACATCTCCACAACCTCCTGGTGCGCCGGAAAAAAGCTCCGCCCCTTCTTTCTCGGTGAGGCAGATGCGCTCAGGGAGAGGACAGGGTTGCGCTTGCTCATGTGCGTATATCACACCACCACACTTTTTATGGCCGACGACTGCCACTAGACGAGAAAATATATTAGGGGAATTTATCACGATAGCGATGGAAGGACAGACCATTTCGGACCCCCAAAGCTCCAATGGCATATGCCAGGACTGCCAGTGCATTGGTGTCCTGTGTTGGAAACTGGCTAAGAAACCGACGTCAATGCCATGCACATGTGTGAGGTCAGTGTAATCAATTTACTTGGCGATATTCCTATGGACGAAGATTTCGCCGGGCCTGGCAACTGTAATGTCCCCCTCCAAAATTCTAGAGTCTGAACACCCGATCCAAAGCAGCTGCCACAGGAAATGAATAAGGTAATCCGAGAGAACCCGCAACCGGCTTTACCTTCGGTCTCTGGGGAACATTGGGGTCCGGAAAATAGCAAGGAGTTTTAAGTTTTCGTGACGGTCGCCCACTGTGGGTTGACTCGAAGAATAGATGGAACAACATCTCGTACGTCGCGGGAGGAGCATTCCGAGTCTGTGTGACACTCAGACATAGTAGGCGGATCGTGTTTTCTGTGAAGTGAGAAAGGTCCTGAGGTCTGTTTCGAATTTTCACGCTGCACGACTCTTTTTAAAACATACCAGGGAAGCGGTCACGAGTATTGTGATCGTTATCAAAGTTCATCAAGCTGCCAGCATCGCCCACCGGAATCAAGGGGCGGAGATGGGCGTAACCGCTCTATTCGGCATGAGTGACTCAAAGACAGATGCGAATTTCAAGCTTGGGACTTCAACTTGGTCACTACCGACCTCCATTCCATGACCACGAGGCAACATGTGCAGTTCTGCATCAATATGGAACGCGCCGAATTTGTTATGTTTCTCAAACGCTTGGGCACAGGGAACACAGTATTTCACACTGCGCGCTTTTCCCCGTTGGTTGTTTCGAGGTACCATACCGTTACGAGCGCTTAGTATATTTTTGGTGCGGAACAGGGAACACCTGGGGGCATGCGATCACGTCGGCACTCACCTTCCATCACAGAATCGCTTGCCATGAGATTCGTGGAAACCGATTGCGATAATGCAATTGAAGATGTGAGGTACCATACCGTTTCGAGCGCTTAGTATATTTTTGGTGCGGAACAGGGAACACCTGGGGGCATGCGATCACGTCGGCACTCACCTTCCATCACAGAATCGCTTGCCATGAGATTCGTGGAAACCGATTGCGATAATGCAATTGAAGATGTGATGTCAAATGAGTAAGTTTATGTTACATGTTTACCTTTCTTTTTAGGTGGCCGACTAGAACCACTGATACCAAGATTAGGCGGTCCGTTAGCTGGACCACCAGGGCTGGATGTGGCACCACCAGAAATGCTTTGTTCGCGAGCACGCTTTTTAGACCCACAAGTGTCCACTTCGACGTCTCTTGGAATATCCGTGGTTACAGTACGATTATTAGACGGAGGTTGAGGCGTTTGGCTTAGGCAGATGTCAGAATCTTGGGTGGCAGGACCGGAAGTTTGCGGGGGGGGAAAGACTAATTTCGGTTCAGATAAGACAGCACGATATGTTCTACGTGTTTCTTGAAGAAGGGATGTGACGTGGCCATTATTAGCTTGCTATATCACGAAGGAATGACCAAGGAGGAAAACTCACGAGCCCGTATGAGAAGGGACTTTGGCGTGACGGCAGAAGCGTCGTGAGCCATGTTCTGCGCCAAACCAAGAAGGCATATGCTGCATAAGGTCCCTCAGCGACGTGTACAATGTAGCCGGACAAGACACTCACAGATTTTGCACGTCCCTTGGTCCACGATAATCCGCTTCTGCAAGCGCGCCGCTGCTGACAATTATCCCCTTTCCCTTGGTGACACGGACTACTTCTCGTGCAGCGGCCCACCAATTCCGTTTAGCACTCGATCCCGTGTCGCTTACCCCCAAAGCCGATGAATTTGCTCCACTCTCACCAAGAGCTCCAGCATAATTGATTTCGAAGACTGCACCGTTCTTGATTGCGGTGCGCACGAGGGTGTGTTTAAGATGAAATGGAAGTCGCGGCAATGTCAGCTGGAGAGTAATGATGTGGGCCGTCAGAGGTGAAGGGAGACTGTGTGTCAGACACGCCGAGGAAAACGTTGCTGCAGTCGTCGGCGCGAGAGCAACGATGTCATATGGTTCGATGACTGAGGCATTCGCACTAGCCTGAGGGTACGGTGAGAACCCAGGTCGGGAGATAAGAGAGAAAGTGGTTACCAGACCAAAACCTTTTTCACTTTCTTCGTCGAGAACTATGGTCAACCTTTTCAAGAACAACACGCGCGGCCGGGTTTTTAGCTGCAACAACAGCGTGTCGAGGACGTTGACGTGCGTCTTGGGGTCGATCTTCTTGTTGACGGTCTGGTTAAACGCGATTACATTGTATCCCACTACACTCGCAGTCAGTCCTGGGGAATTGAGGTCGCAGAATTCACTCACGATGAATGAGAAGATCAACTCGGGCCTCGATAGTGGCTAACTGAGCAGGAGTAAACAGGGAAACGGTCTGCTGTGGTTGTTTTCCTTTATTCTTTTTCGACTGGGATGCGCCTGTGACTTCATGTGCGACGACTGGGACGTTCAAGTCGTAATACATTTTCTGACGCGGTGACCGACCGATAACCACAAGTCAGCGGGACCCCGGTTGAAGTCAATTTGCCGAGTCGTAAGAGTCATATCCATAGCTATGATAAAATGGTATTACAACAGATCTAATATGTTGTGTCTCTACTCTGTGTAGTAGCCTTATGTAAATCGTGTGCATGAGTACGTGGAAAGAGAGGTTCGAGACGATAGTCATCAATTAATATCCTGCATTCATTCCAAAGGTTAGTTCGCGTATGTATACGATGGGGGCCCTGTATGTCAGTGATCAGGTGATACAGTTGTAGGAGCAAAAGGATACCCTACCAGGTGAGCGAGTGTTTTGAAGAGTGGATTGCACAAGTTGGCGTTCATCGTCAGACAAGGAGTCCATGAGTCGCACGAGGCCATCAATCGATGCTTTGCGGTCCTGCTGAGCGGCGTCAAGGAAACGTTGCAACAGGTACTCTGTCCTGAGCTGGGTCACGGCTGGCGCAAGGTCGAGTTCCTCCAAAGCTGTCGCAAGGGCACGGTTGTCTGCGGGATCAGAAGCACACACGAAGGAGTCCAAAACCTTGGTGAGGAGCTCTGGACTAGCCTCTGGGTTGGCCTCAGCGAGTGTGTCCAATGCCACAGAACGTGCAAGTCGTGCCCGAAGAGCCCAGTAGAAGAACCGACGCGCTTGCTTCCACACGGCAGGTTTAGCGCACCCTTTGGCTTCCATGCGGCCGGTCCGACTGTGAGGAGTAAACACACAGCTTCAACTAGAGTAACGAATCACTTACTCGTGCAGGTCAGCATATAACAACGCAATTTGCTTGTAGATTGGTTGAAGAAGAGTCTCTCTTTCCGCCAATGCCTGCGACGCGTTAGCTCTCTCTTCTGCAGTTTTACTGGAATCCTTGCTGTCTGCCTTGAGCGACGCATAGGTCGAGTCAAGACGCTCCATCAGAGACAAAATCTTATCGCGGCGCATCTTGATTTCGATGATGCCTTCGGGCTCGAGCACACCGGCACGGGCTTCGACATCTGCGTACATCTCCATCATTTGCGAATTGATAGAGGGATCGAGGACGACCCATGCTCCACCGCGTAATTCGCCATTCGGGACGATGTAGACGAAAACGGGTTGCTTGTAGCTCGATAGACCATCAACAATCTTGGAACCCTGCTTCAGGACTTCGTCGTACATATCCTGCTGACCGCCAGAGAAACCACGCCAGTTGGCAAAGATGATGAGAGGGAGCCCTTCCCGATTGAAGTCGAATATAGCCTGTGCTGTCTTGTAAGCTGAATTGGGATACCAGACTTGTCCCGCCTCCATCACACGCTGTTCGAAGGATGCAGGGTTGGCGGGATCTGCAGGGACAATTCGCTCGATCGTCCGAGTCTCGACAGCAATTACCCCCATGGGTATACCCCCCAATCTTGCACGACCAACGACAACGGTTTGCGCCCAACCACCAAGCGTTTCCTGGAAAGAGCCTTTGTCGAAGAAGCCAGGCAAATACTGCGATGTCTGTTCATCTTCTTTACCCTCGAGCATCCAACGAGGATCATAAGGACCTTTCGGTGGTACATAACCAATCTCCCGATCCCACGTGTCCGGGGTTTCACGAACAGGAAGAGAGTCACCCTTCGCCCGTGGGACATATGACAACCACTGGAGTATATGTGTTACACCTTCTAGGTCGCTGCTAGCGGTCAAGTGGGAAACTCCGTTCTTGTACATGATTTGAGTGCCACCGAGCTGCAAGTTCGACGCATAGACTTCCCGGCCCAGGACTTTGTTTAGTGCAGGGGCACCAGTCAGAATGATTGGTTGACCCTCGACTTGGACCGCACGTTCACCGAGGCGAACCAAGTAAGCACCGATACCGACAGAACGTGCAGTTACCAGCGTGATAGTGAAAATATCGTCATATGCGCGCGACGTCTCCCCAGCAATAAGACCAGATCCCTTCAAGGACTCCACACCGAGGCCGTCCTGGAGACCGATAATATCCGTGATCTTGTAGCGGAGCTCTCCATTAACCTCTACCTCTTCTGTGCGGATGGCAGAGGCAGCCTTCTCCTGCACTTTGAGGAAGTTTTCGCGAGTCAGGTAGAGATATTCGAACCCTTTCTCTGGCTGGTCTTCTTCATACCAGGCGCAAGAGAAGAGGTTCATAACTTCTTCGGCCAACCCTATGCGCGCACCGGAGTTGGCAGAGAGGTAAATTCGAGGGAGACCATGAGCCCTTGCATATTTCGTTGCGAGGTAGAAGAATTGATCTTCTACTGGACCAAACGAGCCAATCTTGTATGTAATGTCATTTGCGATGACGACAGGCTTGGCGACCCTTCTGGGAATTCGGGTGTCCTCAGGGTGAACACCCACGCGATCATACCGAATGTATTGTTTCCAGGAGCACGATCAACTTCTGTGAGCTCGTCGTGTTCGTCCAAGACAAGCTCCTTCGCCTCTAGGAATTTCTTGGGGAGGTTAAGAGACGAATCCTGGCTGCGCGCCTTGATCCAGATGTTTTGAAGCGCTTTAGAGAATAATTCAGGGAAATCGTAGACGTATGTGGTGCCCACAAGGTGTGCCTGGTAGCGCTTGGGCTGCAACGACTCCTTTGTCGGGTACGCATGGCTGACAGGCTGAAGGTGAAGAGGACCCTTCTCCCCAATTGATTTGAGAATTGTGGTGCCCTTATCAGTAGTAATTTCCTGGTACGCATTGAAGTTGACCACGAAGCCGGAGACGTTCTCGATAATACACCGGATGGGAGTGACGTTGCCCTCGCTATCCTCAAGCGCAATGCGAATTTCTGATCCAGTGACATGGAGACGCCAGAGTCGCTTACCGTGACGCTCGATGAAGCCCGAGATAGCCGCCAAAACGTCCTCATAGGAGACTGCCAGGTTGTATACAAAGTTCATGAAAATGTGGTTGCAATCCGCGTTCCGGTATTGGGCGTTAACAACCTCGAGTGCATCCAGGATACTGGTTACAAGGCGGTCAGTCTCTGAGATGAGGTACTCCGCCATGCTCATCGATCCACGGAGACGGCCAGGACGAACAAGAGCACGGATAAAGAACCGGCTGTCTAACTGGTTTTCGCGAGCCACGGCATGGTAAATATGAATCTGCTTTGTTTCGACAAAGACGGGGGTGAGCTTGTAGTTGGAAAGGCGACTGAGTTCAAGCTGGAACGCCAGGGCAGGCTCTATGTTACGGATAGCTTGCTCTTCCAACCAGATGTGGTTGGAGCTCCGGAACGTGAAGTACATGGGGTACTGGCCGCGTCGGCAGATGAGAATGCTGATACGACGAACACCTCGTTTGACCAGAGTGGGGTTGCGCTCGTTGACGAATTCGGTTAACTTCTCGGCCCATGCTTCCTCTGGCATGTCATCCGCCTTCTCGAAGATGCGCAGGGCAAGGTTCACGACGTTCGGGGGCTCCACGCTACCATAACGACTTTGGAACTCGCCGACGTCGAAAATGGGAAGAAGAGCTGCCACTTTCTCAAAACCACGTGAAAGCGCCGCTGAATTTGAGAATGAAGCGATGACACCCATACGGACGGGTTGTGAGTGGTTGCGACTGATCAGGTAAGTCAAATCGCTAACTGATCCTTGGCGCCTCGGGTCACTGTTCGTGCGAGTCAGTGGCTGAACATTGCTGAAGATCAGCGACTTGGACACTTACGGTGCATTCACTCGGGGCGTCGCCGGAGGGGAGTGAGAACGACCTAAATTGAATTGCCAAGTCACCGCCGTAGGAACATCTCCGTCATCTTCGCCATCACCCTCTTCATAGTCTATGGACAGCAGTGAGTATGCTCGGTAGGCACGGCGGACGTAAACTTCGAGGGCGGCTGTTCAGGGTGTCAGTAAAGCTTCCTTCTTAACGATCCCAACAACTTACCCATGGTGACATGGGGATCTGGGTGCGCGAAGAACGAAGGAAGCACATCATAGACTGTGTAACGAGAATCGCTAAGCTCGCGTAATACCTCGGCGGAAGGAGCTCTGCAACGCGTTAAAACATATCATGTTTCGTAGGATTCGGTTTCCTTACCCGCTTGCGGCCCCCTGTTCACCGTAAACGCTGGAAGTCACAGAGGCTTTCAAGATGGCCTCCATCTGCACGAGACGCTCCTCATACGATGGCATTTGCCCGAGGATCAATACCTCACGAGCCTTCAACGAAACACTCGTCGACGATCTATTACCTTTTAATCAGCATAGTCAACTGGGGGGAAAAATACGTAAGGACTGACTTAGACTCGAGCGCAGCGAGACTGCTCAGAACTTGGTAGAGCCGACTTTCGGGATTCGACACGGGCAGACCGCTTGACTTCACGTAATCCAGGATGGAGAGAACAAGCTTGGATTTACTCTGCTGCCTTGGTGTGACTCAGGACGAGCGCGACAACTTTATCAAGATCGTCCTTGTACTGTTCCCGAAGATTCAAAACACGAGCCTCTATACTTCCGCCAAAGAGCTTTTCCGTGGATTCATAGGCGGAGAGTAGATTAGCAAGAGTGTACACCTCATGGCCCTTGAGTCCACCCATGAAACGCTCGAGAACGTCGTATAGTGCACTCAGCTGCGTGCGGAACATGGCTCGGTCCTGAGGGAGGATCGAGTCTTGAATGTAGTGCTCCAGAACTTTCTTGATGCGAACGGCTGGGAACTCTTGCGCATCACTCTTGGACTTGGCAGTATCAATGGCTGCGCGAATGCCATCTTCAAGTCTCGAGGGCATACGACCAGCAAGCGCAGATAGGATGGCAGTAACCTCGGAGTAGGGCAATTCGGGGTCATGGAGCACTTCGATCAGTTCCTTGAATGTCGACGCCATGATGGCCTGATTATCGTAACCTTCAAGGATATCGTTGAGGGTACCCATGCAGCGCAAATACCGTTGATGGGGTTTGTTGCCTACGATACCAGGGTAACCCATCGGCGGGAGGAGGCCATCGAATGGCTTGGCATGTTTAACGCGAGCAGGATCATCGAGCGTCAAGATACCAAGAATGTCACCAGGCTCGAGACTGACGCCAGGCTGCTTGACAAACTGCACGACACCATCCTCGGCGGCGACGAGGGGCATGTACATTTTCATGACCTGCCAGATATCATCAGAACGGAATTTAAAGTACCGTATTGGGCAAGCAAACCTCAATTTCAGCATATTGTTCCCCGGCTTTGATGTGGTCGCCACTGTCAACCAAGAAGCGGATCAACTTTCCAGGGCTGGGACTCCGGAGTTGGGTAGGATCGTTCTCCTGCTCGATGAGACACGTTTTAGAGTCGACCATCAGACGCAGTGCGCCGACTTCCTCTCTCCAATATACGGAATGGCTACGACCGTCGAGAACGACAAGCAAACCGCCATCCGCGAGAGGGCGCCCGCCCACCATCGTTCGGCCACCATTTAAGAAAAGCGTCCACATATTCCTCGATGACCGTGCACATGTAAAGGTATAGCGGGTGTTCTCGTAGATGAAGTCCACGCTAAAAACAGTCTTTAGCAAGTCGCGCACGGGAACTTGACCCTTGTCCAGGATCCGTTTATACTCGCTGAGGCATGCTTCAGCAGCGAGATGAGCCTTAGTGACGGCACCACAAACAACGGCGAGAATTGCGTCAGGGCGCTCGGCAGTCAGCTTGCTGCTGATGAGCGAGTCGAGCCAACCCGTGGTGAAGGTGTTCTCTTTAAATGCCTCCAACTCAAGAAGCTTGATGAGGTACTCAACAGTCGTCCTAAAGTCACCGCGAATACTGAGTTCCTTGAGTGCAACAATCATGTTCTTGCGACTTTCACTGCGATCTTCACCATACGCGAAGATATGACCGAATTGTGAATCAGCGAATTCGTGAAGTCCACCAGCGGAAGCGACGGAGAAGTAACCCCAAACATTTTTACTCGAGCGGAAATTAAGCTCTTGCAACGATCCTGATGAGGGCTTAAATCCGGCATCTGGGTTTTCGGCAGTGATACGGACGGCGACGACATGGCCTTTTGGCTGCGGTTTACGCTGCAGCTGATTCGATTCCGGCTTTATCATGTCAAAGTCAATCTCGGATGAAGCATTCGGACCAACGCCGAACAACTGCCTGATATCCCGAATGCGGTGCAGAGGGAGACCCATGGCAATCTGGAGCTGCGCAGCTGGGAGGTTGACGCCAGTGACCATCTCGGTTGTAGGGTGCTCGACTTGCAAACGAGGGTTAAGCTCCAGGAAATAGAACAAGTCCTCCGAGGGACTGTACAAGTCTGGAACGGTTCATGAATAAGAACCCGAGATTGAAAAAATTGAGCTGCATACATTCAACAGTACCGGCACTGACATAGCCAACCAACTTGGAAAGCCGAACTGCTGCACGTTCCATTTGCTCAAAAGTGTCTTCCTTGGCGATAGTGACGGGGGCCTCCTCAATGATCTTCTGATGACGACGCTGGACGGAACAGTCGCGTCCAAACAAGGAGATGGCATTTCCATATTGATCAGCTAAAATCTGAACTTCCAAGTGACGAGCTTGTCCGGCGAGCTTCATAATGAAAATTGGCGAACCTATATTGTGTTAGAATGTTTTTTAGGATACAAGAATAGTATATTTACCGGGGATTTCTCCAGCGACTGCATGGAACGCGTTTTTGAAAGTGTCAGGATGTTCGACCTTTCGGATACCCTTCCCTCCACCTCCTTCACTGGCTTTTATCATAACAGGCCACCCGATTTGTTCAGCCCGGATCAAACCCTCTTCCACCGTTGTCACACATGCTGACTTGTAGACATCGTCGGGCACAGTGACAAAGCCTTGCTCTGAGAGTGCCGTTTGAGTTATGCCCGTGCCAGACCAGGCCATCGTCGGGACATCAGCACTCTGTGCGACGATCGTACTCGAGATCTTGTCTCCCAGGCTTCGCATGGCACTACCAGGTGGACCGATGAAGACAATCCGATTCTTAGACGCAGCAAGACTCTCTGGCAGTCTTGGGTTCTCGGACGCATGGCCCCATCCAGCCCAGACAGCATGCACGCCTGCACGCTCGGCGACATCGACGATAAGGTCCACGTTGGCATAGTTATTGTTGTTCGTGCCACCGGGTACCTCAATGTACTGGTCTGCCATTCGAATGTACTCTGCATTGACCTTCAGATCTTCAGGAGTGGCCATGACGGTGAATTCAACGGCTCTCTCAGTGCCGAAGGTTTCGTAACTCCATTGGCGGATAGAGCGGATCTCCTTAACTGCAGCGATACCTTTGTGATGGTGAGCAACACCTCTTGATAGAAGAGGTATCTAATCACCATTGTTCGCAATGAGAACCTATGAAACAAAAGAAGTCAGCACTCTCGTTTCCAACTCAGTCAGAGCAAGTGGATCCGGGCCACTGTGCCCTAGCCCACTCCATTGGGTCAATGATAATAACTCACCTTTGTGATAACAGTATGGCCGCCGTGGGCTTGGACAAAGTCTTTAATACGACCAGCTGGAGCCTTGTCCAGCGAATTTCCTCCTGCCAGGTCAATTATGCAACACGTTTCTTTCCACAAAACATCGCACATACCAATGAAATGCGCTATCTTCGAGGAGTCGTAAGGTGGCATCTGGAATGAAATCAGAAAAGATGAGCGGGAAGGAAGAGGGAGTGGACAACTGAGCGGGACTTATATGATGGAGCCTTGATGCTGTTTTACCTCTTTACACACTGCCCCAAAAAGTAACACACATCTGGGGTTACGTAACCATTTATGTCTTTCCAACAGGATGGACCTGAAACCCAGTGCACTTATGTCGCGGAAGGGCGTGACCAGACTACTATGAGATTGGATTTGGCAGGACGCGTTGCAATTCATATCATGAAGGTGAACATTATTCTTTCGGGCCTGAAACCTCTGCAGTGAAGCGGAAAGCGCAAGTACTTCGACGCGTCACGGTTTATGTAAATCCTCCCCAAGGAATTAAATGGTCCTCGATTCATCGCCGGTCCGAGGCTAATTCGAGCCAAGCTTCACGCCTTCAGGTCTCGATGCTGATAATCGTAAATACACGGGAGCATGATGCAGAAATATTATGTCGTTGACATGTATATAATCCCAGATTCCCTGCCGAAGCGCTGAGCGTAGGACGTCCAATTATCACTACTGGCCTCATACCTCGATATTCCTTGATTTTCCATTGGCCTCGCTTGGGTTCACCTTTGTAATATTGGCTTCGTTTAAACGGTGTAAACTATGTAAAGCTATATCCATGTATAGCTGCTCGACTTGATCCACCAGTCGATGCCAGCCCAATGCTGCTGTTGCAAGCCTATGCAGTTACAGTGTGTTGTTTCGTGGGATCTGCCAACAGTGCTGTCCAAAACCTTGACATAAGACCACAACGATGACCATAGGACAAGGCAGGCCGGAGAGCCATTGTCGCACGCTCCAGTGATGGCAACACCCAAGTGCGCAACCGTGATGATCTCTTGATGAGGGGGGGGCAGATTATCTGATTAATGGTTATCGATTCGGCCAACGCCCAGCTTAGTTGTCTTGAGATCATCGACGATGAGCAAGCGTGTGGTTGTGAAATGGAAAACCCATAATGAGAGCGGAGAACGGGGCCTACGTACAGAAGTTGCCGCTAATCGATCAATGCGTTGACCACAACCCATGCGGTCACTGATCCATCACACGAGGCAGTTGCCGGCTGTGAATGTCATTCACCGGCAGTTCCACATTCATGTGCTAAGGTTGAGAGCGTAGGGAGTATGTATCGTCCCAGTACACAAGTACGCACAGGACAGTGTGTGATCGTTGCTCGATCCGGCCAAGGATGACGGTGACCTTTGATATACTCAGTTATGCCGGTCAAAACGAGGAGCAAAATGAACTGACACGAGGATGACCATGTGGAAGCCGAGTGCAAGAAGAAGCCCCGCACCACGTGTTACCCATACCACTACGTAGTGCGCACAGGGTTGGCACAACCCTTCCCGCAACCCACCACCAACTACACGTTCAAATCGTCGGACTGTCCTCGTTACAACCACAAGGCAAGCGCTTCCATCTCGTATATATACTACCGCCCTCAACGTCTACTTTTTTAATACACATTCATCGGACATCCTTTCAGTCAGTCACTTGATCTTCTTTTACACCGATGACCGACACAGCGCTCGCAACCACTGAAACCGGGGCTTCCCCCAGAGAAAACGGCGGTGCCTCTGGCCCAAAGGCAACCATAAAAAATGTTGACATGGAAGAGAAGATGCAGCGGGAAAGCGTGGAAATCGCCACTGCAGCTCTCGACAAGTACAGCATCGAGAAAGACATCGCCGCACAGATCAAGAAGGAATTCGATAGCAAGTATGGTCCTACCTGGCACGTAGTCGTGGGCAAGAACTTTGGAAGCTACGTGACGCATGGTAAGCAGAGTTTCTCGATTTCTTCGGATGCGGTTATTCCGCATATCGGTCGTCCTCGTGCGGCTGGTTATGCGAAATACTCGTCTCGATCTTTGCTTTGTCCCTAACATACGTTAATTGGGGTCTACCAGAAACGAAGCACTTCATCTATTTCTACATCGGTGCCCTCGCCATCCTCATCTGGAAATCATGAGACCCTCCCTTGGTTTCCGTAGACCTTGTACGTCTGCTTCCGGTTTCTTCCGCATTCGCTATGTGAACGAGGCACTTTCAGTAGACTGTTCAAGTAGTATCTTGAACTCTATTGTAAACCGTTTTCGACCAACATTACCCACTCCTCTTCAACTTCTTGTGATTTACTATGCTTCTCGTGTACAATCGCATTCCGCTTTGTCACATCTGACATTCGATTGCGTGATGTACTCATGCCTGTCCGTAGGAAGATATCTTGCAAGTCCGAGGGTGCAGATCACTATTTGCATACATGTTACTCGGAACACTACATTGCTATCGAATAGACGCTACGAATCAATACACACACGACTATGTAACCGGCTGTGGAAATGCTCTACGGTACGAATTATAGGAGCTGCTAACGCTTGCGGGATCGTACACTGTTGCTTGTCCTTTGCCCAACCGATAGGGTATAAATGATGTTCCTCACCCGACTCTTGCGATCCAGTCTTAGTTCCCCGCAATTACTTCCACTACCACCCTCACCAAACACTCGTCGGTCTCCATGCTGAAGATTCCAACATGGAGTTCACCAATATCATCCTCAGCGGGAACACCGTAAAACTCCACTGCCCTCTTCCTCCCCTTTGAACTTCCGTAGCTTTTGAGTTCCACTTGCATAAACGCTGGGAGTGCATCACCCGAAATCAGCCTCGCTTCTAATTTTCGACGCCGGCCCCCGGAAATTTGTATCGGAATGCCAAACTTGAACGTCTCTGCCACAGCGCACGAGGAACCTCGGAACAGGTATCCGCCTGATTTCTGCTATGGACTCGGCCCGGATAAGAGGACTCAAGTGATTGCGGAGGAGAGGCAGATAGAGCTTTCGACGATCCTTCGCCGAGAGCACGGACATAGTGCATGGCGAGGTCGAAATCGTCGAAGCTGGGGGGATAGGTGTCCGAATTTCTCCCCCCTTCGGGGAATTGAGAATTGTGGCCTTCCAACCCCCTAAACACCTGGTTGCGGAGTGGGTGGCAACGGTCGGGGAGATAGGGCGGTAGACCGCTGCAAACGAGTCCACTGCTTTTCGGCCTGGGTCGCTTCGGAGGATTGCGCAGAAATGTTCTGGGCCCCCACGTGCTTTCCCATTTTGTCTACAAGTGCACTGTCATGGAGGAAAGTAGTCAGCTCCATTTAAGTGAAACGATTATTCTCGTTGTTACCTCCGCTGAGCGAGTCCCACAGCAGGGTCGCGGGAGTCATGTGGGGGGGCAAAGTCGGCTCTCCTCCTTGGCACTGGTCGGGTGGACGCGGAATCTAACGGGGATGCAGTGAGACTGGCCAACCCACTGTCCGTTAAGTCATCCTCGTTGCAACAAGCAGAACCCGGAGCCTCTCCGTAGTAATTTTCTTCCGCCGATGAAACCTCGGCTCGAGAGTGCGTGACGTGTATCGAGATCGGATTGCTGATGGCACTAGGCCGAGACGATATTCGCCAGAAGCTCGTGGTCACGCTTCTCGCCGTCTCCCCAATCCTTCTAAAGAAACCGCGCTTCTTCGTGGTGTCGTCGGCAGAATCACCCTGGCCTATCATGTCTGTACCATGCGGAAAGCGTCGAAGTTCGACACCAAAATTATCGTCGGCGGAAATCGTAGACAAGGACCGATCATGTCGAACTACCGTCAAGTTCGTCGTCGGTGCCATACCCGTTTCTACATCGACGGCGCCAACTCGTTCGGCATGGCTGTGTTCGCAAGTGTGTTTCTCCCCACTGTCAGGGCTACACCCCCAAATGCTGGCACGTTTACCGACGGCAGCAGACCCCTGCCTTCTGACGTACCACCTGATGGATACGACAGCACCGGCGAGAAGTACGCCACCAACGATACCGAAGACGAGGGACAGCACCAAGATCGTGCGGGAGCGAGAAGGCTCACCGGGTCCACCACTCCGTTCCCTTGCTAGCATAGGAGACATCACGGAGAGCATTGCGTGTGATGTTGAATGCTTGGCACTTGAGTAGGCAACAAAATCGACTCGGATATCGGGGATGTCAGAATCCAGAGGAATATAGCCTGTGAGTTGTCCACGGAAAGGGTCAAAAGCGAAGAAGGTGCTAGCCCTTTCGGGTTCAAATGAAGCACCGAGTATTATGTCGTGATACAGAGCTTCGGACTTGGAGACATGAGGCGTAAGATCAAAATGGATGTCATCGCCAGGATCCCCTTTGAGGATGCCTACGTAGTAAGTGGTGAAGAAAGGCGTCGCGATGGCCACAGACATGCTTGTATGCAACGTTTGATTGAAGGTCGAGGTCAACTTCACAGGGAAGAGAGGTTGTCCGTTCACTCCGTCTTTCCAGTTATCAGGGTCAAAACCAAAGAGCGTCTTCGTATTCTCGTCATACTTGAACCAATCCGGAAACGTGGACAAGTCAACCTGCAGGTCCGATACATTGGCAGGCTGGATAGGATTTCCGTCGACCAGAACGCCGGAGAGGGATACGGAAGTATCGAGAGTTACGTTAAATTCGCTTCCGGCGGCGACATCGATGGTTGGAAGACCTTGTTGTGCAGACAGCTCGTGATCCGCAACGATTAGGTCGAATATGATGCAATCGGAGGAATAGCCTTCGAACTCGGACGCAAAGAGGGCGATCTCAATGATGAAGTACGGAAGCCGCGCCTTGGCTAGGAGCCACACCATCGAAGGTGAGTAACGAAGGGTCGAATCCTTATCCAGGGCGGTAGAGGCGTCCTATCGGAGAGCAGTGCACCGTAGTACAAACCGCTCGAAGGGGAAAACACGTCGCCCCGAAAACCGATGCCAAAGGTACCGCGAGAATGGAACTCTTAACGCGGGGTTACCAGTTGACAGTGCAGAGCCTGGCGCAAGGAGGTATGCAGAGGACAAAGTGGGATTTCCTTCGTGGAATTGCTGACTGATGTTCTTGTGAACACTAGAGGCAGAGAGGCCGGTTACATAGAGTACAAAACTCGACGCATTCACGCTTTGCAAGTCGCTCGCTGTCACCGTGATTTCTTCTGCACTTCCTTCCGCGACCCCTGGCGTTCCAGAGAACGTGAGGGTGTTGCCATCGAAGTGAAGCCAGTCGGGTAATCCAGAAGCAGAGTAAAAGAGGGGTCTTCCAAGGGTACTAGCGAACGTTTTTGGACTCGTCGTCCAGGAGAAAGCCTGGCCGCGTCGAGCGATCGAGGGGAATTGGCCGTTCAGGGGGTTCTCGACGATAACCGCGCCTAAAACTACATACACTACAGCAAAGAATAATACTGAGGTGACAAGCATGACGATGGAAGTCGTGCTGGACGACTAGAGGTATTAGGAAACAAGCCGGCCAGCGACCACGATAATGTCGGGATATGATGATGAGACGCGCTCTGTTGACTGACTTAAGTAAATTGCATTTTGAATTTGGTCAACAACTAACAACAACGCGCTGGTCACGACTGTCACGTGCACTTTACAAACCGCGTTCAAGGAGTCATCAAAAGCATGGAAGGAAATTGTAATCTAAACGATGGGCAAAGGATGCAAGCCATGATATCCGTAGTGAGAAGCGGGGTGGATTAGAATGAAAAAAAAGCCTACGCTCCCGGAAGGAAGACATTCAAACCTGCAGCACGTACTTTGGCTGGTTCTTGCGTGTTCAGGAAACTAATAAGCTGAATAAGCTCCGCCCGGGCATCTTCACCTATCTGATCCGGTACGTTCGGGTCGAGAACATGGGAAAATACAGCTAGCAAGTGGTCGAGGTAGGGACCCAGAGACTGGGGATTGGCACGGAAGAGGTGGAACAAGGCGCGGAACACAGGTCGGTTCTCAAGGTAGTCGTTCTTCAAAGGCAAGGCTGCAATGAGGACAGGAAGAACCTGATCCAATGGCACTGCAGCTGTGTTGCGAACAATCATCCTGGACACGGCGCCTGCAGCGTTATCCTTGGCATTCAGACGAGCCGCGGGGGCATCTGCCGGGACGTCGAAGATGGGGCGAAGAGCAGCAAGAAGTGGGGGGTACTGGGGTGACAGATCCACTTCTGAGTGCTCAATAAGGAGACCAACAGCAAAGGAGGCGTTGCTTTGAACTTCGGCTTCGGGGTCTCTGAGACCTTTGTAGAAGAGCTCCATGAGGGGCTCGGTAGATGGCGTAACAGCGTTCTTCATCCCTGCGATAATCTCCGCCAGACATCCGATAGCGGATGAGCGGTCGCTCAATGACCGCGAATCCTTCTGTATAAAATGCATGTTGTCAGACATAGCATGAGCCACTATCGTATTAACTACTCACGTAGAATTTAGAGATCAAGGGGAAGTATGTGTTGAATAATTGAGCAAAGTCAGCACCAAGAGCGTTGGCTAGCGCCGAGACAACATCCCCCGCGGCGGATACAAGAACAGAGTCATATTCGGCTTGGTCTTCTGGAGCCTCTTCGGTTTCATCTTGGTCAGGATCTTGCTGGCAGAGTGCCTTTTGTTCCAAGATTTGGACCGCAATATTGCAGAGTGTTTCGAGTGCTACGGAGATAAGCAAAGGTGATATATAGCATTCTGGGCATCTAACTCACAGTTCTCAACGAGTGCCGGGCCCAATTTATTGATAGTCTCAGCAAGCCCAACACACAACGACGCCACAACTGACCTGGATACGAGAACTGGTTAGCTTCCCCGCATCAAGCAGGCAAGATTACATACTTATTGTCTTCTGTGTCATACATATCCATCAGGGGCGGAAGGACATGGCCAACCAGCTCTTTGACAAGTGGTTGCAGGGGAACGGTCTACGTCGCCGGTTTCAGCAGCAACATCTTAGAAACCACTATCAACTCACCACAGCGACACCGGGTTGCCACTCTTGGGGTTCGCTAAGTTCGTAGAAAGTCCGTACTATTTCAAGCAGGGACTCAGTAGCGGATTTGCGGATCCCTTCATAGTAATGGGTGAGCAGGCTGACGAGTTCGACAACACACTGCTCGACATAGGGTAAGAAGTGGCCACGGGTTGCGAGGAAGAGTGCACCAATGGTGTCAGCGGCAATTTCCTTTTCGACGGCGATAGCACTGTTGACTTCAAGCATTTTGTCCACGTCGATATCTTCCATTTCTGCTTCAATGTTCCCATCCGAGTCAAGGACAGCAATGGGACTGGAAGCGGAAGCACCCGACGCAAACGCAGCTGCATCAGCGGATAAGGCTACATTAGTTCATGAGCAAGAAGCATCATCAAGGTATACGCGTCATTTACCTTCAGAGTCCTTGTCTTCTCCGTGTTCTGACTGCTTGCAACTTGCCAGAAGAGGAGGAACAACCTGAGGCAAGTACTGCGCGAATTCCTCCCCGAATACGCGAGCCATGACCGAGAAGAATAAGAAGCTGCACTCCCTCAGACGAGGGCTACCCATTTCGAGACCCTGAAACGCTTGCTTCATTAGGTCAGCGAAGTACGGTCGGAAGACATCAGTGCCAACGGCCTCAGCAAATGTTCCGACAGCATCCATTGCAATTCCTCGCAACTCGCCCTCTTCTCCTTCACCCCCCAGGACAAGGAAGTGCTGAAGCCTGTTCATAGTAGGCTCAAAGTACGGTAGGAACTTGCTCTTGGAGGCGTGAGCGGCGCTGCCGATGGCGCCAGTCACGACCGTCTTAACAGCGATAGGAGCTGTGTCCAAGAGACCGGCAAGCTGTTCCATGATGAGACCAAGGTATTGATCAATGGTATCCTGCAAGATTTCGAGAAGAGCGTCGAGGGCCGTACAAGCAGAACGCTGAGTGGTCGGGTCATGAACTAGATTCATGATGGCCTATCAAGGTGGCATGAGCATCGTCACTCGGACAGATACGAGATACATACAGGTATTAATGTTCCATGCTTGGCCGCACAGTCTTCCTCGAGCCATTCACATAGACAGCTGACAGCAACACAAGTGGCCTTCCTGACAGAACTCTCGGGGTCGTGAAGACCCGTTTCAATGATCGGCCATACATGATCCATGAGAGGGGTCATGAATTCACTGCACCCTTCGACAGCAACACCGAGGGCGAGCATGGCACCACGGCGACAGTTGGGGTCTGGAGAAGTGAAGTATTGCTGAATAAGAGTACGAAGCGCAGGGAATACTTGGGTCGGAGGAAGGTTTGTGGCCAAACCGTCAATAATGCGAAGGGCAGACTTGGCTATGTTAGATGTGTGCACACAGCAAAATTCAATTCCACCTACGCGACACGGAGCATCTTCGTCCGAATCTTCTGGCTCAGGTTCAGTGGTAATTGGCATAAGGCCCTCGAGAATAACGGCAGCCAAATTCTGGTTCTGAACCTTCGACTTTTTGCTAAAAATACAATCAGCAAGGGCCTGTCGGAGAGTCGAAGCTGGGAACTCACTATTGTATAGTCCAGTTCAAAGCATTGAGAGCCAAAACACGGAGCTCGGGACTCAAATTCCTGTTTCCACCGCACTGCAGGAGGAACGACGCGAGGTCCTTGATGTGAGGACTAAGAAGAGGGATTTCCTGCACGGATAGTGAATCAGCTGTGGCGCAGTACCGATCAGCAGCAAAAGACCTACAAGAATCAAGAGCGTCTCAAAGACATCGAACAATTGCCTAGCATTAGCCTCATCGCCGGTCTCGAGGGTCTGGCCAAGGACTTGAATCATTTTAGGAATGAGAGCTTGGAAGGATTTCTGGTTAGAAATGTCAGTGTGATGTGCGATCTGTCGAATGACTGCTTGCGTACGATATCGGACTTTGTCTTCGGTATCAATGTACTGCGCAATAACACCAAGTGCTCTGAAGGAACAATGAATATTCCTCTGGGCTATATCGTATTTCATTCCTTACCGAACAGTAGTAATCCGCACTTCGATACTATCAGGGTCCGCCATGAGCAGGGAGAACAGGGAAAAGAAGTTTTGAGTTTGCTCTTGGAACCCTTCCACGATGGTCTCTAAGACCGTGAAGAGGATATATATACCAACTTCACGATGTGAAACTTGCGTGGACGTGCAGGCTTGATGTAGGAGTGGTAGAAGCTCCGGCCATGTTCCCAACGGGATCTCAATTGATGCGATGGCTGCCACCACCCGCGCTGCAGCATGACGCACGAGCTTACTGCATAGAATGGGACATCACTACTCGATGCGCCCTTCGATCAGACAGTACGCACCCTTGCTCATTAAGGATCAATTGGGGTAAATTTTGTTTGATCTGTAATCGCTCATCTTGAGGGAGTTGTGTCCACAAGTCACCACTTCTTTGCTGCACTCGTTTTCGCATTTCAACCGCAGCCAACTGACGGACCTATATGGCACGGGAGTCAGTAATTCGAGATCGATTAAGCTGTTCGCGTGAACTGTTAATGTATGACCCACCGCAAGTTCAGGAGAGCTCGCTAGGATGCTTGCCAGAGCAGATATGCATGCTGGGTTTTTGTAATATTCAGTATTCAACCGTGCAGTTGCCTAGAGACCATGAAAAGCGGTTGGACGACGATAAACGCGTACGATCGATTGATCTTACAGTTTTAAGCTGATTGGTATCGTTGCTCGTAGACTGCACGAGTAGAGCGTGCAAACCCTGCACAAAATTTGGCTGTAAAATTTTCCGATGAGTGTGATTTCCATGAAGATCTACTCGATACAAGTATACTTACATCCATGTCGTGAGGACGTGAGGAACGAAGAACGAAGAACGAAGGGGAAGATATAGATGAGATGTATTTTGGTCGCGAAATGCCACCCCCTTCAAATTTTGTCGGGGTTCCAAAATTTTTGCCCCTCACCATATCAGTGCCAGAATACCCCTGTTCATAAGTACTGTACATATATCCCGTTGTTCGATCTCTATGATACACACATTTTTGTTCCGGCGACCAGCGCTATGACATAGACGAGCAAGCAGTTCACTACATGATAGGTCCGAGGTACACCTTCTCGCTACGGCGAACCAGCACCAGTAAGACCACCTGTTGCACCAGTAGCTGCAATGCGTGCCTCGGCTTCTGAAAGGGTAGTACATGTGACTGATGTCCCAGGAGAATTGACAAGTGGAAGGGCTGCACAAGTGAGAGTAGCTCCACAGGACTGGAGAACAAATGAGCTGTTAACACATCTTGCAAAAGAGCCCTGGACACATGCATTCGTGTCTGCTACGAAAAAAATTCAGCATGGGATGCATAGCAGTACTAGAGAGAAGACCATGCGTACATGTACAGGAAGAGCTAGGCGTCAATAAAGCAAACTGGGCATTCAACTGCTGAGCAGCCTTTCCATTGGATAAGCGAAAGTCACCAGCGCTAGCAGGTGTTGGCGAGGAAACGGTGGCAACAGCAATCTGGGAGGTGGGCGCTGGGTTGCCAGTGTTGGCTCCCCCTACTCCAGGATTCTGTGTGATGCCGACAAGTTGACTTCCGTCAGGGATGGGACCAGATGGGTGGGCAGGACAAGAACCAGCGGGAGACACAGGTGCGTTCATGCCAAAGGGAATAGTCCCACTCCCACCAACAGCTATGCCACCAACGAAAGTCTGTGGGTTATCACCTTGGAACTGGCACTGGAAAAGACCACTGAGCTCTGCATTTCTGGGAGCTGACTGGCAGTACGGAACGCTTTGCGCTGTGGGCTGCAATATGTGTAAGGAGAAATTTCCCAAGTGCTCAAACCAGAAAGCATACAGAATTACGTGGCTGTTGCACAAATATCTGGGCTAATTCAATCATGTTGGCGTTGTTGTTGAGAGTTTTTGCAAGGTCAATCATCTTATCAGCAGCATTTTGTTGATCACAAGGACCAGCTGCGGCGAGAAGTGTGCTAAACGCTGCAACGGCCACCGGGTTGCATTGTAAACCTCCACCAGCAGTAGTCTATGGAACCACGGTCTCATCAGAGCACTCCTATGTGTGAAGAGACTCGGAGATACATACACAGGCCTGCTCCCACTGGACAGTTGAATCGGAAATAACTTGGGCAATCCGCTTCCCGAGCGGCGACGCCCCAGCAGAAACAGCAGCCAAGACGAAGATAAGTAAGGCGAGAGATTGCATTGCTGCACTACACTCCCACGTGAGTCTGAGCAGGAAAATCGAGCAACACCAAACGGCATACCAGCAGCGAAAATTTTGTGCAACACGAATAAAATGGGATACCAGGAGGTTGAACAACGGGATTCAAGTCTACCATGGCTTTTGTACTGTGCTAAGCGCAGTGCTAATCACAAAATTTTCCTTCGTCCAAGTGTGGGTCAGACCGGTCTGTCAACAATGTGTCATTCAACGATCGGACTCGAGTCTAGAAAACAATAATACATATGTCACCGTATACCTGACACTTTCTGCTGCAGGTCAGTCCCTGGCGACCGCGCAGTAGGAACAAGAACTTCAACAGTGGTCACGCATTTTCATCTGTGACTCTAACCAGTGGTTAGTAGAGCTCTCGCTGCAGATCAGGCTAAAATATCCAAAAATGTCTGCCACCAGGCAGTGAGAGACATCCTACCCGTAGAGGAGCAGCAGAAAGACCGCATACCTTGGGTTCATCGCCCATGAATTCGCAGTTGGCAGGTGGGGCCGCCGCTCAGCCAGTCGGCATTACGTTGTAACACTTACAGGACAATTTGCAAATTCCGCGTTTCGGTCTCTGCGGCGCTACCAACACGGACCGTTGACATCGTCAGTCGGCCCGGTCGGCTGAGTTTGATTCAGACTCGGCCAACATTCAGGCCGACAGCTTGCCCAGATATGCATTATCTTTGCTTGTTCCAAGCCAATGACATGCATTTCTCACAGCCACTATTACCATCTCCTACAGATGATTAGCTTGATATTCCCTCACGCACACACTTTTTTTTAGGTTGACAGCCCAACTCACATGCCAGTATCGCCCCATATTGTGTAAGGTGCCATTTGAGACTTGCAACAACCTGCCCTCCACGCACTCGATTGTTAAGTGACGCACACGGTAGAGGAAGCCCATGAGCACGTGGATAAGGCCACGTTGGTGACTTCAACATGGGAGGAGACTCCCCTTTCACATCTGCTGCGCTTGAGGTCATGAAGCTAGCGCTACCAGCAGTCTCGGGACACAATACCATTTTGCGGTATTCGTAATTGCTGCCACGTACTGATACAACGAACGAGGATCAGCATTTTGCTTAGTCCCTGGGAGGTGAGCGCCTTTGTGTTCTTTGGCCTGACTACACAGGCGCTGAAGAGGCGAAATCCATAAAATGGCCGTCCTTCGTGCTCTGTCCGAGTGAGGGCAACCCGCGATCATCATGAAATACCTCGCATCTCTTGTTTCTGTTCTAGCCGTCACCGAAGGAAGCCCAGTCAAGCATGCATACCCGCAAGGTATTGACGTATCTGATTATCAACCTAACATCAACTGGACGACTGTGGCCAACAATGGTATTGTATTTGTGTACATCAAGGCTACGGAAGGAACATGTCAGGAGTCCATTTCGTTGCTGCTTGTCTTGACCTGACTAAATGTTTTGTAGCCTATATCTCCCCATCATTCAGCTCTCAATACACTGGGGCGACAAATGCTGGACTGATTCGTGGTGGATACCACTTTGCCTATCCAGACAAATCTAGTGCCGCGACGCAAGCTAACTATTTCCTTGCCCATGGCGGTTGGTATTGACTATTTGACAATTTATTTTCACACTCACAATTGTACCATGCTAGGGGGTTGGTCCGCTGACGGGATTACCCTACCTGGTGCACTTGATATTGAATGTGAGCATATTTTTACACCGTCTGGTGACTGGGACTGATTCCTTAGACAACCCTAATGGCGCTGAGTGCTATGGGTCTGACTGCTTCCGAGATGATTACCTGGATTAAGGATTTCTCCAACACGTACCACGCTGCCACCAGCCGGTAAGTTGCCTTGAACCTCTCCCTCGCATACCAACGCCCACGTCCGCTTCAGTTACCCAGGTAATACTACATTTCCTCTCAATGGATATCAACCCTCATTCTCCACTTCAGTCATTTACACCACAACGGATTGGTGGTCTAGCTGCACTGGAAATAGCGCCTCCTTCGCCAGCGACAATCCGCTTTGGATCGCAGACTGGTCTTCAACTCTCAGAACTCTCCCTGCCAGATGGGCGTACGCTTCATTCTGGCAGTATGCTGACTCTGGTCCAAACCCCGGTGATGCTGACCTCTGGAACGGTGACATGAGCGGTCTTCAGAGACGAGTAACCTGTTATCGCTTCCACGTTCAGTTTCTCACCTGAAAATAGAATGGCTCTTGGCTCTTGAATGAATACTTGACATCGGTCAGGAAGTCGGGTTTCTTTGTGCTTTATTGTGAACATGTGTATTTCATTTCCGCGTGGTTGTCGTTAAGTACGGTGGAGCACTCCGCTATGTATGTATATATCATCTTCTTTGTTGCAACGTTGCGGGGGCCGTAGTGATGGTGCTTTAGGCGCCGTACACACAGCAGGGACAACAGCACTCCGGTATGTATCCAGTGTACGTACGTGCTTGGTCAGAGTACTAGTCATGTCAACTGCGACGACTGGACAAGTACAGCTTCCGCTAATTTCCTGTGCAAGTCTCGCAGAGGTCCGCTACGGCGACCATGTTAATGCATACCACGGAACGCGAACCAATCTAGAGGCGGTTAAATTAGAGCCATACGCTGATCTACTACTACTGCAAACGTATCCATGCCGCTGGTATCTTCGACAAGTTCGGCTTTAGTGTTGGCGCGTGGCTGTGCATCCGAGCTCTTATCTTCCCCAGTTTGGGTTGTCGTTCACTGCATTGTCACTGCTGATCCGATTGGAGCTGGGACTGTGAGACACGCCTGTAACATGATACTAATAGCCCTGCAGGAACGGACTCGCTGCTAGAAAACCCCTCAGCTTCGAAGCCTTTTCGCAGGCCATTACCATCCTCTTGGCTTCTCAGGCTCTTAGTTATGCCAGTGAACAGTAGCTACTACCCACTGCCGAACGGCGCCAATGGACATCCTCCTAGAAGCCCTCCACCATTCAACCGGTCTTTCAAACTGAGTCACTTCCCCCAGTCGTCAGTTGGGGACGAGCAGTCCAGTTCGACGCTTAACCCTGGAGTTGTCATGGACGGGGGAACTATGGTCAGCGAGCCGACCCGGCACCCAGATCTTTGGTTCTGCGATGGATCGGTGAGGTTAAATGGTTCGCGTTCCGCAGTTTGATTTTCACCTCGTGCATTCTTGAGATTGTTCTCAGGGCAGAGAATACTCTCTTCCGCGTCCACAAGTCACTCCTTGCACGTCACTCTGGTTTCTTCCACGATCTATTTACTCTCCCACAACTGGTCGCCAAGGATCCCTCGTCGCCGCGTGCAATTGCTACGCCCAACGTCGATCATGCCGGGGACATAGAGGGTTGCCAAGTGCTTGCTTTGCATGATGCCGCAGAAGACGTCGCGAATCTACTTACAGCACTCGTTGACGGACCGTATGTCACGATTTTCTCGTCACATGGACATGTTTAGACTGAGTTTTCCCATCAAGAAATTTCGGACAAAACGACCCTGCCGATTTTGAGCTCGTGTCTGGTATCTTACGACTCTCTACGAAATATCTGGTGGACTCTTTACGAGAAAAGGCACTCGACCACCTCGCGGTGGCTTGGCCGACTACACTCAAGGGCTGGGATGCCCGCGAAGATATTGCCCGGGCCCAGGAACTCCGGGATGGGTCTGCGGCGGTTAGGATATATCCATCCCCGATCGTGAGAGACCTCTCCTTGCGCATCTTGACGTATGCAATATACCGTATTACTAAGTTTGATCACCCATTTACTAGGCTGTGATCGACCTGGCCCGAGAAGTCAACGCGCCTACTCTACTCCCGTCCGCGTTCTACGACCTTTCCAGATATCACTTTACGCAGATTTTTGATTACGGAGAGTCCTTTGACGAGTCCGCATGGCGGTGTCCATTGTCAACTGCAGACATGCAGCGACTCGCGTTAGGGAAAGAGGCGTCACAGCATGCCGTCACCACGCTCATCAGGTCCATGAGTTCCCTCTCCCACTCACTTCATGGCCACCCTCTTGGTTATCACTCACACACGCACAACCACGTGCACCGTACATGTAAACGCGATTTCGCGGAACTAGTGGCTCTCGCGACACAACATTATCTTTTTGATCACGAACGTGGATGTATGGATCCTTTGTATGTTGCAGAGGAGCTTGGACAGCCGTTGTATGATTTGGGACAGCCGATAGCGACGGACGATTATGGCCGTTTTGGGGGCTCGCGGCGGGGGATCGAGCAGGCTGAGTGTCAAGCATGTGCACGAGCCCTAGAGTTGTGGGCAGCGAGGGAGAGGGAACGGATGTGGAAGATGATTCCATTATGGTTCCGTCTAGACATCTGAGTTGCTGGTCTGGCACGGGTTGCCATGTAATTGTAGATACCCCGTACCGCTGCAGTATTTCATATTTGTATAAGCAATGTGTAGAACATAATATTCACGTCGACTTACTGCAATCGCACTAGTGCCCTGGGACGCGAGAGCTGAAACAGGGCAAGTTACATTCGATCAACGTCATCTTAATCCGGACCCATCAGCAACCCGGGCTGTATATGACCACACAATTTTAAACGCACCGCAGCTACGGAAGAGGGTAAAGGAACCCCAACCAAAATGGACATATAACATGGGTTGCGGGGCAAACCTGCTTTAATTTTACCCCTGTACAACGGCGAAACATGCAAAACCTTTGTGTCTGAAACAAGTCCCCCTTTTTCAACAGGGGCGTACAGGACAACAGTCGCGTGCTCAGGCCTGCGGGGGACGGCTCCAACGGACCGGAATGGCTGTCGAAGAACCTCGAGGTGAGTCATAGGATGCGCCAGACCGGAGGGTAGCACATTGGAGTGGATCGTTAAACCAAGCCAGAACAGGGAAGGCCAATAGCCAGGGAACAAGAAAAATAATATAAAATATATAAAATTCACTTACGATCAATATCACTGTCGGTTTCGGGAGTTGTTGTACCCAAAATTTGACTGGATCACAACCCGATTTTTCTTGCCGAATGTTCACTGAGCGCATTGGAAAACTACGGAGTGCCACCGGGCGGAACTTCCTCGGAACAATGCAAGCTAATAGGTCATCCAACGACGGTGACCACCCTGTCATTAAAATCTAAAGGTCATGGTGGCAGAATGGAGGGCAAACGTGTCGACGCCACCAGTATGCGGGTATATAGTGGCTAGTCACTGGACTCTGTCAGACCTAAACCATGCATGGTATCGAGGACGTTTGAATATACCTTTTAGTGGAAGGAAGACAATGAAAAAACGAATTTTTGATCGAGAGCGACCTACCAAGTCTCCGACACATGGCCACCCCCGCTCGCCAGTGGCGAATACTACTCTCCTGCGAGTCTCAGGCTCGTCGCAGGCCGACAATAGGTCGCGTAGATAAGCCTAAGGGCTGTGGAACTCCAACGGCTGTGAACTTGTTAGTCTTGTCTCCAGGCCACCAGACCGCTCAACCTAAACGACGTTGCCAGTCCCGCCTCCTGACCCCCCGTCGTCAGGTGAGTGAGACTGTTTCCTATTCCCATTGAACGATGCAGACCGTAGACGGTCCCCAGCTGGGTAATAGGCCTGACTCACCCCAAGATTGAACGGAATTGAGACAGGTGCTCAGTCACTAAAATTATATCAGTCTTGGCGTACATATCTTGTTCACACCATTTGAGTCAGAGTACTTACAAGTTTCTGTCGAGACACACGTGGGATCCCATTTGGATGAGTCTCTATTGTTTTTCGGCTGCGACATTCGGGGAAGGATATAATTCCAGGAACTGCCATTTAGCCTACAAAAGCGATACCTCCTATAACGTTTAACAAGGTTTTACACCGCTTCGGTAGTATTAGGCCTCAAATGTTCCACGCGCTCTCTTGTCCAGTCCCCCGGTAGGTTCGCGGGCAAATTGCAACAATGCTGAATTCCAGGGTGGTCATGGGTCTTGGATTATTTCGGACAGCGGGCTTCCGACGCCAAGAGGCCTGAGACACCGGCGTGTCCCCGGACAGATTTTGGCTACGGAATAGCTTGTCCACCAGAGTCTATGATCCGTGTGGATACTCGACATATCCATAGACCGAACAATTCCCGGAGACTTGACCTGGCCAGTATTTAAAGGACCCAGTTTCCGGGACATCCACCCGCACAGTCTTCTTCGAGTGTCCTCACTGAGTAGCATCACATATCAGCGCGCTACACCAATGTTGACTTCGGAAGCCACTCGCCTCTTTGCTTTGTTTGAAACCCTTTATCTCCTTTTCCTGCACTCCCAGGAGTGGTTCGTGCGGTTCGCGTACGGCATTCGAGGACTGTTAATGTTGGCCGATTCACTGCAAAAGTCACAACATCTACTGCTCTACACGACAAGTACAATGCACTGAAACCCATATGCCATGTGAGTAGACCCCGATCTTCCGTGACCAAGACTGACGTCCACACCGCAGCCTTCCACCCTACCCGTGTCCATATGTGTACACTTATAACTGTCCTTAAACTCGAATAATTATGAACCACTCCTGCCTCACGCTACGACACCAGGCTCGTGAGCGTGATTCAACTCCATGATTCCTTCCGACGCTGACGGTTCTGTCAACGCATTTCAGGGCATTAGATAATGGCGGGAGTTCTGCTATTCGAAGCAGATAATATTCGTGCTTATTGTAGCATATTCTTTTGGCAATTGGCGTTTTCGGAGGTCAGAAACTGAATTCATAGTCGTTGTATCTCATTCGTGATTCGTCGCTATTGTACGTTTACAAGTTTTCCTGGATGCTATAAAACATCGTTTGTTGGCAGCGACGCCCGGCGGAATGCTAAGAAAGCAGGAGGTTGGGGTTGAGAAGCCTGAAGTTGGCGCCTTTCCCGAACCTATTGATCAAGCTATCAACGTGGAGTTTCTCTAGCTTTTCAGGACACATGGACAACAGCGCGCGTCGCTGTGCAGGATGACATCAATTCCGTATCTACGCACCCGAGGGGGCCTCGCCAGCGTCCATTCCTCGCGATACCTGAGATGAGAATGATTGCAAGAAAACATGGCGTTGTCCTCCGCAGTAATCTACACCGCTTGATGTGTACGGACGCTCTCCGGATACATGAACGCACGGCCCACGTTGCACGGTCCTTGTTATTGTTTTTCAGTTATTGAAATGCCCACGGTGCGCAGGACCAGCTCCGCTATTCAAAGCTGCTGATATTCGTTTGCTTATTGTAACACATTCCTTGGATGTTTTCAGAGGTCAGAAACTGAATTCATACCCGTTGTATCTCACCAATGAATATTCGTTGCTAGTGTGTGATTACGAGTTTAGTAGCTCCCATGTCATAGTGATTCGCCTTGAGTGAATTGATAACTCGATACGATCCGTCGTCTTGTTGCGTGAGTATATTATGTATGAGGTCGTTGACCGGTCGATCACACGTTTGTAACGAGGGCGGCTGCGTGTTCTGGATAGCCTCTGGTGCATGAATTGGCAGCTCGCTGCGGTAGATGGGTGCCTGACGATGGTTAGCCTGGGCCACTTACCAAGTTTGAGAAAGTGAGCTAACATTCTGCGATCAGTCCACACAGACTGCGGCGCAGAGTCAGGGTAGAGTGGCGTATAGGAGGGGTCCGACGGAAGCAGATTCACCGATGGGATGCCAGCGCGGGTGTTCCAATGACCGAGTACGCGCTCTCATTGGATCTTTTGGCGTAGGCTGAATATACGAACGCTGTCAAAAGCAAATTCGAGTCTCTGCAGGTCGGCCACTCGCATAGAGGAGTACTGGACTTGTAACGGGCATGGAAGGTGCGGTGCGTGCGCGTTCCACCGGCATCCTAATCGCTGCCAAGAGACCTGTGGGAGTCATATCTGGACTCGAGGTGACCCGCGTACTAAGTTTCCGTCACAACTATTATGCTGATCCTTGTGACCGGTTGACGGTCTCTTTATAATGGGCCTGTTCATACGAAAGTAGCCAGCCAAGGAAGCCCACTGCTAGTAGACCTCTACGCAGGTTTCGCCGCCTTTCTTCGTCTGACCCATCATGGCAGACAAGGGTATCCCCATTCTTTCAGAGAAACCTTCCTCCATCAAGGACACTAACACTGCCAGGACTTCTCGCAAATTCGAGGGCTTCTTCCAGAGGAAGAAAGATAAGGGTGAACAGGAAAAGGTCAATGTGACGGATATTGGCACCAAATCAGCGGAACAACCTCCACCACCCGTCGGATTCACTCAGCTCTTTCGGTGCGTGTCATACTACACGTCCGTTATTCCCTCATCCATGTGCTAGATATGCAACTCCGTTAGAATTGTCCCTAAATGCTATTGGTGTTGTCGGCGCTATAGGTGCAGGGGCCGCTCAGGTATTCCGTCACTGTTTGACTCCCACCCATTCACTGACTGGCACGGCCCTAGCCCCTTATGACTTTGGTTTTTGGAAGATTGATTCAAGATTACGTTACGTTTGCCACTGCATTGGAAGTTTATCAGTCCGCAGAGACATCCGGAAACGCCACCGCAATATCCTCTGCCAAGCAGAATCTTGATTCCGCAGCGAGTGGGTTCCGCAGTGGAACTGCCCTGGATGCTTCCTACTTGACCTACATTGGTAGGTTATTGACCTGTTACATTCTGAATGTCACCCAACTTTTGTTCAAGGTGTCGGTATGGCTGTATGTACATGGACTTACATGTATGTATGGAGATATACCGGCGAGGTCAACGCGAAGCGCATTCGTGAGAAATACCTTCAAGCCATCCTTCGACAAGACATGGCATATTTTGATCACATTGGAGCCGGTGAGGTGGCTACTCGCATTCAAACGGATACCCGTAGGTCCTAAGTCATTCCGCGTCACTCTGCGCTTTCTAAGTCAGAATAGATTTAGTCCAACAAGGGATATCAGACAAGGTCGCACTCATGGCCAACTTTTTCAGTGCTTTCCTCGTCGGTTTTATTCTTGCATATACCCAGTCTTGGCGTCTGGCTCTTGCCATGTCATCGATCTTCCCATGCATAGGAATAGTCGGTGGTATAATGAACAAATTTGTTACCAAATATGTACAGTGAGCCATCCTTTGCGTCCAACTTGCTTGTCGTCTCGTTCTAAATAGCTGGGACAAAGGGAGGCGCTTCAGTATGTCGCTGAGAGCGGTACCATTGCCGAGGAAGTCATTTCTACTATCCGAACTGCGCAAGCTTTTGGTTCACAAAAAGTATTGGGAGGTCTCTTTAACAAGAAGATGGATTCAACTCGGACCGTGAATGCGAAGGCTGCAATTGGGAATGGGTGCGGTTTGGGATTTGTTTTCTTCATCATTTTTGCTGCCTATGCCCTTGGTACGCACCTTTGTATGTCACCATGCGGTTTCTGACGAAAAAAAATGGTAGCTTTTGATTTCGGTACAACTCTGATTAACGAGGGTCGCGGTAAGTATCACATTCTCGTACCTGATAAAACAGACTCATGTCCCACTTTCAGCGACCGCTGGACAAGTTGTCAACGTCTTCATGGCCGTCCTCATTGGTTCATTCTCTCTAGCAATGTTAGCACCGGAAGCACGGGGTGAGCGTATAGTACGACATGTTACGAGCTGAGTTTTCTGATGTATCCCTAGCTGTAATGAACGCCTGTGGGGCAGCCGCAAAATTATTTGCCACCATCGAACGTGTGCCCGATATTGATTCTGCCAGCCATGACGGACTCAAGCCGGAGAAGGTCGTTGGTGAGATAACTCTAGAGGATGTGCGGTTCACCTATCCCGGTCGACCCGACGTTCCTGTTCTCAAAGGCGTCAACATCACTTTCGAGGCGGGAAAGACAGCAGCGCTCGTTGGGGCCTCTGGCTCTGGAAAGTCGACCATTATCTCGCTTGTCGAGCGTTTCTACGACCCTCTCGGCGGTACTGTTAAACTCGACGGGGTTGATATCCGCGACTTGAACATAAAATGGCTCCGCTCCCAGATCGGCCTGGTTTCTCAAGAACCGGTGCTATTCTCGACGACCATTAGAGCTAATGTTGCTCACGGCCTCATCGGCACCCCCTACGAGCACGCATCAGAGGACGAAAAGTTCAAACTGATCAAAGAGGCTTGTATCAAGTCCAATGCCGACGGCTTTATCAGTAAACTACCACAAGGCTACGACACCACTGTCGGCGAACGTGGTTTTCTTCTTTCTGGTGGTCAAAAGCAACGCGTGGCTATTGCGCGTGCAATTGTTTCCGACCCACGCATTCTCCTGCTTGACGAGGCGACCAGCGCTCTTGATACACAATCTGAGGGCGTTGTGCAGAATGCGCTTGATAAAGCATCCGCTGGCCGAATGACGATTTCAATTGCGCACAGACTCTCTACTATCAAGGGTGCTGACCAGATCTTCATCATGGAGGACGGCGTCGTCTTGGAGCAAGGGACTCACGAGGAACTCATCGCCAGGAAAGGAGCATACGCGCGTCTCGTCCAGGCTCAGAAACTCCGGGAAACCAAAGAAGCACAAGGCGACACAGACATTGCTGTGGTCATTAGCGCAGAAGACAAGGGAAAGGCCGTTGAGGATGAGGCCCCGCTCGGCCGCCGCGATACTCACCATTCCGTGACCTCGGGACTGGCCCGCCAGAAGAACGAAGAGAGAGAGAAGGCTGAAGTCGACGAAAACTCCTATGGTCTATTGTATCTTTTCAGACGCATTGGATGTCTGAACTCGGATGGTTATCATTTATATATCATTGGCGCACTAGCAGCAATGAGTAAGTCCTCGGTGGGCCAGGTGGCAAGCGATTGCGAATGCTGAACGTCTTTTAGCGACCGGTATGGGATTCCCAGTGTTTGCTATCATTTATGGTAACGTCAATATCTGTCTTGCGATCGAAATGCGTGTACCAACCTATCGTAGGCAAGGCGATCTCTGGATTCTCCCAAACCGACCCTTCTGCAAGACGCCATGCCGGAGACATGAACGCCTTGTGGCAAGTATTCTGATGCTAACCTGTACATCAATCGTGGTGAACGTTAATTGCACAGGTTCTTCGTCGTGGCTATCGTCTCAGGCATAGCTACCGGGATTCAAAACTATGTCTTTACTGTAGCTGCCTCCAACTTGACAACGAAACTTCGTTCCCTCACCTTCCGTGCGATTCTTCGCCAAGATAGTAAGTTATTCCGATTGGCTTTCAAAATCGCCCACTGACGATTCATCAGTCCAATTCTTCGACAGAACAGAGAACAATGTGAATACTGCGACTATTTTTTAGAAATTTGCTGATAGTACATTAGACTGGCGCACTCACATCTAGCGTGAACGATAACCCACAAAAGGTCGAAGGTTTAGCTGGAGTCACTCTTGGAACGTTTGTATCAAACCCTCGATAAGTCGTGTGAACTCATGCTGATGGCCATTGGCAGTATCATCCAGTCCATCACGACCTTAGTTGGTGGTTCAGTCGTTGGTTTGGCGTACGCATGGCAGCCAGCTCTCGTCGGAATGGGTTGGTTACTTATACTGCCTTCCATTGGGCGCCACCGCTGACTTATTCCTCTTAGCTTGCGTTCCTCTTGTCTTCTCTGCAGGTTTCGTTCACCTTGTGAGTCAATACGAAACCTGACCAGGACGACACGCTGACCCTTTGTAGCGCGTGGTTGTTTTGAAAGATCAGCAGAACAAAGCTGCGCACGATGACTCTGCCAAACTGGCATGCGAGGCAGCTGGTGCCATTCGTACTGTTGCGTCGCTTACTCGGGAAGACGATTGCCTGAAATTGTACTCGAGCAGTCTGGAGGAACCTCTCAGAAACTCAAATAGGAGTGCGATCTGGAGTAGCCTGATCTACGCGTTTTCTCAGTCCAGCACTTTCTGGGTAATCGCCCTCGTCTTTTGGTACGGCTCCAGGCTTGCGTCCAATTTGGAAATATCAATTACCAATTTCTTCACTGCACTCGTTGTATGCATTTCGCGGATACTCGGTGGGATCTATCTGAATACAGAGCACATTAGGGTGTCACTCTCGGAGCCATGCAAGCCGGGGGTGTCTTCTCGTTCGCACCCGACATGTCGTCGGCTCGTGGTGCAGGTGCAGCTATTATCAAGTTGCTGGACTCTACCCCCGAGATCGACGCCGAAGCTACTGAAGGGTTGACGTTCGAGGGAAGAAGCGTCGATGGCCAGATTCGCCTGGCAGACATCCATTTCCGCTACCCCACGAGACCTACCGTTACTGTCCTTCGTGGCCTGAACCTAACGGTCGCACCAGGTACCTATGTTGCACTGGTCGGTGCGAGTGGTTGCGGGAAGAGTACTGTGTGAGCCCACGCGCATTTCATGTTGTATCCAATTAGTGTTGACGCCTTCGCAGCATTCAGTTGATCGAGCGTTTCTATGACCCTTTAGCCGGACAGGTTCTTCTTGACGGTCAACCCATCACCGAGTTCAATATCCAGGACTATAGGAAACAGATTGCTCTGGTTTCACAGGAACCTGTCGGTGTCAACGACACGATGATGAGACGGCATGACTAATGCCTTCTCGCAGACACTTTATGCTGGCACCATCCGCTTCAACGTCTTGCTCGGTGCAATCAAGCCGGCTTCTGAAGTCACGCAAGAAGAGATTGAAGATGTATGCCGAGATGCTAACATCTTGGACTTTATCCAATCATTACCGGAGTAAGGAGCTGGCTTGGTGTTTCCACTTCCAATCTGATTTTTGGCCCCTTAGCGGCTTTGACACTGAGGTTGGTGGCAAGGGTTCACAGCTTTCGGGTGGTCAAAAACGTGAGCACCCTCTACTCCCGCGTATTAGCTACAGGTGACTAACGACGTCCGTCATCACAGAGCGAATCGCAATCGCTCGGGCTCTTCTTCGCAATCCCAAGGTTCTGCTGTTGGATGAGGCAACATCTGCTCTTGATTCCGCCTCGGAGAAGGTCGTGCAAGAGGCTCTCGATCGGGCTGCAAAAGGCCGAACGACGATCGCTATCGCCCATCGCCTGTCTACCATCCAGAATGCGGACTGCATGTAAGTATCGCCTTTTGTGTTTCCCTCTCGTGTTACGTTGGGGAATATTGACTTGCTCCTGCACAGTTACTTCATCAAGGAAGGCCGTGTCAGCGAAGCTGGTACCCACGATGAACTTCTCGCGTTGAGAAGAGACTATTACGAATACGTTCAGCTGCAGGTGTTGAAGAAATAGACACTTCGGCGTGAACATTCGATACCTATAGACAGGATTACATGATTACCACAGTGATACCAGCTCAGTTTCTGTACCTGTAATTGACGACCCAAACTGTATACTAATCTCCATCAGAGGGACAGAGAATGACGGAATGACGGTCACGACCAGTCAGTGACAAGTTTAAACAGGTTTGAACCATCTACTCACTTCCTAATGCGCCCCTCCCCAGTGAGAGTCCGGTTGCTTGTGAATTCAACAAGTGCAAACAAGCTTTCGGCCAGCCTCCTGCGAGTTGGTCCGAATAGCGGTATGGCGGGGAGTATGGCGAGTCTGCCATTGAGAAGCATTAGACACCAGCACACTCTGCGACAGGGATTCACATTTCATCGGCAGTCCGTCTTCCAGCGCAGACCGTTCACGTCATCTTCCTCGCAGTCGGCTTCGCCTCGTTCGCCACTCCGAACAGCATCTTACACCGTCCTTTTTGCTGTCTCTGCTGGTCTATTCGCCGCATACTACCTTGACGCCCGTTCTGCCATTCACCGCTATGTTTTGACACCCGTTCTAAGGTATACCTTTGATGCCGAAACTGGACACAAGATAGCCGTTAAGGTGCTACGGAGCGGACTGGCACCGCGAGATATTGTCAAGGACGATGATATTTTACGGTCGGAGGTTGTGGATGATAATGACTAGACCGAATATCGTGCGCTCACCATGGCTGTTTTGCGTATCTAACAGATACTTGGGTTCGACGTGTCCAATCCGGTTGGACTCGCTGCTGGCTTTGACAAAGATGGTGAAGCTATAGACGGTGCGCGTAGTCACGCGTTTGTGGAGCGCTCTACCCTCACTGATATTGATGGCTAGGTTTATTCAACCTTGGGTTCAGTTGGGTGGAAATAGGCAGCGTGACTCCAAAGCCTCAAGTGAGGGTTTCGTGCGACCACTCTATTTTACCGTCCTTCACATCGTATGACAGTCTGGAAACCCTCGACCACGGGTATTTCACCTCCCCACCGATTCCGCTCTCATAAACCGGTACGGTTTCCCATCACAAGGTGCAGCCGCTGTTGTATCGCGCCTGCGAGCTCGCATACCCACCTTCTATGATGCCAACGAGACATCCACTAGCGCGTTGCGCTCGGGAGCTGTCCTTGCTATCAACCTTGGAAAGAACAAGACGTCACCCGCAGATTCTTCTGAGGACTTCGTGTCTGGAGTAAACGCTTTTGGTCCCTATGCAGACGTCTTGGTGGTCAACGTGTCCAGTCCCAACACCCCTGGTCTTCGGTACGTCACTCGCGCAATCGTGTTCTATATCGGCGTGTTCACTACGGCTCTCTCATGACTCCTCAGTGGACTGCAAAACCGGGAACTTCTGGAAGGTTTGCTGAAGGATGTGGTGGGAGCTCGGAATGCCCTGGAGCCGTCGCCAGTTACCTCACGTCGACCGCGCTTGGTGCTTAAGATAGCACCCGACCTTGAAGAATCTCAGCTTGCGGAGATGGCTGAGGTTATACGAAATAGTAACATTGATGGTGTCATCGTCAGTAACACGACTATCGCTCGGCCATCCTCGTTGACAGATCGTGAGTGACTAATCCCGCGAATGTTATGTGCCTGCACCACTTCTGCTATGCTCGCAGAAAACAAGGCCGAGACAGGTGGCTTATCTGGTAAGCCGGTAAAACCTTGCACCCTCCGTGCCTTGAAGACGCTTCGAGCGCATCTCCCTGCCTCTATTCCGATCATTGGTTGCGGTGGCATCAGCTCCGGCGCTGACGCTCTGGAGTATGGACGTGCAGGCGCATCGTTCGTCCAGCTGTACACTGAATTCGGGTATGATGGTGTGGGCACGTGCCGGCGAATAAAAGACGAGCTTGTATCATTGCTGAAGAGGGAAGGGAAGACGTGGGGAGACGTGGTTAATGAATCGGTGGCGAGGTTGAGCTGGAAGGAGCCAAATCCCCCTTTACCTGCACCAGTCCGCGAAGGAAAGGCAACGGTAGGGAAGCTGATAGAGGAGGCAGAGGTGCTCCAATCCCTGCTAAATGAGCTAGGTGAGAAGATGAGCGGTAGCGCAGAGCCCTAGCAATACATATTCGGCCAACCGAAACCAGTATCTAGTATCAGAACTACGTACTGGCATCCAAAAAGCTACCGCAACCTGTGGTCCGCAGCTCTAGGATCTGATAAGCCACGATTAGTGTTTTCTTCAGAGCAGCACGTCATCTGAGCTGACAATGAGCTTAGAAATCGCGTATGGAAGGCCAACTAAGTAAACGAATATCTCCCGTCTTCCGGTTCCCCTCCGTGTTTGATAGGTGAACATGAAGTTCGAACCTCGACTGTTGGCGTGCTCACTCCTAGGTTCTTTGTTCTTCCGATTACTACCACTGGGGTGTTTGCCGCCGGACGGTTCCCAGCGAGATGCTTCCAAGTCAGTTGCTATCGTTGGCGCAGGGAGCGCCGGACTGGCGATGTTGAAATCCCTATTGGATCTGACGATCGAGACTCGTGCAGACTGGGACATAGTAGTATACGAGCAACGTAGGGATGTCGGGGGAATATGGTGCGATCTATTCTTGCTTGTTATGCCTATTCACGACGCTCAATCCACTGGATGCTGGTTGCCAGGTTGCCAGATCCATCACCGCCACCTCCTCCTGAGCTACCGGAAACTCCACTGTATCCCCTACTGCACACTAATATCCCTGTCCCCATGATGACTTACCCCGGCTTTCCGTTCCCGCCTGGCACGCCCCTGTTTCCCCTACACGAATACATACAACGGTATCACCAGGATTACGCGACACTCCATGGCCTTTGGCCATACATCAAGTTCAACCATACTGTACTGTCGTCGTCATGGGTAGGAACGCCACGGGCTGGGCATTGGGAGATCGTCATTGAAGATCATAATGGTGACCGGGTGAAAAGATCATTCGATCATCTCGTCGTTGGGAGTGGGCATAATCATGAGCCACATCTTGTGGTATTCGCCGGCCAAGAGACGTGGTTAGAGAATGCTAAGGGCGGACCGGAACGTGAAATTCTGCACTCCATATGGTACCGCGACCCAAGTCGGTATGTCAACCGAACCGTCGTAGTGGTAGGTGGAGGGGCAAGCGGACTCGACATGGCGTCTCAGGTATCGCAGTATGCCCGCAAAGTGAGTGTCATCCTGTGATGGTTCATCATGCAGTCGGTGCTTGAATAATTTTAGATTTATCTCAGTACCCGCAGTCCGCCGGAGGGGGTGCCGACAGGACCCGTGGAGATGAAGCCTGGGATTTCACATTTTACCTCGGATGATGTTGTCTTTACGGATGGTTCGATGGCGCAGGACGTGGATACGGTTTTGTTAGGTACGGGCTATGATCTCCGGGTACCTTTCTTAGAAGAGGGCGGGGAAGTGATCGTGAAACCAAGATCTAACGAGACGGACGGACGCAGACTTACCACCAACCTGCGTTATCTGTTCCCACTCCACAGACATATATTTTCTCTGTCGGAGTCTTACCCAACGAACGCACTGGCTTTCATCGGCCTCCCGATATTAGCCCTGAGCTGTCCGTCGGATACTGCGCAGAGTATCTACGCCTCCTCGATCATTGCGAATGGTAGCCTGCTTGCGCCCCGATCTGAATTGCTGAGCCAGCTTGCAGACAGCGAAGAAGATCTTCGGAGGAGAGGGTATGATCCGTATTACATTGGACACAGGATGGTCGACAATTCCACGTTCGATTATCAAGACGGCCTCATCAAAACTCTGCGATTGAAGAAGGGATTGCCAGGGAAGATTACCCCTTTCGTCGAGCCTTGGAGAAGGGAAACCATTATCTACATAGGTAGCATGAAGCGAGGGTGGCGGAGGCTGGAGGGACTTGGACTAGCTGAGGAGTGGCTAGACGGAGTTGAGAGTGAAGAAGAGTGGGCCGATCTTATGAGACGAGTAGGCGTATGGCAGAGTGATTGGGAGACGGAGCACCAGTTGGTATTCCCGAATGACATGCTCATATATTGATGGATGACAAGACTTTCTGTCTTTTACTATCTAATCAAAGATGAAGTGTGATGGACAAGTCTGAAAGCGAAGAAGGCCTTATGACATGAATGAGCACATGGCGGAGAGATTGGGAGACGGCATATCAGCTAGTATTTTTCTAACTTGAACTGTAATCTTTCTTTAGGGTAGAGGAAAGCAAGGTAAAGGACAAGTTCTAGAAAGGGCCCACCCCTCACCAGACATAGCAGTTCGTCAGACACCCTATATATTGAATGTTTCTCATCCTACCTTATGTCAGACCCAGAAAGAATCGACACAAAAGCAGTCCAGTCTGAAAGTACTGCCGTACCTTCAAGTTGCATTCCAAAAATTATGCTCCACATGGTGACCATAGTAGGGTGGTCTGACATGCTACAGGTACGAAGGTCAGAACAACACAGTGTGGGACTAACTTATAATCAGGGGTAACTGCATAGCTGTGAAGAAGCTACGAAGTTTCTTCGGCTTCCTATGCTTACATAAGACTGACGGATACAGCCACGTTGTACTGCGGCGGGTCAAAAATAGATATCACTTCCCACGGCAGTCTGATCCGGCCCATACGGTATACTCCAACATAGCGCGACAATAATAATCAAGGCTAGAACGTTTCATTACGCCGCAGTGCGCACTCTCCGTAAGCATATATATACCAAGCTCCTCATTATTTCCTCCGGGTAACCGTGCGAGGAAAAGCCCGCGTTTATTACATAGTACCAGCGCACCGGGATCGTGAAAATTCGTCGCCTTCAGATCTACAATCTGGTAGGTGAGCACTGTCAAACAGGCACTACAGCCTGTGCCCCGCAGCTCTAGGATCCTATAAACCGTAATGCAGAATCAGTGTTTCCCCAAAGTTATATCACATGGTACACGAGTACGCGGGTACGGTGTGACGTAACCTTAACCCAGTGTCACATCCTTAGCTGCTGAAGTTTTAGTTTGACTTTGCGAGTTGCATTGTAGTTGCAACGACATCAACACACCGAGAGAAGAAGGAATGGAAAGAGGTTGGGCTACCATCCGATAACCGGTATGTGCCTGTTTTCTGTTCAAAGTCGTCATCCCTGCTTCGCTTTGCAACCCTCAAGATCCCGTCAAAGCCCCGGAACGTGATTATCATTTGCGCTCATCCTTCTTTGCAAAAGACCGAAGCCGTTAGGTCCCTTCCTGACATATCTGATCATTTTTGATGATGCACAGACCCAGATCGCGCTGACAATGTCACCAATGAGGGTGATTGGGATACCGACCCCCTAAGACTCCGACCTCAGACATACTGAGTGTCGGGGAAGATCCCAAGGCAGAGCTAGCTAACACTCCATAGCCGTAACTGGTTGGACGTTGAGTGCTGATATATCGAACTTAGCGACACAAAAGGAGGTGGTTCTTGCCTGTCTACACGTGTTATCCACTTGTTTCCTTCCAACGCACGAAACATCCGTCAGAGTGACGGTTAGCTGGTCAGTAGTAACTTCTGAACGAATATAGGATGTCACTCTTTGATCGTGCTGCCCATGGATACTGGATCGTTCCGCAGGTCGGACTGGCGGTGCTACTGGTGAAGAACCCACACATATCATTGGGACCGAGGATGAGCTTCTCAACGAACATAGGATCTCACTTCTTGACTAACACCACAGGTACTCAACAATGCCGTCGGACGGGGCGATGCTACGGTGAATAATCCTACACATCATTGGCACCAAAGATGAGCTCAGCAAGTATGCGTGAGGGCGGAGGGGGAGGGGGTAGCTATATAAATGAAAACCACCATGACGTCTTTCAGTTCTCCTTCATATTTGTTAAGTGAACATGAAGTTCGACCTTCGACAGGGATGTTTGCCCCCGCACGGTGAGCTCGAAACTCACTGCGTCCAGCAAGGTGCTTCAAAGTCAGTCGCTATCATTGGCGCAGGGAGCGCTGGACTGGCTATGTTGAAATCCTTGTTGGATTTGCCAGTCGAGACTCGTGCGGACTGGGATATAATTCTGTACGAGAAACGTGGGGACGTCGGGGGAATATGGTACGGTCTGTTCCTGCTTTTTTTTTTCCCCTACACGAAATTTAGTGTGTGCTGGACATTGGAATAGGTTGCCAGATGCATCACCCTCTCCTCCGCCAGCAGTACCCGAAACTCCACTGTATCCGCTGCTGCACGCCAATACTCCTGTTCCCATGATGACTTACCCTGGCTTTCCGTTCCCACCTGGCACGCCCCTTTTCCCCTTGCACGAATATATAGAGCAGTATCACCGGGATTACGCGACACAGTATGGTCTCTGGCCATATATCAAGTTCAACCATACTGTGTTGTCATCATCATGGGTGGGAACGCCGCAGACAGGACATTGGGAGATTATTGTTGAAGATGGCAACGGTAACCGGGTGCAAAGATCAATTGATCATCTCGTCGTTGCCAATGGGCATAACCACGCGCCCCACATCATAGTATTTCCAGGACAAGAAGCGTGGCTAGAGAACGCTAAAGGCGGACCAGAACGTGAAATTCTGCACTCTGTATGGTACCGCGACCCTAATCAGTATGTCAACCGAACTGTCATAGTGGTGGGCGGCGGAGCAAGTGGAGTCGACATCGCGTCTCAGGTGTCGCAGTATGCCCACAAAGTGAGTCCTATCTGTGATGATGATGGTTCGTCAGTTGATGCTTGAATTTTCTAGGTTTATCTCAGTGTTCGCAGTTCGCCACTGGAGACTCCAACTGGACCTGTGGAAATGAAGCTTGGGATTTCACATTTTACACCGGAAGCCGTCGTCTTCACGGATGGGTCCGTGGCGCAAGACATTGATACGGTGCTACTGGGTACCGGTTATGACCTACGGATGCCTTTCCTAGAAGAAGGCGGGGAAGTGATCGTGAAACCAGGATCTAACAAGTCAGACGGACGCAAGCTGACCACCAACCTGCGTTACCTGTTCCCGCTCCATAAACATATATTTTCCCTGTCGGAATCTTACCCGACGAACGCACTGGCTTTCATCGGCCTCCCGATATTTAGCTTTAGCTGTGCCTTGGATACTGCACAGAGTATCTACGCCTCGTCGATCATTGCGAACGGCAGCCTGCTCGAATCCCGAGCTGAATTATTGAACCAACTTGCGGACAGCGAAGAAGACCTTCGAAGCAGAGGGTATGACCCGTATTACATTGGACATAGGATGGTCGACAATTCCACTTTCGATTATCAAGAGAATCTCATTGACACTCTACGATCGAAGGGAGGACTACCTGATCAGAATACCACTTTCGTCGATCCCTGGAGAAGAGAAGGCGTCTATTACTGGGGTAATGTCAAACGAGGATGGAATAGGCTGGAGGCACTTGGACTAGCAGAGAAATGGCTAGAAGGGGTTGAGAGTGAAGAAGAGTGGGTTGAGCTTATGAGACGAGTGAACGCATGGCAGAAAGATTGGGAGACGGTTCACCAAGTAACATTTCCAGATGAAGAGCTCATATATTGATGGGTGATATGACATTCTATCTTTTACCATGCAATCGATGGTATCCAGAGTGTGATGAACAGGGTTAAGAGCGACGAAGGGCTTATGATACCAGTGAACGCATGGCAGAGAGATTGGGGGATGACACACCCGCTGGTATCTCTATAACCTGATCTGCAATCTTTCTCTGGAATAGGAGGAAGAAAAGTAGAGGACAAGTCCTGAGTGGCCGCCTGCCACCGGAGACGCAGTTCGTCAGAGATCATATAACCTTGCGTCAGACCCAGAAACACTCAACATAAAAGTAGTCCAGTGTAAATAGTAACAAGTCCTAAATAGAATCACGACTGAGTGCAGCACGCCAATAGTCATCTGTAGGTACCATGGTGACCACAGCAGGCAACGTACATACGATCTGGTCCCACACATTACAGATACGAAGGTCAGAGCAACACAATGTCGAAGGCATGGACTAATTTTCATTTAGGGACAGATGTAAAGATGAAGTGGTTACGAGATTCCAACAAAAATTCTGCGGCTTCTCATGAAGATGCTCACACAAGAATGAGCGATACCATTGGTCGCCCAAAAGGAGAAATCACTTGACCTCGAAGCTTACCCGGTGGTGTGGGATTTTCAGTACTAGCGCTGTCTACATACCAGCTCCGCTTTCATTTCCGATGTTGTTTGTGTCCTTACCAAAATGAGCAGCAGGTTGAACTGGACCATGTGCACCTCAGGGCATACGAAGAATGAAATCAAGTCAAATGCAGTGCACATAGAGATCTCACATATCATCCATCACAAACTTCCTGCAGACAATAGACTCCAACGCAGCAGAATCCTCTTCAGAGGGTAATCCTGGTCGGGCTTGTTCGAGAGCGCAAACCAGAAAGAGAGGACCGTCAGCTTCGTCTCGAAGTCGTCCGTCGTGGTGGTGGGGGGGTTTCAAGGCACGCTACATATGATAGTACGCACCAAACTCTAACTGAGTCTTCAGGATAACCGTGAAAGGAAATGCCTGCGTTTATCACATAGTCTGTACCGGGGTGGTAAAAATTCAGGTCACCTTCCATCTATACATATTTTAGTGGGTGGCCACGTGTCGGCGAATAACCGACGCGCTCGTACTGCATGTTGAAGAGAAGAGAGAAAACGTGGGGAGACGTGGCTATGTAATGAATCAGTAGCGAGGTTGTGATGGCATGTGTCTAGGCCGTGTCATCTGATGTTTCACCTCCATTTTCGACATTCTGTTGTCTACCACTGGGCCCCTGCACGTTAGGCCAGTATATATATTCTGTTAGACGCACTACAGAAGGCTCCGGTCACACGAGGTTGATCTGGAAGGAGCCTGATCCCCTTCATCTGCATCAGCCAGCCCGCGAAGGAGCGGGGAGATAGAGAGGTTCCATATCACTGCCTCTCTTTCTCGGGCAGGCACAAGAGGCGGAGACGCTCCAATCACTCCTGGGTCGGCTAGGTAAAAAAAATGAGCGGAACTATGGAGTCCCAGCGTTATATATTTGGCCGACCAAGACCAGTATCCAGCTACTGCTAGATACTTCTGGCATTGAAAAGGCTATGGCAACCTGTGCCCCGCAGCTCTAGGATCCGACAAACCGTAGTTAGTGTTTCCACGATGTTGGGGTTGCACATGGTACAGTGTGACGGAACCCGTACCAGTTCTCAGCTGCCCAGGTTTCAATTTGACCTGGTGAGTTAAATTTAGTATTGTAGTTGCAATAACTGTAACAGACCGAGAGACGGAAAAATGGAAAAAGCTCAGGCTGTCATCCGATAACTGGTATGAGACCATTTTCTGTTAGAATCGTCATGCCTACTTCGTTCTGGAGCCCCAAAGGTCACGCAAAAGCCCCCTGAACGTGTGGCTATCATTAGCTCTCATCCCTCTTTGCAAAGATCACCGCCATCGGACGCTTCCCGATATATCTGATTATTTCCAACGCATGCACAGATCCTCATTCACTAACCCAGATTGTGTTGGCAATGTCGGTGGCACCACAAAAGGTGATGGGCGTGCTGCCTCCTCAAGGACTCCCACCTCAAACGTACCAAGTTTCGAGGAAAACCCCGAGGTAGAGCTAGGAAAGTCTCCCTAGCCGGAATGTTAAGTGTCGGCGTTTCACATTCGGCGGCAGAAAAAGAGGTAGTGCCTGCTCATCTAGACGTTTTATTCAATTCTTTCTTTCCTTCCAGTGCACAAAACATCCGTCAAACTAGCGGTTCATAGCTAGTCTGTATAGCTTCTCAACGAACATAGGATCTCACTCTTTGACTAACACCACGGGTACTTAACAATGCCGTCGGACGGGGCAATGCTACGGTGAATAATCCTACACATCATTGGCACCAAAGATGAGCTCAGCAAGTATGCGTGAGGGCGGAGGGGGAGGGGGGGAGAGAGCTATATAAATGAAAACCACCACGACGTCTTTCAGTTCTCCTTCATAATTATTAAGTGAACATGAAGTTCGACCTTCGACAGGGATCTTTGCCTCCGCACGGTGGGCTCGAAACTCACTGCGTCCAACAAGATGCTTCAAAGTCAGTCGCTATCATTGGCGCAGGGAGCGCTGGACTGGCTATGTTGAAATCCTTGTTGGATTTGCCAGTCGAGACTCGTGCGGACTGGGATATAGTTCTGTACGAGAAACGTGGGGACGTCGGGGGAATATGGTACGGTCTGTTCCTGCTTATTATTCCCCTACATGAAATTTAGTGTGTGCTGGACATTGGAATAGGTTGCCAGATGCATCACCCTCTCCTCCGCCAGCGGTACCCGAAACTCCGCTGTATCCGCTGCTGCACGCCAATACTCCTGTTCCCATGATGACTTACCCTGGCTTTCCGTTCCCACCTGGCACGCCCCTTTTCCCCTTGCACGAATATATAGAGCAGTATCACCGGGATTACGCGACACAGTATGGTCTCTGGCCATATATCAAGTTCAACCATACTGTGTTGTCATCATCATGGGTGGGAACGCCGCAGACAGGACATTGGGAGATTATTGTTGAAGATGGCAACGGTAACCGGGTGCAAAGATTATTTGATCATCTCGTCGTTGCCAATGGGCATAACCACGCGCCCCACATCATAGTATTTCCAGGACAAGAAGCGTGGCTGGAGAACGCTAAAGACGGACCAGAACGTGAAATTCTGCACTCTGTATGGTACCGCGACCCTAATCAGTATGTCAACCGAACTGTCATAGTGGTGGGCGGCGGAGCAAGTGGAGTCGACATCGCGTCTCAGGTGTCGCAGTATGCCCACAAAGTGAGTCCTATCTGTGATGATGATGGTTCGTCAGTTGATGCTTGAATTTTCTAGGTTTATCTCAGTGTTCGCAGTTCGCCACTGGAGACTCCAACAGGACCTGTGGAAATGAAACCTGGGATTTCACATTTTACACCGGAAGCCGTCGTCTTTACGGATGGGTCCGTGGCGCAAGACATTGATACGGTGCTACTGGGTACCGGTTATGACCTACGGATGCCTTTCCTAGAAGAAGGCGGGGAAGTGATCGTGAAACCAGGATCTAACAAGTCAGACGGACGCAAGCTGACCACCAACCTGCGTTACCTGTTCCCGCTCCATAAACATATATTTTCCCTGTCGGAATCTTACCCGACGAACGCACTGGCTTTCATCGGCCTCCCGATATTTAGCTTTAGCTGTGCCTTGGATACTGCACAGAGTATCTACGCCTCGTCGATCATTGCGAACGGCAGCCTGCTCGAATCCCGAGCTGAATTGTTGAACCAACTTGCGGACAGCGAGGAAGACCTTCGAAGCAGAGGGTATGACCCGTATTACATTGGACATAGGATGGTCGAATTTTCCACCTTCGATTATCAAGAGAGCCTCATCGACACTCTACGATCGAAGGGAGTATTACCAAACCAAACCACCAGTTTCGTCGATCCCTGGAGAAGGGAATGCGTCCCATACTGGAGCAATGTCAAACGAGGATGGAAAAGGCTGGAGGCACTTGGATTAGCTGAGGAATGGCTAGAGGGGATTAAGAGTGAAGAAGAGTGGGTTGAGCTTATGAGACGAGTGAATGCGTGGCAGAAAGATTGGGAGACGGTGCACCAGGTAGAAATTCCAGATGACAAGCTCGTGTATTGATGGATAACATCATATTCTATCTGGTACTACGTAATTAACGATCATAGAAGTGTTATGGACGACGTTGCGACCAAGGAAGGTCTTATGATATGAGTGAGCACGTGGCAGAGTTTGGGAAACGGCACACCAACTGGTACTTCCGGATGACGTGCTCATACAAGTATTAATGATATGGTTCAACTATCAGCGAGCATTCGAATCCAGCAGATCATGTTCATTGGAACCCGCCGCTTGAATCCATTACACCATGAGTTACAGGGTGTAGACGAACCATGCACTGCGATCCCCCAAATGTTCGGGCTCCTCACCTTTCACCATGGAAAGTCTTGTCTCCGCCTTCGCACGGTTCTGATGTGAAAGATAGAACAGATTCAGAGATGCAAGGACGACTATACCAATGGACATGACCATCAGTATGATTGTGGCTGTCGTGTAATTTGGGCCAGGTGACAAGGAGCCAAGCAACCAGATGGCAAGAATGCCGCCTACAGTGCTTGTAACGGACGCGAAGGCAACGCTACTTGCCCGTCGGATGTGAGGTGCACTGTTATTGACAATCCAAGTGACTCCAGCTGGAGCAATGGCGTATGTGCCAGTCACAGAGAAGAAAAGTGAAGCATAGCGGACGTGTTGGGAAGTGCTCGCTGAAGTGTCAAATCAGTATACTAACGGGAGTATTAAGGAACATTTGACTATACCATAGAACATGGAAAACCCTATTAAGCACCAGAGCGAGAAAAATATCATCGTAAGGCCGCGGCAGCCATATCGATCAGAAACGAATGCAGAAATCACAGAGGCTGCAGGGTTGACAGTAAATCAGCAAAGTACCATACACTAATCTATGCTTACCCAAAAATGCAAGGACGAAGGGGGGAACGCTCATAAGTTGTGCCTTATTGCCAGTGTACCCCAGGCCAGCAACGATTGTTGGTTCAAAGCTGCAAATTCAAAGTCAACCAAATAGACACCCGACAAACGTACGGACTGACACTGCAAGACCAAGTAGTTGTGTTCCTGGTTCTGATATGTAACACGTAAGGAGACAAGATGATAATTGACACACCATTGAAAAATGTGATCACACTGAGCAGCAAAACTTGCGGGGATTTAAATGCTCGCAATACTTCTATCCAGCTGAAGTCATCCTTCCTTTCATCCTCAGAGATAGCCTTGCTGCTCTTGAGTTTTGAGACAACGTAACGTCTTTCCTCCGAGGATAAAAAACCCGCAGTCTCTGGAGACCGAGGAAGGACGAAAAATGAGATGATACCGAATAGGAAGGTGAACATCCCCTCCTGAAAACTCCATGAATATCCTGTGCCATGAAATGGAAGGGGACAGGCATACAACGAAGAATATCCAAGTCCACCCTGGCTTCCCACCTATTCCGTCCATATGTGTTATGGCAGCAGCTAGCAATCCACTGAAGGCCCCTGTCAACGAGGCTGCGGCAAAGAATGTAGTTATCCTGGAAAGAAACTGTCATGGACAAAGGCATCGAAGTGTTGTAATTCATAGTCTAACCTGATCTGCAATCTTTCTCTTGGATAGAAGGAAGAAAGGTAGAGAACAAGCCCTGGAAAAAGGCCACCTGTTCATCAGACGTGGCAGTGCGTCAGAGACCCTATATTTTATACATTTCTCATTCTACCTTGCGTTAATCCCAGGACCAATCGACATAACACTAGTCCAGTGTAACTAGTGACGAGTCCTAAATGGAATCGTGACTAATCTCAGCACGCCAATTATCCAAAAGTCCGCGTACCTTGCATTCCAGCAATTATGCCCCACATGGTGACCATAGCAGGTAGCATGCGATCTGGTCCGACACGCTACAAATATAAAGGTCAGAACAACACAATGTCAAAGATGTGGACTAACTTTCAGGATCAGGTTTGAAGGCAACTCCATAACGATGAAGGGGCTACAACGTTTCAACAAAAACTGTGCAGCTGCCCATGAAGTTGCTTACACAAAAGTGAGCGTTAAAGCCACGGTGAACTGAAAAGGGTCAAAAAGGGAAATCACTCAACGTCAAAGCTTACCTGGTAGTCTGAAATTTTCAGCGCTGTCTGCATACCAGCGACAAGTGCATTTCCGATGTTATTCGTATCCTGATTGTCCGGGATGCTAAACTGAGCGCGATGTCGAACCGGACGACACGCATCACGAGACGTACGAAGAACGAAATCAAGTAAAACGCGGTGCACAAGGGGAGAACCCGTCTATCAAACTTCCTCCAGACAACATCCTCCAAGACAGCGGAGTCCTGTTCAGAGGGGTCATCCCGGTCGGGTTTGTTGAGCGCATTCATGTACGTTGGGAATGAGAAAGAGAGGTCTCCCAGCTTCGTCCCGAAGCCGCCCATCATGATGAAAAGAAGCTTTCCTTCCACATGTACATGTCAATGCAGTCCAATATATAGGTTAGAACGCTTCGCGCCGCCTTCTCCGGAAGCATTGGACCCTCAATTGCTGTAAGCTTTGATCAAAAAATGTTCGTCACACGTACGAACCCTACTAGGGCTAACCACGTCCTCAGGGTAGGAAACGTTAGTGGAAAAGCTTGTGTTTATTGGTACCGAGGATGCAACAATTCATTCACCTTCCATCTATGATTTGGTCCGCGGGTTGCCGCGGAAAGGCCTGACATTCGCTGCTTACCATCACGCGATACAGGTCCGTAAGCAATGCACAGTTTTCAGGAACTAACAACAAAACTTCTTTCCCTGGGTCTTTATGTAATGAACGTTCGCTACAAACCATAAGTAAATGATGAAACATGCCATGTACCGGTGACCGGTGACAAACTCGTGGACGAGGTCTGTGTTGACACCGGCCCGAGAAGCCGCCCGGTCCGGAAAGCGCTGCATGCTTTAATCTCGTCATCTTGACTGTCAGACGCTAGCCTGACGCACTGAACTTTCCGGATACCAGCTTGTCTATGGGGCTTGAGTGTACCTCGTTGGACAGATCTGGTATCCAGGTTACAACAGACTACTATATACGTGCTGAAGATCGAACGGCGTCGTGCTTTGCAAGTCATTCTGATGTTGCAATAGTGCATGACCTTTCAGTAACCATGGTCGACACGATATACACTCTGGAACGATATAATACGGATCAACCTCCGTTCAATCCCCCAAGGCGATTGCCTCGTGCCAGCGGCGTGGCACAATACCATAGTCCTTAGTCTTTTTAAGTTCTTCCCCACGTTGCAACCATCACACTACCTCGAACTCAAGCCCGGTGCCTGACTTTCTGGCAACGACTTGTGGAATGCCTTGTACGCCTCGACGGTCAATGTCAGTTACCGATGAAGCTGTGTGCTTGGCATGGTTCAATGGGCGTATCTCAGCCTTCCTGAAACACGTGCGCACAGGTGTGATTAAACTTTCATGTTCCGTGATATATCATTATATGATACTCGTTCTTCTCCTGTGATACCTAGGCTTTGTACCCTGTAGTAGGCTGCACTTCGAGATGGAAGAGATACGAAAAATACGACCACGAGAAAACGAGGACTTCCGACTCTACACATGCTGTATGGTCATTTTTGGGCCCCTGGTTGCGCCTAGCTATCCTTGTATCCTACGTTCAGCGACATTCTGCTCGGAAGTCTGAAAGGTTATAAAGATTGTAGCGCAGTTCTAACCTCAAACTCCTCTCCACAGGCGCCATGTTTAGAGTAGTCCCCCGTCGGCAGACCAATAAGTTTAGAGCGACAGTTACCACCTACACACCTCCTACCAATGACGATTTCCTCCTGAAAGGCCTGGAAGGACCCCTTGAGACACTTTCTCCTGGCGCAGTACCCCATCCTTCTCGTAGGGCGCAGCTACGCAATGTCAAGGTGGTTGCATCCTACTCATGGGTCAAGGGGCCAATACCTAGCATCGCCGTTCCAGGTGGGCGACGCTGGTTAAAATGCTTGATCGAAGTTAGTAACTTGCATATATTATGCGTTACCAGGTTATCCCCGGATTTGGAGGAAGACCACCGTTACGACTGTTCCTGCTGACTCCGGTGTCCATTACGTCGATCGTAACGCATCGTTCATGGGGCATCGTTCGCCTCTCATACCCATATTTGCTGCTGTCGACTCACTGCATAACGACTTCCAGTACCGAGACCTAGATCTTATGACAGACAGGAAAAACTTGCGCAAATTGTTACGTTGCATCAACCAGCAACGCGGAAAGACCTTTCTCATTGATGTCGACTTGATAGGGAAGACATGTCTCCTTACACGTCGTGAAGAAACCTTAGTGGAGACTATCGAAGAATTCTGCGGATACGGTCACGAGTATGAACTCGCCGCAACTAAACCACATCGTGGTTTCGAAGACGAGATAAGTCATCATTCGCATCATCAACTATGTAAGTCACTGCGAATATGACCAGTTAAAACTTGTACTCAGTACGTGCTAGGAATTCGGGGGACTTAAAATATTACTTCGTTACGAAGTCGATGCCTGTACGAAGCCGGAAAGCGAGGATGATTCTTTCCTCGCCTCCTTCCTCCGTACTAAGAAGCATCGGGTCAAGAAGAGCATCAACACTATCTGATGACTCAGCTTACTCCAGCCGATTCGGGATGAAAATAAAGATGACATCACCTCGTTTCGTCGTTCCTCAGTCAAGGATAATCGAAATCAAGACCAGAGCTGTGCACGAGGGACTGGACTGGAAAGAAGTTTATCTCCAGTTATACCTGTCACAAACACCTTACTTGTACCTGGCAAAACACACACGTGGCACATTTGGTCGAGTGGAGAAGATACAGATCAATAGCCAGGGGATGGCAGCCCGTGCAAGAGCCACAATGACTAAATTCCAGGAACTTCTAAGGTACATTTTGAAGGCCATACGAAAACATGGTCAGGGAGTGCCCCTATGCTTAGTATATCGCGCAGGGAAGTTGCAGTTGTATAGACGCAGAAAAAGGACTAGACAACCTTTCGGGAAGGACACTTTGAGGAAGTTCCAACATGCCGCCACAATCTGATGAATTTGCTGAAGCGAGATGAAAGAGCAGTTTGGTGGGGGCGTTATGGTGGCCCGTGGGTGTAGGTGGGCACCTTATTCACCACGCAGTATGTATAAGTAGGCTTTCATCTACGCCTGGAGATTCTCGGCTCAAGGAGCAGGGACGGGGAAGAGGCTAGTGGCCCATGTAGTACTACAATAGTGATCATGCAGATACAGGTCATGTGACTGAGTTGAGTTCGGTCTCCTCGCACCCGCCATCAATGCATCATGCATCAGGTCCGAGCGCTCGGTTACCCTCAGCCCTCTAACCCCATCCCTTCACCCGCCCGACGCGTTTGCCTCTTCCATTAGTGGCTTGGCTTCCCGCTGACCTCTTCGGCTCCTAGCCCACCCTTGGAGCTCACGCCCGGCTCTCGAGTCTCGACAGCAATCGTCTCTTGATTGTCGAAGGGCCCGATTGCGTCGTTCTTCATTATCTCTGGAGTGAGGAGTTAATGGGGTCGCCAACTAAACATTAACCTCCGCCATGAAATGAGGTCCCTCAGGTACAGATATGTACCTGCATATGGCAGCCTGAAATCCAAATGACCGCACAATGCAGGTGACGCGGGATGACACAACAGATATACTTCACAGTGACTCAACTAAGTGGATCCATAATCGACAGGACCTTAGAAGCAGAGGCAACGAGTGATGCATGCCTAGCGCAATTGAGTCTTGGGGCAAGGCTGATCTCCGATAGCTCCACTGATGCGTAAGACACGTGCTTATCCCAGGTGAGTATTGAATTCTTTTATACTGGGCTTTCTAACGTTGAATGTAGTAGTGGATACTACCAGAACAGTGTGGTATGTTTAATGCAAGCGTATTGCATGATCTACACCGCGGAACTGCGTAGAAGCGGTTGATATCTTCTGGTGCCATGGGACGAAGTGATCCATGCAGAGCAAAGCAATACGTATGTACGTCAGACGTCATATCGTCTTCCCGCCAGGTAGCGAACCAGTTGGGTGATGATAAGTTGATGGAAGACCAGACTGACCCTGAGATGGCGGTTGGCTATTGCTCTGATGAGTGCTTTGTACCATCGCAAGTGTGTGTAGTGCTGATCATAGTTAATGGTGGAAGAAGAGGGGGCGTCAAACGAGCACAACGCCAGCGATTCAACGACGCTTCGTGCCTCAGTTAACTTGGAGCGCCATAAATTGATGTTCGGATCCGAACAAGACGTCGCTGGCACTGATAAAGAGCTCACAAAACGTACAGGAGCAGTTAAACCATCGTTTGGGTCCCCTTCATAACCGACTTTGGTGACCATGGTCGACTTTCCACAATTGGTGTGCTCACTCTTGAGCTTTTCGCTCTTTCGACTACCACTACCGGGGTGTCGCTACGGCTTCGAGCAAGGTGCCTCCAAGTCAATCGCTATCGTGGGAGCGGGGAGCGCCGGACTGGCTATGTTGCAAACCCTATTGGATCTGCCAGTTGAGACTCGCACGGACTGGGGTATTGTTCTATACGAGCGACGCAGAGATGTCGGGGGAGTATGGTGCGGTCTCTTTTTATACTTAAACCCCTCCACGAAACTCAAACCGCCGTGTGCTGGATGGCAGGCTGCCAGATCCGTCACCCCCTCCTCCGCCAAAGCTACCCGAAACACCACTGTATCCTCTGCTACACGCTAATAGTCCTGTTCCCGTCATGACTTACCCCCACTTTCCGTTCCCACCTGGCACCCCTCTTTTCCCTACACACGACTACATAGAACGCTATCACCAGGATTATGCGACCCATTATGACCTCTGGCCGTATATCAATTTAAACCACACCGTGCTTTCATCGTCATGGGTAGGGACACCCCATGCAGGGCATTGGGAGATCGTTGTTGAGGATCATAATGGTGACCGGATACGAAGATCATTCGATCATCTCGTCGTTGCGGTTGGGCGATACCACGAGCCACATATGGTGATATTTCCAGGACAAGAAGCATGGTTAGAGAACACCAAAGGTGGACTGCAACGTGAAATCTTGCATTCGATGTGGTACCGTAATCCTAGTCGGTATGTCAACCGAACCGTCGTAGTGGTCGGCGGAGGACCAAGCGGAGTCGGCATTGCATCTCAGGTGTTACAGTACGCTCATAGAGTGAGTTCCATCCATTCGTAGTGGTCCTCGGTCGATGCTTGAACCGAGGTCTGTTTTCCTTGGTAAAGGTTTACCTTTCTGTTCGTAGTCCGCCACGGGAGATGCCAGTGGGACATGTGGAGATAAAGCCCAAGATCTCACATTTTACATCGGATGACGTCGTTTTCACGGATGGGTCGACAGTACAAGACGTCGATATGGTCTTACTGGCCACGGGCTATGATCTGCGCCTGCCTTTTCTAGAAGAAGGTGGGGAAGTGATCGTGAAACCAGGGTCTAACGAGACAGATGGACACAGTCTTACCACCAACCTGTGTTATCTGTTCCCGCTCCACAAACATATATTTTCCCTGTCGGCGTCTTACCCGACGAACGCACTGGCATTCATCGGCCTCCCGAACACGGTCTTCATCCGCTCCTCGGATACTGCACAGAGTATCTACGCAACCTCGATCATTCGGAATGGAAGTTTACTCGCCTCACGAGCGGAGTTGCTGAGTGAGCTTGCAGACAGCGAAGAAGGCCTTCGGAGGAGAGGGTATGATCCTTATATCGGGTATAAGATGGTGGATTATTCCACCATTGAGTATCAAGACGACCTCATCGAGAGCCTGCGATCGAAGGGAGGATTGCCGGAAAGCAATACCAGTTTTGTCGAGCCCTGGAGAAGAGAAAGTGTTAATTACCTGGGGGGTAGCCTGAGGCGAGGGTGGAAAAGGCTAAAGGCGCTTGGACTTGCAGAGGAATGGTTAAAGGGGGTTGAGAGTGAGGAAGAGTGGGTTGATCTTATGAGACGAGTGAACGCGTGGCAGAGAGATTGGGAGACGGCGCACCAGCTGACATTTCCAGATGACACGTTCATATATTGAGGGATGACATGACATTCCATTTCTATCGCCATACAGAGCCTTGTCTCCCCCTCCACACAGCTCAACCGTGAAAGATAGAACGAGGTTATAGATGAAATCGTGACTATGCCAACGGACATGACAACGAGCGTGATCGTGGCTGTCGTGTAATTTGAGTCGGGTAACAAGGAGATGAAACCTGAGACGATGCTGTCTTCACAGATGAGTCGACAGTGCAAGACGTTGATACGGTTTTACTGGCTACGGGCTATGATCTGCGCGTGCCCTTCTTAGAAGGCGGAGAACTGATCGTGAAACCGGGGGTCTAACGAGACAGACAAACGCAGGCTCACTACCAACTTGCGTTACCTGTTCCCGATCCATAAACATATGTTTTCCCTGGGAGTCGGCCTGGCTCCTCGATCTGGAGGTTCTTCATGGTAACAGTCTTCCGATCGTTAGGGTGGTGCGATTGCGTCATTTTTCATTATGCGTGAAGTGAAGGGTTAATGGGGTCGCTAACTGGTAACCACTAACCACACCATGAAGTGCTGTTCTGCAGTACCTACATATTTCTTAGTTCGCAGCATGAAACCCGAACGACCGCGAGACGCAGCCTAAGGCAGGATGACACGATCGACGTGCTCCACTATGAACCAAGTCGATCTACAATTGTGGAAGCAAAAGCCACACGGCTAGCCGAATTGGGTCAGACCTTTGGCACGATCGATCTCCGACAACCTACTCATAGTAAGATATGTGCCTATACCAGGTGCCGGTGAGCACCGAATGCTCTACGCTGTATTCTCGATGTTCTATGTAGTAGTGGATACTACCCGAACAGTGTAGTGGATCAAAGCAATGCTCAAACGCACGTCAGTCATTAGATCGTCTCCGGGTGAGATAGCGAACCTCCTCAACAGTCAGGAAACAAAAGTTAATAGATAGACTGAACCACCCTTACCGACTCATCGAGGTGAAAGCTTGATACCCGATGCATAATTGGCACTACCAAAATGATGATTGGCGATTGCTCTGATGAGGGCTCTCCAGCTGTGACGAGTTGGCTTGCTGCTCAATGGTGGAAGAAGAGGGGGTGTCAAATACTAAGCTCGGACAAAGACTCGCCTTGGTGTGGGTCAGCTACGGGTTTCTTTTCAGTACCGTCACACCACTGCCTTGCCTGCAGTACCCAATTCGTAGAATAAATTCTACGTACTACGGCGTGCCTGGTGCCTTGGCTAAGTTAGAACGCCATATATGATGCTCTCTCCTGAGCCACCCGTCGTTGGTACAGGTAAAGAGTTCAGTTGGAGGATTAGGTCCCCACATTGTTCGGGTTCCCTTCGTAATCGACTTTGGTGATCATGGTCGGTTTCCGACAATCGGTGTGCTCACTCCTTGGCTATTTGTTCTTTCGACTATCACCGCCAGGGTGCTACCACGACTTCAAGCAAGATGTCCCCAAGTCAGTCGTTATCGTTGGAGCGGGGAGCGCCGGACTGGCTATGTTGAAAACCCTGTTGGCTCTCCCAGTCGAAAGTCGCTCGGAGTGGGATATTGTTCTATACGAGCGACGCAGGGACGTCGGGGGAATATGGTGCGGTCTGTTTCAGTACTCGTTATGCCAGCCACACGAAACTCAATCCACTGCATACTGGATGGCAGGCTGCCAGATCCATCACCACCTCCTCCACCTAAGCTACCCGAAACTCCATTGTATCCGCTGCTGCATGCTGACACCCCCGTCCCCATCATGACTTACCCCCACCTTCCGTTCCCACCTAGCACCCCTCTTTTTCCCTCACACGAATATATAGAACGCTATCACCAGGATTATGCGACCCACTATGACCTCTGGCCATATATCAAGTTTAACCATTCTGTGCTGTCATCATCATGGGTGGGAACACCACATGCAGGGCATTGGGAAATCGTCGTCGAGGATCATAATGGTGACCGGATACAAAAATCGTTCGATCATCTCGTCGCTGCAGTGGGGCTAAGCTATGCGCCACATATGGTGATATTTCCGGGACAAGAAACATGGCTAGAGAACACCAAAGGTGGACTGCAACGAGAAATCTTTCATTCGATGTGGTATCGCCACCCTAGTTGGTATGTTAACCAGACCGTCGTAGTGGTCGGCGGAGGAGCAAGTGGAGTCGACGTCTCATCTCAGGTGTCGCAGTATGCCCGTAAAGTGAGTACCATCCATTTGTAATGGTTCTCAGTCGATGCCTCAATCCAGGTTGGTTTTCCTTGGTAAAGGTTTACCTTTCCGTTCGCAGTTCGCTACGGGGAGGGATGCCAACGGGACCTGTGGAAATGAAACCTGAGATTTCACATTTTACGTTGGATGAGGTTATTTTCACGGATGGGTCGACAGTGCAAGACGTTGATACAATCATACTGGCTACAGGCTATGATTTACGCGTGCCTTTCTTAGAAGAAGGTGGGGAAGTGATCGTGAAGCCAGGGTCTAACGAAACAGACGAACAAAGGCTTACTACCAACCTGCGTTATCTATTCCCACTCCATAAACACATATTTTCCCTGTCAGCATCTTACCCAACGAACGCACTGGCGTTCATCGGCCTCCCGGGATCGCCTTTCCGCCGTCCCTCAGATATTGCACAGAGTATCTACGCGACCTTCGATCATTGTCAATGGCAGCCTACTCGCGCCCCGGGCAGAGTTACTGAGCGAGCTTGCAGACAGCGAAGAAGACCTTCGGAGGCGAGGGTATGATCCCTATTATATCGGACATAAGATGGTCGACAATTCCGCGTTCGATTATCAAGAAGGTCTCATCAAGACGTTGCGATTGAAGGAGGGATTGCCGAAGCAGAACATCACTTTCGTCGAGCCCTGAAGAAGAGAAAGCCTTAATTATCTGAGTGGTAGCCTGAAGCGAGGGTGGAAAAGGTTAGAGGCACTTGGACTAGCAGAGGAATGGCTAGCAGGGGTTGAGAGTGAAGACGAGTGGGCGGATCTTATGAGACGAGTGAACGCATGGCAGAGAGATTGGGAGACGGTGCACCATTTGGTATTTCCAGATGTCATACTCGTATATTCATGAATGTCATATCACTTTGTCTTTTGCTATCCTAATCAAAAATAATAAGTGTGATGGACAGGGTTGAGGACAACGAAAGCTCGGATCGATCTTGTGATACGAGTAGACACATGGCAGACAACTGACATTTCCAGATCACATACTCATACCATTTCTACCAAGCAGATGATGTTCATCGGAGCCCGGCTGCTTGAATTCTCGTTCTTCACATCATGAGCCACAAAGTGTAGACGAACCATGCACTACGATCTCCCAAATGTTCGGGTTCGTCGTCTTTCGCCATACGGGTCCTCGTCTCCGCCTTCATACGGTTCTGTCGTGAAAGATAGAACAAGGTTAGAGATGAAATTGTGACTATGGGCGTGGACCAACTTTTTAAGATCAGGTTTGAAGGTAACTCCGTAGTGATGAAGGGACTATCCAATCTGATAAAAGATTCCGCAATCGCCAACGGAGATGGTTACACGAAACTGAGCGTTAAGGCTACAGTGTACTGCGATGGGTTAAGAAGGGAAATAACGCAACGTCAAAGCTTACTTGGTGGTTTGTAATCTTCAATGCTGTCTGCATACCAGTGACATGTGCATTTCCAATCTTGTTCGAGTCCTGATTGTCCAGGATGCTAAACTGAGTGGGACGTTCCCAGAGAATGTGCATTGCGAGGCATGCAAACAACGAAATCAGGTAAAACGCAGCACATATGGAGAGAACCCATTCACCAAACGTCGTCCAGACAACAGAATCCTGTTTAGAGGGGGCATCATGGTCAGCTTTATTGTGTGCATCCATGTACACTGGCAATGAGATAATGAGAAAGAAAGAGGAGTCCTTCAGCTTTGTCCTTGAACTGCCCATTAGGGTGTGAGGGAGAGAAGCGTCTCATGGCAGTCAAATCATGCATGCACATTCCAGCGGAGGGCGATATATAGGTTAGAACGATTTGCACCACCTTCTTCAGAAGCCTTTCATGCTCTAAACCTGATCTAAAGGTGTTCACCGCTCAAATCAAGCCATAACCGGGAATGGAGAAGCCTGTGTTTTGCGCATCTGTAGCCCTCTGGTCATAAAAATCCACCACATGTTGTATTTATAATTCGGTGCACTGGTGGGGGAAGACTTGACATTTGCCTGCTCACTATCATGCGACAGGTCAGTATAGTATTCAGAAAACCACATAGCAACAAATTTCTTGCACTGGGCCTTTGAGGATCTCATCATCACTCGAGTCGCTCAAGTTGTAGTGGTGCATAAAGATGAAACTATCAGCAACTGGGAACCTGGTGAACCCTGAGAATCTCACATTATGGAGGTGCCACAGTCACAGTCACAGCTGCATGTGACTGCCATGTAAGGGCATGAGCATTGTTATTGCAGTTAAAATTAGTTAAAATTACAAAATAAAACAAAGAAACTTGTTACAGACAATGTGTAGGGCATGAGGCTGCAGGTGAGTGCTGAGTTGAGCTTGAGAGGGCTCTTGCTGTTTGTTCATTCTCCCCCTGCCCATTTCCCAGTCCCCAGTCCCCAGTCTGCCCTCCCCTGCAATAAACTGTCTTTTAAGTTATTTTGGGACCTACAGTGGCTCAAAAAACTGTCCCAACATTTGTGCAATTTTGACTGATGGAAGTGTAGCATGTCAATGACTAAGAACTGGTCCAAGTGGTTAGTGTTGGGGTTGAAGCCCATGGTCTGGGCTTTCTAACAAGTCCAAGGTGATGATGGCCAGGTGAGAACTGGTGGAGGTATGACCCTTTTGGTGTGGTGACTCATTGGGACAGTTTTTTGAGTTTGAACCCAGTCTGCATAGTTTGAGTTTAACAAAGTTTAAAATGCTGTAGTGGGCTTACTAATGCTTAGATAATATACAATAGCCCTCTGGTTGCTCCTGGATGCAGGAGGGCACTTCTGCACATGATTCACATTATTATTAAAATGCAGATGCTACACTAGGGAAATGTACATAACTACTTGTTTCTGTAGGTTTTATGTTGGGTGGTAGATGTCATATCTGTTCAAAGGGAAATGGTTAAGTGGGGTGGAAGGGAAGTTTATGCAACTGTTTGTTTTATGAGGTGGTGCTGTTTATGAAGGCAATATATAACTACTTGTTTCTGTAGGTTTTATGTGGGGTGGTAGATGTTGTATCTGTTCAAAGGCATGAGTTAATGGATTATGAGGTGGGAGAGTGTGGCATATGAGCAGTTGTTTATAATGTGGAGGATGGGTGGGACACATAATGATGAAGAGCCACAAACATGCCCTCTGGGAGTCCAGATGGTGTCAATGATACCCAAGTGGTAGAATGTGGTGAAAGGCAGGGAGTGCCAACAGGGCATGGTAGTGAAGTTGAGTGATAACCAGCCTCTGTCATTTAGGGATTGGACTTGGCTTCTGCATGTGAAAGGAGGGTGGTGGGTTTCCTTGCAGGAAATGAAGCAGAGTCCTTGCTGTTTGTATTTGAGAAGAGCACACATGTAGCTGGGGGGAAAGCACCTCTTGTGGAGGCCTGTGGTGTTGATCATTGTGCAGTGACAAAGGGTGAGGCTAGGGTAGGTGCAGAATAGGGAGTTGGCACTGAAGAAGTTCATGATGGTTGTTGAATGGAATTGAAAGATTGGGGAGAGCACAGAGGATGTTCTGGAGATGATGATGATGACAAGTTTGCCATTGTTACTGAAAGTGGTGACAGTGAAGATGGTGGAGGGGGAGTAGTCATTGAGGCAGGCATGGCCCTGGCAGACAATTGTAAAGTGATGATTCTGCAGAAGGTTGTATAGTTGAGCTTGGTGGGAATGGGAGACATAAATATCAAGGTCTGACAATGGCCAACTGCATGTGTTGGCAGGTAAGACCATGTGAAGTGCAGCTGATCCAGATATGACAGCCTTGCATGCAGAGAGCATGTTGGTAAGTGTCTTTGAGCTGGGGAAGTAGGGGCTGCAGATGACATCAAGGCAGTATCTTAAGTACCATCTGACACAGTCTGCATTGGTTTTGGACATGGCAGCCAGGGATAGGAGGTCCCTCAGATCACAGTTTTTGAAAACTGTTTGCAAGAGGTCAGTGTTTGCAAAGAGTGGGAATTCTGCACTGTGATGGTGGGCAGTTGACATCTTGTATGATGTTTGGAGATGGTGACAGTCTGAACTTTATGAGGTTGATTAAGATGAGGTCACAGGTCAGTTTTAGGGGCAGGGGGGCAGGCTTCATATGTATAGATGGCATGTATGACAATGATGGAATTGTTCAAGGCTCACTTTATCTAAATGTGAATTTTACAATGTCAATTATACATGGCAGGTGGTTCTAAGAGGGAACATCATCATTTTTAGTGATTGTAATTTTGAATTTGCAATACTGAATAAATTTAGATTTATGATGTAGCATGGCAGGCAAATTTGGTGAGAAATGCAATGTCAATGTCAAAACATTGGGGAGGTAGGAAGAATAGCAGGGATTAGTTATGGATGATGGGCTTGTCAGTGGTGGGGGGGGCAGGGGATCTGTTTGTTCAACCTGGAGGTGGGTTAGATGATTGGAAAGAATGTGTGGGGGAGGAAAAATACATGAGGAAGGCATCTAAAATGTGGTTGAGGTCATGTTCAGGCCAAATGTGAATGGGGTGACCCTGGTGGTTGAGATGAATGAATAGGTAGGACACTTGGGAGTGAAGGTGTTGATGATGGTGACAGTCAAAGATGACACAGAAGTGGATGGTTTCAAGGTAGATGTCTGTTTTGGAAAGAGTGGCATTGACAGGGAAAATGTTGGTTTTAACATAAAACTCAACATTGTCCTTGAGATGTTTAAATGCTACAAGGCATTGACCACTATTTTCATGTGCTGAGAAGAAAAATGTGAGGACACTTGTCATTTTTGGGACAAAAGGCATGGTTGTTTGACATGTTTTTTTTGGTTTATTTATACTGTGATTCTGGTGGTGATGAATGATTGATGAGGTTTCCCCCCAAAAAACATGAGCAGAGGAGTGATCTGTTGGAAATGTCAGTGGGGTTGGGGGTTCTAGATTTCCAGTCCAGCAATTTCTACACTGCTGCCTCTGGATTGGGTTGTGTCAGGAATGCTTGGCTCTTGAAGAAGATAGATGGCCTGTAGTTTGAACTGAGCTTTAGAGATTGTCCAGTGACCTTTGTCATTCCTTTTGGCAGTACCATTGGAAGATTAGGACAAGTGCATGTTTTTTGAGGTACAAGATACCTAGTTTTTGCATTGTACTCTTACTTTTGAGGACCTCCCATGCATCAAGATGCTTTTGAAAAGTGTGGGCTAAATGTGTGGTCAATGAATGTTAAATAGAAAGTGAATAAGGACACATGGTGCCACCTGACCATGGACTTTGTCAGTGGACTGCCTGGATGAGGCTGGGGTCATACTCATTAATTACTATGAAATGGTTTGTGGTGGTTAGGAACTGAGGCTGGACAGGGTAAAAGTCATATGTAGAGTGGGCATGGACAACTCTGATAGCAATTGGTTCACATACTGTCCAAGAGTTGAAGAGAGCAGAAGGATGGTGATTGAGCATTGATTGTCAGGAGCACTGTTTTTTATAAACCATGTGTTCATGATGTGGCCCAGGACCCATATATTGATAGGCTTGTTTGTCTTTGGATTGCAAATGACCTTGCTGCAGTCCTTGAATGCATCTGTGGTACCCCATGTTGCAGTTGGTAGGAGACATCTAAGTGCAAATGTGTTAGCTTCAGTGTTGGAATACATGGAAAGCATCTGGATGTATCTTGGGGTAGTGAGGTAGTTAGATATGGTCTGCACAGAGCAAGGACTGTACTTCACTTTAGAAGTTGCTCTGGACAAGTGGAGGTGTGTTGGGGATTGAGTTCAGATGATACAGCAGTAGGTATTATGCTGCCCATGGTGGCAGGCATGGTAGTTAATTCAGCTTGGATTGTTGCCAGTGGGTTGGAGTGAGGGGACATCAGTTGGAACAGACATGTCAGTGCTAGGGAGAGTATCTGTAGATGGGGTTGAGGTTGGTGCATGATCACAGCCTGTGGGTGTGGAGGCTGTTGGCACTTGCTGTTGAATAGGCAGCTCATTGCTCATGGATACATAGTGCACTGTGGGGAAGTGGCTGTTCACATGCATTTTGAAGGGGAAACTTCTTTAGACTGAGGTGCATCTTGTTTGGGTGGCATTGGGAAGGATGCTGATGTGGTGGTATGCAGTTGTCAGGCAGGAAAGGGTGCAGTGGATGTTCATAGAAATGTTGGGGACAGCAGAAACACCAACAGAATGCAAGGGGGTCATTGTGATGCAAGAGGGGATTTTCCAGAGTTGGCAATCAGGAGTTAGGCAACAGGAGAGGGGCAATTTGCAGGAGAGAGTAATGCATTCAGACTTTTGTTGATAAAAATAGGATTAGGTTATAATGGTCTAGGTGTATGTTTCAATTAGGAATCTATTCTATGATGCCTGAGTAAATAATAATTGCAATGGTTGATGACATCTCATGTTGATGTCATCACCTCTCTTCAGAAACAGGGACTGGAAAGAATTAGACTGTCAAATTTCTGGAGCATGCAGGTTTAGGTGGGAATGATGACATACATTTCTTACATGGCAGTTGTGCATGGCATGGATGTGGTGGAATGATGGTGACCTCATTGTAGGAGCTGAGGTGGTAGTTGTTTCATGCATACTGCAATCTGACAGTAAAGTGGGGGAAAGTTCTTGGGTGGTCCTGTTGGTGTGCATGTATCTTACTTCAGGTGCCTGTGTCCTAGCAGACATGGAGCTCCTGTAGGCTAATGGAGATGGGGATGAGTGTGATGTTGGAAGAGGTGAGAACAGTTACAAGCCTGTATGGTATGCACCACTTGGAGATGCAGGAATTTGCTTGCAAGTCAAGAAAATGCATAAGTGAGATTTCCCTGCCTGTGTTTGAATCACAACAAGATTCAAATTCAGTGTTGACTTCAACAAAGTCTCCATGGGACAGCAATAGCTTTGTGAATCAGCAATATTGATCCTGCATCATTTCTTTCCAGTATCTCAACAGGCCCATTCCATTCCCACAGATAGTCTGGGAGCTTGGGAACATGTGCATTTTGAGTGTCCATATTATGTACTGAAGTAATGTTCTGAGTGGGAGGTTGTTGTAATTCAAGGGGTTGCTAAAGAATGGGAGTGGACATAGGGGAACAAAGACCAAGGTTTTGGAGGGATGTATGGTACCTTCATAAACACCTTTCTCTGCAAGTGTAGGTGATGACAGTTCTGAGAAGGGACCAAGGTTGCAGGGCAAACTAGAGTATGAAAACTCAGTCTTTGAAGTAGGGTGAAGTCTATTATTAACCAACCTAGAGTGTGAAAACTACTCAAGCTGGTAAGTAAAAGTAGGGTATAATACCAGTAAGGAACATTACCTCAGTCTTTGAAGTAGGATGAAGTCTGAGGTACAAGGAAAAATGAAGTGGCTAAATTGTATGGAAATATTATGTAAGCAGCACTCACTGTATGGAACAGTAGTATGTTCCAACAGACAGAACTGAACAGAAGGCAGGGGGAGTTTGAGAATGCAACTGGCAAAGGTTGCAGAAAGGTTCAAACAATCTAGTTGATTATACCATGCTACAGTGTTTCCAGCACTGCACAACAACAGGCTTTGTACAGCATATGCCAGCCTTTGCAATCACTGCAAATGGTTCATACCTGAGGCAAGGAGGGAATATATAAAACAGACCTGTCCCAATTTCCAAAATCTCTGACACAAAATTTGTCCAGGAACCCATGGATCTGGATGGACACTGGGTACAAGACACCATACAGTTCCAGAATAGGCAGGGTCTTGTAAATGAGCATGTGTGATTGTCTTTGGTCTGTAGAACTTGGGTTGTGAGCTATGGTTAGCCCATTTGATTATATGGCAAAGCAAGGTCAGGAAAAATTCCCATTGCTGGAGCTTTTTGATGAGTGCATGGCTGTGGATGACTGGTTGTAGATCTTCTGACCAGAGATCCACACCAAGCAGGTGACCAACTGATGGTAGAAAAGACATGTGGAAAGGAAAGAAAGATGTGGCAGGTATACAGTGACTGGGGCACAGATTTTAAACAATGGATGAGAGAACAACAACCATTTTGGTAATAGGTGAAATAGCTGTGGTCTAGACATGATTAGCCAAGGATGAAGTAGATGAGAATGTCACTGTGGCATCAGGACCATGCTCAGGGTAGGCTGCAGCCATAGCAGCATTGAGATTGGCCAGGTGATCCAACTCATTCCAGAGATCATGCTGCAGATGACCTAGATTTTGCCTGTGGAGAGAATGATTGTAAAATAGCAAGTCTAGATAAAGAACATGCATGAGACAACATGACATATGCATGTTGCACTCCCCTTGCACTGGCTAAATTGACAATCACCTTGTCGAGGGTTGATCCTTCTGCCTTGTAGTCAGTGAATGGCCATCCAGGGATCACAGGAACCTGACACTGAGTGATTTGGAGCCTACCCACATGGTTGGAGAAATAAGGAAACATACAGGGTTGAGGGAACACAGTGACAATGTGTGGTTCCTCTCCAGGCAATTGAAGGGCAGACACAGGGACAGTGACATACATGCAGCAGATTACCTACTTTCCTTGTACTGTAGAACAAACAATGTCACACACAATTCCATGTGCACCATTTACAACTTTCCCCATGATAAGAAGAGGCATTCCAGGAAACAGAGGCAGTCATCCAAGATAATCTTTGGATTCCTTTGGTCGCAATAATGCCAGATGCTCATCTTCCTTGCCAGTAATGCATTCACCATCACAGAAGTGTTCAGCATAACAATACTCAAACAATTGATTGGTACTATGAGCAAATGACTTCACCATTTCTTCATTCCAACAATCATGCAGGCAGTGCTCCTCAAAGATGATCAGAGCATCAGAGAACCACAAGAAGTCTTGTTTAGAATTTTTATATAATTCTGTAAGTTGTGTTTGTTGTAGATAATTGTCATGACCATGCCTGGACTACTCTAGGCTGGCTCTACCCTGGTCCCAACTGGTCTTGTCCTGCCCTTGCCCCAGTCCTGGCCTTTACCCTTAGACCCAGAAATGTGTTAGCTCATGAGGCACTGCAAGGCAGTGCCAAATTGAGTTGTCCACTCAGTTGGTACCAGACCAGTGTAATACCCAGCCCAGCCACAAGTCCTGCCATGGTTCCCAGTAATCCTTTGTTCATACTTTTGCTTGATAATATTCTTTGTAACATTACTTACCAATCAGTTTACCAACCATTGCTGTACTGGTGCAAACTGGACTCCAGTGCTACATTACACTTACTTTACCTCTAGTATTTAAGCCATAGGGTAGACTGTTTAGCCTCAGTCTGAAATCAACTTAGTCTCATCTTAACCCAGTCCCCTCTGTTCTCTGTCTTCTACCTCTTGACTGGACTATGGCCCACACAAGGGAATAGTGCTGCATCTCCAGTCACTAAGTCCAATAGTCCAACATCTCTTGTACCTTCATCTTCCCTCTGACCCCTGACTGGACTCTGGACCAGTTTTGGACCAGTGACAAACCAGACTTAACAATAATGCAAATTGGAAGTTGGACTGATGCTCAAAGTAATTGCAGAACCACATCTTATGTGACCAAGCATCTTGATGAACATTGGGTCTGCTCTGGCATGTTTGTTTTGAACCAGTTGGACTACATGAGTCAAAGATCTCCACAGAAATGCCCCAAACAGTCATTGCTGAGATTTGATGGTTTCAAAGGTACATCTTGCCAAGTTGTTTACCACTGTGTGAATACAATGCAGTACCATTCACTGGACAGAGCTGGGCCATATCACCTGCAAAGATGATGTTGATGCCTCTGAAAGGCAAGTCCTTCTTGGCAGGACTGCCTGCTTTTGCAAGACTGATATGATTTACAATGTCAGAAAGGAGTTCTGCAGAAACCATCAACACCTTGTCCAAGACTAAATGCAAGACATTGCACCAAATCTCTTGCAATTTGTCCATGTCTACATTCTGCTCACCATTCCCTTGTTGCTGTTGCCTTTTGTCATTCCCCAAGGAGTGCAAATTCATGAGTGTCAGTGCATGAATCATGAAACCATCTATAAGACATGCAGCACTACCTGTTGGTGTGCTCAACAGAATCTCCTGTGAATGACCCATTTGTGCAAATGCATCTACAATCACATGAATGATGTGGCTCTTCCCCAAGCCCCTGATACCAGTAATGAACATCAACATTTGTTCTGGCTCACTGCGAAGCATGTATTCAACCACAATTGTGAAAGCATGTCTCTGTTCAGGATTTGTTTCTAAAGACCACTTTGTAATCATGTCCAACATGAAGGTATGCACAGAAATATCATCAGTGATGGTATCTGCTGAGTGCTGTTCATTTTTCACAGACATCACAGAAAGGTTTGGCACATTGCTTCTTTTGGTCATTTGTGCTTGCTTTTGAATCCTCAAGCAGTTATCAATATCATTTCTATCCTCTTCAGGACATCATTCAGGTTGTTTGCATTTTTGCTGCACATTCATGTACATGTTATGTAGTGTAATTTGATCCTCCATATCAGGACTAATTTTGATAAAAAGACCCTCTATTTCATCCAAACATACACTTGAATGCTCGTGACAGTGAAGTTGATGAGACATTGTGATGATGTCTTGTTCATCCTGAGGTAACACAAAACTTCCATGATCATTTGAGATGTCATCATCTAATGTCTGTGTGTCAAACTCCATCACACAGTCCAAGGCCGAATCCAGAATAAGAGCTTCTTTCAACAAGTTGACATCATATTCACCAGGGTTTCATATTTGGAAACCCTTTTTATTATAGTCTCCTCATATGACATCCTTGGCATCCTTACATTTGAGCTCAATTAAAAAGTTTGAGATCATTAGAGAAGCTGCATCAGAGAAATCATAAGCATTAAATGCCTCTGTCCAACACAAATAACCCTGCAATAATTCAGAAGGGTTTTGCCATGCAAGGAATAGAAGGAACATAGCATGACGAGATTCCTCCATGTGATAATCTGGCCTCCATGGCAAAGGAATGGAATCACCAAGGAGAACAGGAACCACAAAGCTATTATGAACACAGAGCTCATGTGTCCCAAACTGTGGGTGACTCTCATTAGCAAAAAGTGCTCGAAATCAGTGTGAATCTGAGGTGGTGAACCCAGTATCTTCTGCATGCTTGGTGTGTAGGTCATACATGCTACTCCCCCACTGCTAGAAGAATGTCTTACCTTCTGTGTTTGTTCCAGGAATTGCTGCAAAGTCATGCTATCAAAAGGAGGGATGGTAGGTTGCATTAAATAGTCTAGGGTTTCTGATGACACAGACAGAGAGCCTTGAGAAGTATGCACTGTACATGTAAATCCATAAACATTTCCTGGGCAATCAGGGGTACACTCTCCCTCACAGTTGCAGTCACCATTGACATGGCACTTGTGTGCAATAGTGATATCCATAGATTCATGGAAGCATATGGTATGGAATTCATGTGCTGTATAATAATCACCTCCACCAATCAAATAACTCATAACTTGTTGGTGCAAGATCTCATGCCTACCCATCATAGCATTAACAGTCTTTGTCAGTAAGTTTCATTCATGCACAGAAGCCAAAGACTCAATGTCATCCATGAAATGCTTCTGGTGGCTGTCTATGGTAGCATGAATCACCCTGAAGCCCAACATGGACTTGTAAATCATTCTCCATGATATAATCACTTACATAGTAAGTCAACACTTTCACTGCAGCTCCCTAAGTCAATGAATTTAATGTCCATGTTACACTGCAAAAGGAACAGTGTAATGTCATTATAGTTATTTATATGCAGGTGAAGTCAGTGGAGAAGAATAGACTGCATTTCTGGATCAAGATAGGACTGCATGTGCATGGTTCCATCAATTTGCATTTGACAATTTTCATCTCCAGGCTCCTCACCTGGCCAAAGATGTTTGAAGCAGGTTGGTGTATGCTCATGCCAATTGCATTCAATAGCTAGGCCTTACATGAAGTCATTGAATGCCTCTAAGAACCTTTCCTTTCCAAGCTCAGCAATCTGAGGAGACTGTCATAAATGAGGATCCAGTTCATCATCTCACCAGACTGGCTTGTCAGGCTCTGTCTCAGTAGGATTGATACCATCTGGAGATGTTCCAGGAAGCTCACATTTTATCAGGTCTTCTAGCCAGCTGAAAACTGAGGCACCAAAGTCTTCATCTTCATGCATCATAGACCACAAATGCTCTGGATTTGGATGGCCTTCCACCCACAACAACATATGGTAGTGAAGTGTCCCCCTTCCCTGGGCCTCCACCATTCCATAATATCCAGAACACTTGCCAAACAAACTGACCCCCCTATTATATTTGAGCATGATGTCTATGAAACCACAAATAACAATATTGAATGCCCTCACCACAGCAGCAGGATATGAAGCAATGCAGACTGCCCATCCATATGCACCCATTCCCCTGCCACTGAGCCACATTCATGCCTCCATAATGAGCAACAAGGACACTTGTCACATTGTGTGGATTCAATATTAGAAAGAATGCTGGGGTGCCTAACTGTTGAGTAAGAGAGTGAATTTCATTGTGATGGCACAACTTATACCCATCACTCCCTGGCACAGAATGGCAAATCACATTCAATTCTTGAAAAAGATGCAGAGTGCCTCTCTTGCCAGTAGAGTGCATGGTCACCTTCAGATCTCATTCCAATTTTTCAGCCAGGGAAATTATATTTAACTCTGCATCCCAGACATCATTCACAAGGGTATGATGTTGGATGGATGGAATGCAAAAAGCAGTATTCTCACTTACCACCTGTTTTTGCAGAATATTCCAACATATGAATGGAAAAGTCACATCCTGCATGAAGGGTGAGTCCACTTGCCATAACAAATTTTGAAGCTGTCACTGGAATGAAATTTGCTGATCAGGTTGTTGTGCAGGATGATTAAAGCCACCAATCCCCCAAGGATCCAAGTGTGGAAATACCACAGTCAAATAGCCAGGCAAGTTCTTGTTCAACAACTCCAAACCTGAACAGCTCACTATAAACTTTTTGTGACTTAGGGCATGAGCCAGTGTGGTTGCCTTCATGGCCCACTGCAAATGCTCAGAATGATTGCCATCAGTGTATGCAACAGACTCCATGATGAGATCAGTTGCTAACACAGACCAATCCACACTGCCATTGGCATCTACAAGCCCATCCTCATTATGAAGGTGAGTGATCTCTGTCCCCTGTAACACACTGGTGTCCTCCACACCACTCACCAACCATGTTAAATTCTCCTTGCTGAACATAATTCCCTTCTTCATATACCATTCATTATTTGATATTAACCATTCAATCATAGACTTCACTCTCCTTTTGCTAACAAGCACAGGCAGGAGTTTACACAAGGCCTCTGCAGTTGGATGGAATGCCCCACCTGCAAAAACCATGCACACTGCCCCACAGAGATTGCACCACATCAGAGGGAGGACAGTTGACAACCCAGTCAGATCTTGAGGTAGAAGTGTGACATTACCTCTGTTGAAACACTGACTTGCTTCTTCAGGAATGCAACCCCCTTGAATACTTTTTGTCTGATAGTGATGTGTAATGACAGTAGCACAATGTAGGGAATGTAATTTCCCTACTGGGGGAATTGTTTTATTTTGATGATTTTACTTTATTTTTGTTCTAGCTATCCCTCTGCTACTTGTTCTTAGAATTTCGCATTTTTGTTGCTCAGTCAGCACTACCTAGTGACTGGCATAGTTTTCCTTACAAACAATAGATGAGTTACCACAGATGAGAGATGAGTTCAAGCAGGTTGTTCCCTGCACCAAGACAGCCTTAGAAGCCTTCAGATGACTACCAGGATCCTTGCACAGGCTATAGAAGCCCCTTTGGCTTACTCATCCCCTCAGATAATCCAACTACCCAGTCTTCTCCTCTTGTTTTCCCTTTTCCTACAAAAAGAGGCAGCAACCAGCATTAATTCCAACAGACTTGCACACTGAATACTTTCCTGAACCTTGAGTGGCAACTCCACATCTCCATAATGTTGAAAATTTGCAATTGTGTCCTTGGGTTGCCATGGGGAGCTTGCTGTCAATGACTTCTGACACAATGTGCACACATGGATTTGCACAACATCCTGCAAGCAATGCATCCCATGGGGGCAAAGAATTGCACCACTGTATTTTCCTATATTGTATGACTGAGGACAACAAGACTCCAGTAACCAATCATTCTACAGCACTGAAAGCACTTCTGACATTGGAAAAATATCAACTAAGTCACAACTTTGAACCATTTGCACACACACAGCACAAAAGCATCCTCCATAAGAGACTGCAGCAATATCCTGTTCTGCCATTCATGAATAATATCAATTTTGTTGTCCAAAGATTGTATAGGAGGATACCTGAGTGACTCCTCTACACCACCAGTTATTATCAGTTGTTGTTGAGCACACACCTCACTTTGCTGCATATCTCTAACCTTGGCAAGGTTACTCTCTAGGGAAACAGCAGGCTCCAGACCAGGTGCTGTGAATGACTCACGATGTGGCCTTCTTAGCCAGTGGAACATGTACACCAGCAAAGGACAGGAAAATGTACAATGATGATTGCATAGTGCATCAACACACATCACTCAAAGTAAGTTACTATGCAGAACCAAATTGTGATGACTGGCAATAGCTCTGAGTTGCTTCAACATCAAATACAGATACTATTTGACAAGCTTGCAAATGGAGCCTGTGCAACACACCAGCATGGTGCCTTTGAGGTCTGCTGAAGTGGCACAAAAATCATCATACACAGTAATGCACTCAAATGCATATTCTCACTGCAGGAACTTGTAAGAGATTGCAGAACTGTTACTGACTCCAGTAATGTCAATAGACTAGCAGTGCATGCCACTGTCCATGAGATGTGCACAATCTCCCATGTGCCTCCACATAGTCTGCTAGATGTAATGTACATCAACAAAATCCCCATCACAAATTGAGTTAACCCCAGAGTTCCCACTGCCAACATGTGACTAGAGGTCAGCCCAGCATGATCAACCCCAACAAAGAGTTTACAGACTTGGGCCTAACAGCATCCAGGAATATCACATGGTCTATTCAATGATTTTTCAGCATACAAACAATGCCAAACAATGAATTGGGACCATCAAGGCTCCCTCTTCTACCACAACTCATGACACCATCCTCCTGGTCTGTCTGGGCCATTCACTCAGAGTACTCTCCAGAAATATTGGTGTCCACTGCAGTAGTGTCATTAGGGTATACTTACAACACCATCAAACCCTTAAAAAATCTGCTTTCAGCTATCCCTGTGCTGTTTCCCCCATTCATATCTGACATGTAGACCACTTGATATAACCTGTAAAGAAGTGACATAATGAGAGTGGCTACTGCCCAACCTAGTGCTTCTAGGCTGTTGAAAGGCATAGTCATTTAGATGTCTCCAGTGATCAACCTATGTCCTTAAGACAATAGCATCCAAGCCTAGAGCTCAGGGCTCATAACCTATTGTGCAGAGGATGGATAACAGGGAAAGGCTAAGATGAACACTTGCCTTATGAATTAGTTGAGCAGTAGCTTGAAGGACTTGTTGGTAGTTGTTGTAGCAACAGAGAATTTGAGTAGACATTGAATTCACTGAGGGACTTAGCCTCAGGAGCCATAGTGTATATACAGTTGGAACTGCACATGGACCATGTAGCACATGTTCCAGAACACTACTGTGAGGGGAATGAAGTAACTACATACAGTATAGTAATGAAGGTCATGGAACATCATAGAATAAGTGGAGTGATTGGTAAACAATCAGTCAGCATGAGTAATAGTGATGATGTGTAAATCACATGATTGGTAAACCAATAAGTGGAGTATCACATGAAAGTGTGATGGTCTAGAACCAGTGTGTAAGTTCATAAACTTCCAACACAGACAAGTCAGTGACTTAACCAAAGAGAGCATGAATTATTAGTTACCTCTAATTGCTGGTGAAACTTTGGGGGATTCAGCTCCACACCTCCCCTGGTATTGGACACCTTGCATCCCCATCTGGGGATGTTGTGCTGGGGTGGAAGTGGCTGTGGGTGAAGCAACTGGGTTGATAGTAGAGTTGACAATGTTTGATTTCATGTTGGAGGTAGTTACATCTGCCTGTTCATCTTCTGCATTTCTGATGTCAGCATCACCACCTTGGCCACTCTGTGACCTTTGGTGCCCTTCACTAAAATGCCCTTCATCAACATGCTCTTTGTTAACATGCTCTTTATCAGTGAGCCCTTTGTCAACATCCATCTGTGACAAATCCTCAACCTGTCAATGTGCCTATTGTAGCAGCCACTTTGTCTTGTTCTTGCTCTTTGGAATTATTGACATTTCTCTAGTGCCATGAAAAAATATATGCAAAGAATGCTCCTCATCACCATCAGTGTGACCTTGCCTTCTGAAAGCATTGGCTTCTAGACCCTGCAGGATAATGGTGTCAAATACAATGAGAACTAAACTGGTAGTCAATGCACCTTGACAAACTGCTGGAGGGCTTTCTCTACATCTGGCTCAAGTGGTGGATATTTAGCATCACCCTCATTCAATCAGGGTCATCCCATCCCAGTGGGCAGCATTCCACTGCCTTCACCAAGTTTTGTGTTGCAAGGGCATCAGCCTTCAAGGTCAGACTGTTTTTCAGGCTTAGGAGGACATCACCAATCTGCTTGGAGAGTCTTCATCACTGATGGGTGCATGGGGGACTTGATCTGTGAAGGAGAACTCTGCTTTTTTTCTGTTTTCCACAAAAAAGGCTAGTTTAAGGGATGGAGAAGCTTGGACAATTGAGAATGGAGATAGTGAGCACCAGACCCCTCAGTATTGAGTAACTGCAGCCTGTACTCTTTGATAATTCCCCACTCCAGAACCACAGCACCTGCCACATTCTGAAATTCATGCAGTCTGGAGTTTACAGAGACCTTGCACCAGGCCCAGGAAGTATGATACACCAAGTGAATGCCATCAATTTGGCAATGCATGGGACTGCTAAGTGGAATAGCATCCTTGGATTTTATGGTGCTTTGCATGGCCTTGACAAGTTGAGCAGCTTGAGTTGATGAGTTTGATTGTTCAGGGAACAAAAGGTTTTAATGGTATATGTCATTTCACCATACACCTTAGCAAGTTTTATCAAATTATGTGCATTTCTCAGATTATAATGATTCATAAGACTCTAGAAGACCTAGAATGAGATCCCAATGTGGATATCAGCTCTATCCTGGCTATTCATCAAACTCAGTATCTGCAGTCCTGGTCTCCTGTTGCCAAGTCTGGCAGCCTCCACCTGGCTTGGGAACATGCTCAGAGCCCATCTGATCACCATCACTTTGCCAATACACTACACATTTCTCCTGAAGTATTCCAAGTCATCTTACCACCAATTGAAGATCACCCAATCTTCTACAATCAATTAAACTATTCCCAGGAGTCTGTTGAGGTCCAGTTGGGTGTTACTCTGTATCATATGGGTCAATGTAGGAATGGGGCTTCTCTGGAGGATATTGCATGCTTTGCAGGGTGCTCAGAGGGTGCAGTTGAGCTGTACATAACATGGTGCTTCACTGCCATTGAGTCCATCCACAATGACTTTGTGTGCCTGCCCACTGACAAGGAGAAGGAGGAGGAGAAGTGTTGGATGGATCAACATCTTGGATTTAAGGGGACATGGAGAGAAGGCTGGGTCATGTATGATGGAACTGTTGTGGTTCTATATGCAACACCTGCTCTCAATGGTGATGCATACTATTGTGCAGAGGATGGGAAAGGGACAAGAGCAATAAGGCTGAACACTTGGCTTGTATTGATCAGTTGGGGCAGTAGGTTTTGAAGTAGGGGCTCAATTTTATTGATAGAAAGAACAGTGTGTTGTTCAATGGGGTCTAAGGCAGAATACCCCAAGTTTATATACATGTAGACCTATGCATGGACCATGTAGCATATAAGGAAAGTACTACTATGTAAGTGGAGAAGGTCATGGAATATGATGTCACTGCTGAATAAGATATGACATCATTGTGGAGTATGCTGAGTGAGCCAAGCATGTGATATATCATGGACAATCTAGATTGTCAGAACTATTGTAATATTTCCAACACAAACTTTACTAGGAAGTCAAGCTATGGTCTTAATCTGCAGGTATGTATATTTTTCTTTATTGAGAAATCTGTATTCAAGATTTCATTGCTAAATTGGGAATTTACCCTTAAACCTACAAATTTTGGATTACTCTCATGGACTGACAGGATCTGCTCTGATGCCTGGGCAGTTGAGAGTACAGCAGCAGCAAAATATCCTGACTGGTTCTTCAAGGGTGAAGAGTTTGCCTGAGTTGACTCTGCCTAGTGTTGCTGGTGTGTCAGAGAATCCAGAGAATGATGGTATACCACAGGGATGGATTTTTGAACAAGGTGGAGAGGGAAAAAAAAAGCAAAGGCTCATTGAAGAATTACTGGCTTTCAAAAATATGTAATCCAGTTACATCTAACTGGCTACTATTAAATGACTGACTGTCAATGAATGTGATTTAAAAGAAAGGTGATTTAAAGAGTGACTGTGGTCAGTATAAGGAGTGACTCAAGAGACAGAAAGAGTAACAAAAGATGGAATGAAAGTTAAAGGCCCAAATCATCATCCCAGTCAGGAGAGTACTGACAAGCTTTTTTGGCAGGACAACTGTCATTACCACCACTAAGAAGGGCAATCTGCTCATCATACTCTGCTGTCCAGATCCCTTCCTTGAATTCTGCCAGAAGAATCTCACAAGTCTCAAGATTCATCTCTTGATGAGCATGAGCATTCACAGCCTCAAGGTTGGTTCTAATCAACAAGGTCAGTAACAGATGCTTCTGGATGTCAAGTAGAGCATCTTCAATGGTATGCTTCATTGACACTTTCTGAATGTGTTCTTTGGCCTTGGCAAGATTTTCCTGAGTGATTGAGGAAGGCTTGGGACCCTTCTTGGCAACTGGAGTCTAGAGGTTTGTGAAAAAATTCTCATGCTCCAAGGGATCCTGGGATGAGCCTAAAGCATCACCCTCCATAGTGGTCTGAGCTTGGGCATGATTCAGAGCATCCTGCAGGGTTTGAATCTGAACTGACTGTGAGGCAGTAAATTCCACCTGAGGCTTGTCAACAGACTGGAGGTGAAGTGTCCTCTTGCCATGAGGACTAACTCCAGTAGTCACAGCAATTGGAGTGACATTGGAATGAGCAACAAAAGTCCTGTGGAGCTCAGGGAAAGGGGGAAAACTCCTGATCTACACCAAGGTTAGTAATGGGAGGTTCAAGGCATTAGTACCAGTGGATAACATACCCCAAATATTTTTGGCCTCTTCTGATGTGCTGTTATTGGGACCATCTGCACCAATATAAAAATTACAGTACTCCTCAGAGTCAGACCCATCATTGTCTTCTCTGACAGCATTCCCAGTGGTATGAAGCTTGAAAGCATGGCATATTGGAACATACCACCATTCTGTACAGCAAGTACCACTTATGTAATAATTCCATACATCTTAGCCACTTTATTTTTCCTTGTACCTCAGACTTTGTCCTACTTCAAAGACTGATTTAATGTTCTCATTGGTGTTATACCCTACACTTACTTACCAGCTTGAGTAGTTTTCACACTCTTTAGTTCACCCTGCAACCTCAGTCCCTTCTCAAAATGGCACTTGTATGTTTTTGTGAGACTGCAGATATCAGGCAAGATCAGATATTCAAACTATGTACTTATCTCTCCAGTTTACTCTTGATACAATCACCAGTAGCAGTAGCATCCATGGCATGGAACTCTGGAAGTGCAATGGCACAAATCCACTTGTGGACACTTGCCTTCAACTTGCCAGATGTATTGTGGCAAGGTTACAAGACAGAAACCCAAATTAAATGGTAAAACATACCTCATTCTCATTTTTGTCCTTTTTACCACAGAGCACCTTGTAATTTACTGGCTTACTGATTTCTGCAATGAGACTCCATAAATGAGCATGGCTATTCTTGCTCCAAGGAATTTTGGGCAGTGGGATCTTTGACTTCTTTGCAGTCATAATAATTGGTCCCAAAATAACTTAAGACAGTTTATTGCAGGGGGAGGGCAGGCTGGGGACTGGAAAATGAGTGGGGGGAATGAACAAACAGCAAGATCCCTCTCAAGCTCAATTCAGCACTTGCCTGCAGCCTCATGCCCTACACATTGTCTGTCACAAGTTTCTTTGTTTTATTTTGTAATTCTCAATGCAATAACAATGCCCATGCCCTTGCATGGCAATCACATGCAGTTGTGACTGCAACTGTGGCCTACTCTGAGCCTCCCCATTGGCATTGTGGTAATACACAACTTTGTCACCCACCACAGTTGTACTCCACTCCCACTCTCAGATCTGAGCACTTGGGCAAGGTAGGTCAAAGTAAGATGAGCAGAATCAAGATGCATGTTGCCTGATGGTAACTTACTTACCACTCAGGGAAAAGGGGACTTTGCTATAGGTGCTTTTTTTTTGCTTTTTTTTGGCCCTTTTGTACTACTTTTCAGTATTAAAGTGACAAAGGATGCCAGAAAGTACAGAAAGACAACAAAAAGCAAAAAAAAAAAAAAAAACCACCTATAGTAAAGTCCCCTTTTCCTGATGCATGACAATCTATCACTTCAGTGATCAACTGTTCTCACATATTGCCCCCAACAAACTCTAGCAGGGGGGGGACCAGATTTTCAGCAAAAATCAGAAGCCTAATACCATGCTCCTAGTCAGTGAATTGGTGCAACAAAGTTGTGTATTACCCTCTGCCCTTTAACCCTCAACATTCTCCCACCTAGTGATGTGTTTTGGCCTTCCATTAGTGTTGTGGCTTTCTGCTGACCTGTCCAGCTCTCAGCCTGCCCTCACAGCTCATGCCTGGTGCCCCAGTTTCAATGTTCTTCATGGCAATAGTCTTTTGTCTGTCAGAATGTCTGGAGGGTGTGATTGCACCATTCTTCATTGTGTGTTAAGTGAAGGGTTAATGTGGTCACTAACTAGTAACCACTAACCCCACCATCCCCTCCATGAAATCTGGTTCTAAAGGTAGACATATGTAGTTGGCACCATGAAACCCACAAAACTGTGAGATGCAGGCAGCTGCAGGATACACAATTGAAATGCTCTATTGTGAGATGTTGGGAAAACCAATGCTCATGCTCTGTCATGTTTTACTATATTCAGTAGAGCTTGCTGATTGCAATTTACTGCAATGTGGAAAATCCACTCAAAATCTGTGCAAAATTTGCCAAAATGTTGCAATAAATTTGTGACCATTGCATGACAGTCACAGCCATGTCACACTCTCATTGCAACATTTCACCTTGTTTACAAGGTCACTGCACCCTGAAAATTGAGACACTTGTTTGACATCTGCACATATGCCTCAACAGCAAGTCCACATGGCAAATCCCACCAGCCACCTCACAACTGTAGCATGCTTGGGCATGGTAAACAAGGTGCCTGCTGGCAGCAACTGCCCTGTTCTAGTTGAACATTGCAACACAGATTGTGATGGGTGTCAATGGACAAGCTTACCCCATAAAGTAAAAACATGAAAAAAGTGTGACATCTTACTTTTTTCTGACATTAGCCAAGTGTCAAGATCACACAACACCCCTGACTTCCTCTTAGGGCAGAGTAGGAGTGGGTTGGGCTGTGGAGTACAGTGGTCAAAGTCCAAAGTGAATCTGACCACTGGGTGGTGAGATATGCAATGAACAGTGAGCAGAGGGGCACAGCAGAAAGTTTCAGAGGCAGAGGTCAGAGGTTGGATGAGAGGGCATTGGGTTCAGCTAGTGCACTGCCCCCTTGCATGCCCTCATATTTCAGAGGTAGAGCAGACTCAGAGGGAGTGAAGACAAAACTCTGGAGGAAACTCAGAGGGAGTTGGAAGTGGGGACTTTATTTGATATTCATACTGATTACATTGGAGTACTATGTGGCCTTATATACAATGTAGGTCAAGGGAAGTGCAGTGTAGAATGCAAACCAATAAGCATATAACAGGTTAGCAGTCCCTCTGACACAAGGGATGGAGGATAGGGATGACAGGGACCTTAACTGAGACAAGGAAACTACTACAATGAGGGAGAGAGGGTAAATACTGAAGGAGCAGAAGAATGGAGAAAAACTGACACAGGGGTGGAACCCTATCTGGAATGCAGGGCCACAAGTCCAACAGCCCACTGAGCTGACCAAGGCCTCAGAGGAGGCACAGATGAAGGTCTGGCCTCCATGTGACCAGCCTGAGGGCAGAGTTGAGTGGAGTTGGTTGGAGCATAGACAGGGGACCTCAGAGAGGTGTGGAGATGTGTTGGAAGGGTCAGAGGAGTGCAGAAATGCATCAGAAGAGGGCAGAGAAGCTTGGGAACATGTTGGAAGATGGCAGAGTAGGTGTTAGGGGCATATTCCAATGTCATGGTCATGACACCAAGCTGATCTACAATTGTGGAAGTAGAAGCAACAAGTTGCACATGCCTAGCCCAATTGGGTCTCTGGCAAGATTGGTCACCAATAACCACTCCCAATGTCCTATGTACAGTTGAATTGCTCATAATGCAAGTCATCCTATTGCATAAATCTCATTTTGTATTGACTTTTTGTGGGTCCCACTGTGGGTGGCATGAAATTTGTACAATTTTGTATAATGTATAATGACTCAGCACAATATGATAAATATACATTATTGACTGTTAAAATTAGCAGCTGGGGACATGCTATGTTGCTACCTGGGACACCATTGTCCAAGATATATTGTCCTGGAAATATACTTAATGCATGTGCTCCAAAAGTGACACCATTACAGCAAAGTTAATGATGCCTTCTGAGAAGTGCAAACCACAAGACAAACCCCATCCATATAAGCACCCTTCAAAGAAGCCAAGAAATAACCATGACACTCCTGCCACTTCTGCACAGCTAGTGAAATCTACTATGCATTCAAACCTCACCCTTAGTGACTGGCTAACAGTCTTTGCCTATATTAATGCCCACCCAGCTCTTCCACAAAATTGTGTTGTCAAACACTTCCAAATGTTGAAATCAGGGGCACTCAACTTTACCCAAGCAACTCTCTCATGCAAACTCTGTAACCAAGTAGCATTAGAAGCCCATGCTAATGACAACCCTAATGCACTATCTTCAAAGTGTCCTCACATTGTCACTAAGCCAGATGTTGAGTGAGCCCTTGTGCTTTGGATTCAGCATATGGAAAACACAAATGAGACTGTGACTGGGCCCATGCTTCAGGAGAAGTGAGGTAGGTTTGAAGATGAATTTGATGTGCCTGAGAAGGAAAGGCTGCCTGGGGATGGATGGCTTGCATCATTTTGCAAAGCATATAAGATTTGAGAGCACAGGAGACATGGAAAGGCTGGTTCAGTGGACCTAGAAGCAGTTGAAGAAGAATGTACTCAATGTTGTCAGGTCCTAGCTAAGTTTGCACCCAGAGATCAATTCAACTTTGATGAAACAGGCTTTTTCCCATAGTAAGTTGTGTTTTATCCTATCAACTGACTCATTACTCATAAGTCTACTAGTGCACCCCCTGATCAAGGTCTTGCAACCAAGCAGATGAGTGGGAAAAAGAAAAAGAAATTCTGCATTACAGTTGGCCTTGGATGCAATGCAGATGGTAGTGAGAAGTCAGAACCATTCTTCATTGGAAGATTTGGCAAACCTCACTGCTTCAAGAAGGATACCCCTGAGCAACGGGGATTTTATTATTGTCACAACAAGAAAGCATGGATGACATCTGAATTATTTGAGGAGTAAGTCCTTATCTTATCATTATTAGAAATTATTCAAATTTGACTGCTTGCACAGGTGGATAAAGAAATTTGACCTCCAAATGAAGCAACAAAATCAATACAGTGGCTCACAAAATTGTCCCAATGTTTGCATGTTTTTCATTAATCATGGGGTAGCAAGTGAACTATCACCATTGAGTCCAAGGTGTTGGTGGATGGATCAAGCGGCTGGTCATGGCTCTCTGATGAGCCATATTACATAATATTTGAATAGGAACTGATGAGAGAAGACC